ACCTCATATACTCAAGCTTGAGGAAAACACTATTGTTATGTTGATCAGGAATCTTGATACCTACTGTACATCAAGTATGCATGTAAAATGAATATACAGGGTGTTTCTGTTCACACCAACTGGTCGACTAAGTGTAATGTGAACAGTGTTGCGTAGATGAGCACCGTGGGTACAGGGTTAATTCCCTTTCTTACAATAGATATAGCTATTATCTGTTATGGACTACTGTAATTCACTAGTTTTAGCAATCTAGATAAGAAAACTTATGTTGACACAATTTCATGTACCAATCTGTGCATTTTATAAAATAAAGATGATGATGATGATCATAATTAGTGATCTTGAAAAAAAGCTACTTTGTAGATATTTTGTAGACATACGACTAACTAAGACTTACTACATTGCTGGCTTTAAAGGCCTGGATTGAGAAGTGGTTGCAGTGTTTTAATGCATTATTCATGCAATTTCTTAACTCAAATATGAAACCTAAATCGGATATTAATGAAACAGTAATTATAAAAAAATGTTTTTAATGATGTATGATGAGTATTATAAAATGGATGTAAGATGCTTAGTTTTTAGTGGTGGTGTCTTCATTTTTCTGCACGCTCATTCCAGGCATTTGGTCATAGCTTTTTGAGAGTTTTGCTCGACTGAAATCCATACCAGGGTTCTAAAACAAGTTTTCAAAATTTAACTGTACAATCTGTATAAGTTAATTTACTGCAATTTACATATTTTCATTATAAGTGTATTTAAATATAAGTTATTCAACCTTAAATCTGATAGGCCTATTTAATATGTACGGTATGAAAAATTCTAAGTAAACTTTTAGCAGGTAAAAACAGCCTGTAATGAGAAAAGACCCGATATTTTTATCTTAGTGTCTAGACTTGAAACATTAAAAATACAAAGTAAAAGTTAAAACTAAGAATGTCATCCAATATTCCTGTTTTATAAAAAAACTTAAAAACCCGAAAAACTGTATAAAACTGAAAAATTGTTGTTTTCCAATCAAAGTTTTCAAACCTCTTCTTGGTTTTCTGTTGAATGGAAACAGGGGTCAAAATAGATGAATATCATTTAAAAAATAAAACTTAAGATACCTCAATCTGAAATTTTTCTAGATCAAGCTTCTTTCTCATCTCGTGCAGTGTTAAAGGATCTGGTTGGTAGCTTCCGTCCTTTAAAATGGATTCCCATAAAGTATCTTTTTGGTCATATTCCGCTTTAGACAGAACTATATTTAGAGTACAACCATCTTCTATGGTCCACACACTGTCATCAGGGTGAATTGGTTTGTATAGATGACCCTAAAAATAAACCCAGTAAAAATAGGCCTAACACTAATTTTTTATTAAATATTTAAGTAAGTTAGCCTTAACACTAATACCGAAACCCTACCTAGGCTGACGTTAACCAAAGCCCCCGGTCTGTGAGACCTCATTTGAAAAATAATGGACCCCGCTTAGACACACACAAACCGAAACCCTCGGCCTGTGAGACCCCGCTTTCAAATACACTAACGATGGGCTTCTGAGACAGGCATGTTATGAACAGACAACCTGTCAAGGTCACGGTACCCATGCAAAATGAACAAACAATATATCAATAGGTAGGAGAGGAAAGGGGGGAAGGTATTGGGGGAATGGAATCTCCCAAGTAGCCTAAACAGTGTTGCCAACATGCGTTTTTGAAAATTCCCGTGGGCCTGTCAGACCGGGGTTTTGGTACAGTAGAGTCCTGCAAACTCGGCACTCGATAACCCGGCAGTCTGGATAACTCGGCCATCATCTGGCTCAGAAAATTAGTGATTTTTTGAGTCCGAGTTAAACATGGACTCAAACCAGCTCAAGTCAAATCATTCTCAGCTCGTACAAATGATTTGTTTTACTATATCTGATGACTTAATACTGACTTGTAATATAAATATAAATAAAAGAGGTAGTTAATTAGCTTACCAATTATATTGTTCTTATTTTTAACCCTAGTTCCCGATAACCCGGCAATTCACAAACTCGGCACCCTTCCAGTCCACATTACGCCGAGTTTGCAGGACTCTATACTGTATTAGGGCCTAGTGTTAAATTATCTAACTTAGAAAGTTCTTTTAAAATTATGTTGAATTAATACAATAATTTATTAGGCCTGATTTATAGAAGCAAATGTTGTAAGCATCCCTACCTACGAGCTTACCACATAGCACGCTGATATGCGAGAAGCAAATTTAAATCAAAGGTTTACCTTCTGAAGGTATCGTAGCATTGCATTGCAAATTCAAGACATTTTTGAACGGCTACACCATTTTTGATTTAGTTATCAGTTACGGTTTGGGTTTTCGCCAATGTATTTCGCTAATTAAAATTAATGTAAGTTAAGTTAATTTGATGTACTGTACACATATCTTATTAACTCTTGATTAAGTTAGGCCTAACTTACTATTAAGATTTTTTTTTCGTCCCGTTACACAATGGTAGGCCTATTAAGTTATTGCTGAGTAGGCTAATTTTTATGACCAGTAGGCCTAGCCACAGACTAACCAATACAAGTACGGTAACTTAAGGGAGTATGTTTTATTCATAGCCTAAGTTTAGCTTAGTTCCAGGTTTTGTAGCTTATCTTAACTGCACTTTACTTTAGGTCTTACACTCATTCGAATGAAAATATCGATTAATCGATATATTGATTGATAATTTCATTCGAATAAGTGTAGGACCTAACGTAAAGTGCAGCCCTTATCTTTATTAAGTATGTAAGCCTATTTTTTTTAAATAAGTTATTCATCTGTCCTGGGACTTTTTGCCATTATTCATGCTGTATGAATCTGAACAGATGATGTTTAACTTATGGCCTCTGGGGACCTCGAAACGAAAAAAAAAGTAAATTGGTCCGGGGCCCAGATCCTACACGAGACCTACAACAATAAAAGCTTATTCCTTAGACCTATAGCCTATATGGGATATTTGCCAATAAAGTAACATAAAATCGTAATTGTTCTAAACGCTGGGCCTAGGCCTACTTTAAATTGTTAAAAACGTTCGTTATTATGGACAGCCTGCTATTTCAAGTAAAATTAGGCTACATAGGTCTTCTTGGGGTAGGCTACTGTTTTTCTTAACGATTAGGCTAGACCTAAGTTATCAGCATATATCACCTTGAACAATACTTTGTCATATACAATACATTCGACATTATTGGTTTTAATAGTCACTTTAACATTTTTCGCTTTTGTGTTACTTGGCAAGTCAACTGAAATGTAAACTTCATCAACTGTTTGCCACCAAGTTCCCCAGCTTGTTTTGAAGGATACAACTCCACTTTTTTCGTCAAAATGACTTAATGACATGATGACAAAAAATAGGTTAAACACAGGGTAACTAATTGTTAATTGAGAAGGTTAATAGGTACACACCACATCACTAGAGATAGATAAGTAATTGGAAGAATCTGAATAGCATAGCATCAGCATCCTATAAATTGACATTTTCCACAGATAGTTAGTCACCCCACTAGTGTCGACAATAACGTTCAATTTCTTATAAGCCAATCATCGATCCCCGGTTGGGGACGCGACTCTCGGCTTTTCAAACAAATAGTATATCACTGTGATTATCTTACATCTACTTATTCTAATTGAGTTCTACGATCTAGCCAAGTGCGGTAGTCATGTTCTAGCTACTCAACACTCCCTGCGAGTGTCGGTGCATACAGAGGATTCATAGCAAATTACTACGGCTTTAAATAGCAATATTGTCCTTTAAACCTTTAGTTTATCGATTGTAGTTTTCTTTTGTCATCGTTAAACCGGTTTATTGTGCCTGAATAATTTAATATTACAAATAAATAAATAAACTAACATGTTCTATGTTTTAGTGACACCTAGCGGTTACTATACTAACTAGGTAAACTGCTGCACACTAATACACTCTAGCGGCGAGTTGGCGAACTGCGGCGCACTTTGGCTAGTGAGTAGTGACACCCATATTAGTGTTGGGATATCGAAAGAAAATATCGATATTTATATCGACGATAATATCGGAGCCTCAATATCGATATTCCGATAATATCGGACCAAAAATATCGATATATCGGAAAAATATCGTTAAAAATTAATGGAATTGGAATGCTATCGCAATGCTTCCCTTTAACAGGAAATTACCTTAACAAACAATTAAAAAAAAATGTGTTTGAAGATATTAAAACAAAGGAATATATACAGACGGTTTGGTAAAAAAAATATCGATATGTCATCAAAAGAAATCATTGATAGAAAAATGTCCCTTTAGCAGGAAAGTACCTTTGTTAATACTGAACAATATTAGCCTATCCTTATCGAAGTTTTCAGCTGATATGTTTTAATTTGTTATAATCAATATATCGGATAGAAAAATAAAATATCGATATTCAAAAAGAAATAATCGATAATAATGAATGTTCCCTTTAACAGGAAAGTACCACCATGACATGAACAGCAGTTAGCTGCACACATATGACGTTAAATTGTTTACAATTTATAATTTTTTAGGCTTGTGTACAAAAAAATATACAACAAATGAGAATTTAATGGTTTTGATTGGTTTTCACTGCCGTCACCTCATTTTGGCACTCCACTTCTGCCAACCGTGCCAACTCACTATTCAAATGCAGGCAGAGGCAACCAGATTGAAAATATATTTTTAACTAGATAGGTACATGAAATAGTTTGTGTGTAGGCCTACAAATAAATTTGTTATTAATAATATTTAATAACTGCTAAACAAGTTCAGAAAAGATTAAACTGTATTTTATTCTTGCATTATTCTTTGAAAAATTGCTAAAATCAATTCTAACGATTATATCGAAGTAAAATATCGATATCCCGATAATATCGGAAGTCTAATATCGATATAAAAATATCGATATATCGGAACCAAAATATCGATATTTCCGATATATCGGATATCGATACCAAACACTAACCCATATCGATGATGGTGACATGACATGGTGTGACAGTGACACCTAGCTGCAGCGCCTCACTCACTCACTGCCCTCACTCACTAACGAATAATACTGGTTTTGAGGTTAAAATGGTTGAATTATTCTGTTTTAGGCATATGTTTACGTTTTTTATAGTTTGTCAGGCAGTTTGTATTGTAAATTCAAGGATTCTAGAGAATGAACTAGGCGAAGTGATATTTGCAAATGTGGTAAGCACTTTTATGGTAGAAATGTCAATGTTTTTGTTTTGGAAATAGGCCTAGGCTAGGCTTCAGAGTAGGGCCCATGCATAGGCATATTAACAATGTGACAATTTGTGTGTGGTTTTTATTTTGTTCAGACTGATTAGCCTACAGTTTAGCATCACTAGATTTTCTATAACTTACCAACCCTAAAACTTACTGTAAGTTAGGCCTAGGCTACCCACTTCAAACTATCAGTAGGCTAGCCTAGGCCTATCAACTTAGGTACCGTGGTACGAGTTACAGCCTTATTGTCTAACTTAAGTTATGTATTCTTGATGATACCATGTTCCATTTCTTTCATTAGAATGGTTATAGGAGTGTCCAGAGCATGGGGGATAGAGTCACACTTGCGCCACAGGAATGTTTTGATACTTTGCTGTTAAAGGGAACATTCATTCATTATTATCAATATTTTCTCGATTGGCCTATACCTATCGATATTGTTGTTTATCCTTTACGATCCATTATCCTTCTGTTTTAATAATTTTCAACGCTTAGGCCTAGGCCTAACTTTAAAAAAATTGAAATTGACAACTGATCTTGTTTAGGCAAAAATAACCTAATATTTGGACTTAATATGTAAACTTATGTGGGGTCTGACTTAGGGGAGGTAGCCTACGATTGAGGTATTCAAGAGATTCAAGAGATTCAAGAGATTTATTATACCATTAAGTAAATAAATACAATAGGTAACGTCAAACTATTCTAAAATAAACAAACCAATGCATATAAATAATCAAACGTTCATCATTACAAACCATGCTGAAATAAAAAATGGTTAATCTTCACAGCAAACAACACAGCAAACCATGCAGTTATGGCAAACAAAAGAAAATGAAAATTGTGACACATACCTGAGTGTAAAAATAAAATTACAAACTAAAAACAATGGCCAGCCTTCAGAGCATCAAAAAATTCTTTAGTTTCATAAAAAGGATTCGTTTCAAGCCAATCTTTTACAATTTTTGTGAATTTTGACTTCCGCAATGACCGTACACTTTCCGGGAGAGCATTGTAAAACTTTTTGCCTGTAACAGGAAAACAGTTATTAGTTTTACTCAATCTATTGCTACTTAAATGTACATTGTTTCTATTTCTTGTAAAATATGAGTGGACATCCTTGTTACAAACCAGATCTTCTTCCATGTCCTTAATAGCTAACAAAGATTGATAAATATATACATTTACAACAGTCATAATACGAAGTTCTGCAAACAAATGCCTACAATGCTCCAGATAATGAACCTGACATATTATTCTGATAGCCTTTTTTTGATGGAGCAGTACTTTCTGAGCATGCGGGGAGTGACCCCACAGGAGCGTGCCATATACAATATGGGACTGAAAAAAAGAAAAGAAAGCCAGTCTCAAAAAGTTAAAAGGTAGTTCAGAGGTCAACTTCCTCAAAAGATGTCTTACTCTACTTAATTTTACACAGAGTGCATCTATGTGGTCATCCCACACAAGCTCCGAGTCCAGGGTGAAACCCAGCAGTCTTACAGAATCATCACTGGAAACATTTTTATTAAGGCTAAACATGATTTCTTGAGTTTTGGCTGCATTCAAGGCCAATTTATTTCCATCAAACCATTGAGACGTTTCATTTAACAATGAGCTAGCAGAATTTTTTGCCATAATATGATCAATGTGTGTAGCAAAAATAGTGGTATCATCTGCATACATCAATATATCATTTGAGACACCATAATACAAGTCATTCATGGCAACAATGAATAAGAAGGGACCAAGGATTGAGCCCTGTGGGACTCCATGCTTTACCACTCGAGAGTTTGATTTATCCCCAGCCCAGGATACAACCTGGAACCTATTATCAAGGTAGGACTCAAACATTTTGAGCGCACAGGCTCCAACACCATACATTGAAAGCTTTTTGACAAGTAGGTCATGCGGCACACAATCAAAAGCGCGTGACAGATCGCATAACACAACAGAGGTTGACATTTTGTCTTCAAAAGCATTAAGAATAACCTGTAAAAGGGAGCCCACCGCAGTTACAGTGGACTTGCCCCTACGAAATCCGTGCTGAGCAGGGACTAGTAAGTTATGGGTTTCAAAGTGATCACTTATCTGCCTTAACATTAAGGCTTCAAATATCTTGCCTAGCACTGGTATCAGGGACACCGGCCTATAGCTTGCTAGTACATTTCTAGGGCCCTTTTTAAACACAGGCACTGTTCTGGCTGTTTTAAGAACATCAGGAAAGACGCCTTCAAGAAGGCAGCAGCTAAACAAATGGGCCAATAAAGGAGCGATTACATGTACAACCCTTTTGATAAAATCAGTTGACATATCATAAACATCTTTACTGCTAGAGGACTTAAAACTACTGACTACATTTGTTACCTCTAATGCACTAACCATTTTCCACTCAAACTTATTATGTACCCCTGGAATACAATCAAAATAATTGTTATCCTTTAGTGGAATGGAGTCAACAATACCATCCACAGAGTCCAAAAAGAAATTGTTGAAATCCTCTGCGGTTGCAAAACTCAAATCAGCGCCCGCTCCCGCCCTAGGTCTGCTCTGGTTGATCAAATCCCATGCTGCCCTACACGGATTAGCCGAGGTGGCGATCCTGACTGCCGCCGCTGACTGCTTTGCCTCTCGCAGACAAGTGCGATACTCCTTTCTCAGCTCTCGAAGGTAGGGAAGAGTGCTCGGCCTACTTTATTTTATTAGTTCAAAATTCCTCCGTGAACAGCGCTGTAGTAGAGAGCATTTTGGCAATGAAGGTTTACTAATCGCAAAAATAGTTCTGTTCATAAAATAAAATTATAAATGCCTCAAATTCAATTTTATAATTTTTTTATTATAAAATTAAACTTACTATCATAACCTAACCGAACTAACCAAACTTGCTGATACAGTAGAGTCCCGCAAACTCGGCACTCGATATAACCCGGCAGTCTGGATAACTCGGCCATCACCTGGCTCAGAAAATTAGTGATTTTTTTAGTCCGAGTTAAACATAGGCTCAAGTCAAAGCATTTGCAACTCGTGACAAGGATTTGTTGTACTATATCTGATGACTTAATACCTACTTGTAAAATAAATGTAAATAAATAAGGCAGCTAAAAGGAATAAAAATTGTATTGTTCTTATTTTTAACCCTAGTTCCCGATAACCCGGCATTTCACAAACTTGGCACCCTTCCAGTCCACATTACGCCGAGTTTGTGGGACTCTACTGTAATGAAATAATATAAATAGGCTAAAGTTTAGGCCTATTAATAGAACAAATAATTCTGTTCATTAAATAAAACTAGAAATTGCTCAATTAAAATTTTATAATGACTTCATAATAAAATTAAACTGTCATACCAAACCAAACCAAACTTGCTGATAATGAAAAAATCTTAGTCAAAAAGTTAGCACCACCAGCGGGATTCGAGCCCGGGACTGTCAGCATATCAGCCCGGCACGCTAACCACTAGACCACCGAGGTCGATGGCTTCAAACCGTATTGTTACGGTAATGGTGTTCCCTCAGCTAATGAGAAGCCCACAGCTTATTTATGTATTTATTTATTCATTCCAACGGATACACCATTTACAAAATAATATATTTAAGCACATGAGTAGAATGGAAAGATAAAAATTGCATTTGAAATAACGAGAAGCTGCATATAGGCTACCATTGAACAAAACATCATTGCAACAAAAAGTAATACAACAACATAGCAACGAACAACAATAACAGATAATAACATTAACAAAGTAAAATAACAACAAACAGACAACATGACAGATAACGGATAATAACAAAAAAATATTTAATATTAATTTGGATTTCAGAAAATGCATGTAGACTTTGAAAGTATAGCAACAACAGATATCTCCTGAAGATTTAACAATGTATTAAACTATGATGACAATAACTTCTACGTGAAACATTAACAACAATCAATCTATGAATGAATAACAAGAAATAACAGATTTTGGGACAAAACATACATCATCTACAAAACAGGCATAGCAAGGATAATGTTCGCGGTTTTTCTTCTGAAGGAGGACAACTGTTCGTTGAAGAAGTCAACTTTTGATCCTACTTCGTTTCCTTGACGCTGCAATCTTGTCAATCCACGATGAGCTTACGATGAGCTGTCATCGTAAGCTCATCTATACCTCCCCTGAGTAAATACCACTTATGTGGATTATGGAAATCAAACTGTTCTAAATTATGACTTTGAACCAAAAAGGTATGGTTTGTTTAGAACAGTTTTATTTCATTACTGTAGGCTATAACATTTTTTTAAATTGTTTGTTGATAAGTTACTGATCAATATTTATTTAGCCTATCGTAGTTGTCAGCTGATATGTTTCAATTTGTTAATATCGATAAGTTACTGTATAAGTTAATTTTACTTGCACTGTTTAAAGTAAAAATTAAGAACGCACATTCATAATAGCCTAGATTCAGATAACTTAACATAATATAGGGATTTGAGAATATCTAGTTGTTTAAAACTGCCGATTCATATAGGTTTTAGTTCCCAATCACATCTTTAGATAAATATTATTTGTTATAAAAATTACATAAAAAAAATCTTCAACTTACAGTATACATATTCAGTCAGTGGTAACTTAGGTTAGTTTTCAAATGGCGTACGTAAAACTTAATACTTTTTCTGATCAGTAGTCATCATCAGTTTTTTTTCTTTGTAGGCCTACTGTGTTTATGCCATAGGCTATTTGGTTTGATTTTAAACATTGCTATGATTCTTTGTTTACAGTTACATCGTTATTTTGTAGTAACCATCATGGAAACCTTTGAGGCCAATGTAAAATTTAAAATCTTGAACTTACTTTTAAACTATATAGGCATTATCAAAAATTGAAATTGTTTTCTGCTTCACTTTGCTCCGCTTAATAATTTTGTTGTTGCAATAACATGATAAGTTATGTCTCGGTGATCACAAAAGATGCTCTTAATTTCATCACTATCACTGATCGCGATGATGATGTCTTTGCGACCCAGTGGTATTGTCAAAGGGCAAAACGAAAAAACCTACTAAGTTACTGTTTATTAGGCTTAAGTATTTATAAAAACATGTTTTACTGTATTTTATTAAACCATTAATGAATTATTTTTACAGCTCTTTAGGCATGGTGATAGAACGCCCATCGATCCATATCCAACAGATCCATTTAGAAACACTTCCTTCTGGCCAGTTGGATTTGGTCAATTAACAAATGTAAGTTTCAAGTTATTGCGGCTATTCAATAGCCTATGCTTAGAAATTATGAAGGCTTGATTTTTGCCAAATGATGTCACCAATATTAAAACCTAGATCAGGATCTATGACCCCCCCCCAGGGCCGGATCTACAAAATATGGGCCCCCCTGCAAAAGTCCTCCAAGGGCCCCTAGAGCTGGCATCAATAGGAGAGAGGCCTTATTTGCAGGAGGGGAGGGGGGAATGTTTAAAATATAAGTAGCTGAAACTGAATTTTAACGCTATTTTAAAAATAAAATATTAATTGTGTTTGTAAAAAGACATTTTTGTTAATATTCGTAATTTTGTAAATTTATGAACTTAAAATAACAGCAAACTTCAAATAAAGCTTTCTTATTCATATGTCAATAGGATTTCTTAGCCTTTCAACAAGCTTTACAAATTATAAAATACATATTGTACAAAAAAAGTAAAAGGTTTTTATATAAAAATGTTCAAGCATAGGTAAATAATAATGTAAAGTAGTAAACAAATGACTCAATTTAAACTTAGTTTCTTTTTTACCCTATCATTTCAAGATAGATAGGCCTACATACAAATCATGGTCCCAGAGGGTTGGGCAGGGGGGCCAGAGCCCCGGAGCCCTGGCCCGGTCAAATGTAAAATCTTTTCTGTCAAAGATTTTAGCATGGTTTTCCAGTTCACATAGTAATTTTTGAGAGGAATAAAGTTGCTACTATGAGCAAGAGAATTAATCAAACTATAATTCATTTTAGATATATTGTTAAATGCTTAAAAAAACGGCACGGAGGTGGCTAGACACTAAATCGGGAAAATAGGGGAAAATCTACGGGAAAATCTACAATCTACAATTGATCAAAGGATCACTCAGCCCAGGGGCCCGTGACGGCTCTTGCCGGCCCTGAGGTCATTAGATAACGCTACAGAGGTTAGTATAAGTCCCGCCTGTACTACAGACTTATTGCTCAGCTCAACTGATAGTTGACTAAGTTGACACTACATCCACGTCAATCGGACTGTAGTGGATCTGTGAATCGCGCACTGCAGCTGGTAAGCTGACAGACTGAGCTGAGCATACAGACTGAACTGAGCATACAGACTGAACTGACTGAAAGTGACAGTATTAAACCACAGATTAAGCTGTCTACGACGAGGTCCCGAGTTGTTGACGAGTAAAATCAGTAAGGTCTAAATTTACTTAATAGTTTTAACTTTAGCTTTGATATTGACAATATTTGTCTGTCAAAACTAAACTTACTGTCCTATTCAATTATGTTCATATGCATTAAAATAATTTTAAATTTTATGAGCTCTTTGGGCCCCCCTGCTTTGCTTGGTTTCACGGTTCCTAGATCCGGCCCTGGACCCCCCCACTCCTACTTATGAAAGATGTTTTTGTTTGTGTTAAAGATCACAACAAGGTTTTCCTTAATATATTGAAATTTTTTTCAGTGCTGATAGTTCAAAATTCAAATTCAAATATATTTATTTGTGATAATACAACATCTTGGCCTCGCCAAGTTTACAAAACTTGTTGGCAAGGTACAATTGATTAAATTAAAAAATTTTTTTCCCTTTTTAACAAATATAAATATTTCTAGCGCTACTAATTCCATGGCGGTTTGTGGCAGGCACCTATCTATACATAATAATGGCAGCAGAAATGTAAAATTCTAAATATAGTTTGAAAAATTGCTTTATCATCTATCTGATTTATAATCAATGCTATATTCCGAAGTCTTTGTTCTCCTGGTTCATAGACCAGAGGTTTCTAAAATATTGAAGAGGCAGTGTCTAACTGGAGAAAAAAAGTATATTCGTTTGTTTCTTGTTTCCTGAACATTTGATGAATTGAAACATAACCTCTCACTAAGAAAAGTTATGTCCATGCAGGCATTTATTTACACAAAGCGGAGGAAAATAAAAAAACTAATATGTTTGAGAAGCTTTCTTTGACAGTTATCAATTATAATTATAATTATTATAAGAAAATTGTGAATTCCAAGCCTATTGAGTCCCAGAACACTGTCCATTTTATTCTGTCTCAATTGAAGCTCTAGTGTTTGGATTTGTAATAAAACACAATGAGCAATTGATGGCCCTCGTATGAATCGTGGTGGCTTAAACACTGGACATACTGCTCATGCTAGTATTCATTTAGTTTTCTCTAAAATAGTTACACTTTATACTCACCCTTTCTAATTTGCAATATTGTTAGTTTTCTTTCCTGTCTTAAATCATTCTCGAAGTAATGCTCCTGATAAATTCCTCATATTTTAAATTCCTAGAGGCCAAAGATTGCTCATTTAATATTTCCTGAAGTTTTATTATTGTATAATGTTTGTTTATCGTTACAATATTTTTTTGTTTTTTCATTGTTAGTTTGTTATTTTCTTTTATTGCATTATCTCTCTTGACTCAAAATATGTTTTTCCAGACTGGAAAAGAGCAACATTTTGAGTTGGGCCAGTGGTTGCGGAACAGATATGACGCTTTGTTGACGGAGCAGTATAGTCGAGACATGATCTACGTCAGAAGCACTGATGTTGACAGAACGTTGATGAGTGCTGAGTGTAACCTGGCAGGTCTGTATCCTCCCAAGGAAGCTCAAGTGTGGAATGAAAACATCAACTGGCAACCAATCCCTGTACACACCGTTCCTGATAAGTTTGACAATGTGAGTTAAAGTACTTTCACAGTGTGTACCAGTTACCAACCATATTGTGTCATTCAAAACGTTTGTTGGCAAATGATTAAAATCTAACCCACCTAGATAGAAATGCATAAATATTACCTTTTATTGGAAAAGAGTTGTGTGTGACCTATTTTTAGTGTTAAGATCCACCCAAATATATGATCTAAGATCTTTTATATATCTAATTTATTTGTTTACAAAACTTTATACTCATTATTTTATAAATAATACGTAAAACTAAACTAGTTGTCTGATGTTCAAGTTGTTGGCGGCAAAAAAACCATGTCCAGCATATGAAGAAGAATTTAACAGGTTGATGCAAACCGAAGAAATGCAAGCATTGAACAACACTTTCATAGAAGTTTACAAAGTATTGAACCAAAATGCTGGTGAACAGGTTACTACTATTGAACGTATTGACTGGGTCTACAATACTCTTTGGGTTGAGGTACATTTCATATCTACTGAAATATTAGGTACATTAGGCCTATTATGAATAAAGTTATAAAATATCATGAGAGTTTAAAAATTAAAAAAAATCTATGTTTACAATAACAGTTACAAAAGTCACTTATCTATTGTTTACCTAAAGACTTTGTGTACCATACAAACTTTGTACATTATTTTACTTTCCATAACTCTCTTATCAGCGGTGGAAATATTTCATATCAATTCTTGAATAATATTAGCCCAAAATGATAAAAAGTCCAAACTGCTGTGTATATATACCAATAAAAGTGTTAGTGGGCATCAGGATGTAACATGTTAGGACTTCTTAAAACATTGAATCTTACATGATAATTAGTTGTTACCCACGGCCTTCACCCCGTTTAATAAAACTATTGATTGGTTAAGTTAACCTGAAGTAAACAAAATACAGTAAAAGAAACAAATAATCACACCTGATTTTAATAAGGTAATACATCAAAAGAATAACAAACAAATAAGTACAGCTGAGGTATTTTTAACATTATAAGTATATGAAAAGTTCCCTTTAGAAAGGAATTATGACCTTAAAGGGCAATTTATGACATAATGGATAGTGGATAATGGATTTGCGCAAGGTTTCTCGTCATGACGAACATTTTAAGTATATGGTTTATGGGTGTGTGACTTGCAGTTGTTTCAAAAGTTCATGGGTACTTTTGGCTTATACAGTATATAGATAACTAGGCCTATTTATATCTTTTTGTTTTTTGTCAAGTACTTGTTAATGTTTCAGACTTTGTACAATTTCTCGATACCAGAGTGGACCAAGTCTATTTTCCCTCATCCGATGGCAGAGGCTTCTAAATACAGCTTTGTACTACCTACTTGGACAAAGAAACTGGCTCGCCTCAAATCAGGTAGATAGTTTGAATATCAGTTATTAGATAATTTTAACTAGGTCGGTTGCAGGAATTAGTTCATGATAATGTTTATCTACAAGGTGAATAAAAAGCATCGTTAGTACATTTGTGACAAAACTGTTGGACTTCAACACTTATTGTGGTGTTAAAAAATATTTTTTAAATAATAGATGTTTAAAACTACAGAAATTAAACTACTAATTAGGACAAACAAGATTTTTGATTATACCTACCAGTAAAATCAAAACCTGCTCAGTAACCTATTTAGTATTTAATTTAACCAGCAGTTGATTAATAATGGTTTAAAAAAACAGTAAAGCACTACTGTTGTGCACTGTATGTTGGTTAGTCTATGGTAATAACTTATTTCCTATTTGAGAAATTTTCTAAAATGTATTGCTGTCTACTTTTACCTCTTAAAAATCTGCAGGTACAACCTGTCGGGTACGCCACTGTCTAGTTGTACCTCCGACTAGTTGTGCCTAGGTCCGAGGTACAACTAGACTGCGATACAAGACGCACATCCCTCTAAATCAGTTATTAAAACCATAATTGATCAAATATATAATTCTATAAATTAAACAACAAGATATTATAAAACATTAAGCCATTCTTATTATGTAGTACCTAGGAACGTGACTAGTGTATTGGAGTGTAGCACTTCTTTCAAGGAAACCTGATTTCAAGTCCAGTTATTAGATAGTCTAGTCATTCAGCCTTGTGACAATAATGTGGGCATGGTGGTTTGAGGTTTTATTTATTTATATTTCAAGATGTAGGCTATTTAAAAGTATGTATTTCCGTTATTCATTCTACAAAAGATGTGGAAAAAACATATTATTTCCTTTATTCATTTAAAAAAAATCAAACAAAATGAAATCGGTGTAAAATACCTGCATTTATGCGATCTTGTTTGTAGCCGAGTTGTTACCGGTTTCAACTCACATTGGAGTCATCTTCAGGCAGTTAAGATGTCTTCTCGCTTCATTCCTACAAACAAGATCGCATAAATGCAGGTATTTTACACCAATTTATAGTATTTAAATGGGATCAGAAGGCTAAAATTCAATATAATGAAAATGAAATCACAAAATAATCCCAGAGCACAAAGAGTAACATAATGTTAATTAACAGCCAGTTAAATTACTCTTATGATGTTTCCACAGGTCTGTTGGTGAAGGAGATGATCACTAGTATGAAAGACAAGAAGGTAACCAAACCAAAACCCAAACGCAACTTGAACATGTACTCGGCTCATGATACAACAGTGTCCAACCTACTCCACACTCTGGGAGTGTATAACATGATCAACCCTCCATACACGGTGTGCTTCATGATGGAACTCAGGGTCAACTCTTCTGGCGACCATCTGGTCACGGTAGGTACTATCATCAACTCTTGGATACTGATGTAGACAGCCCATCTAAATGGACCAACTGTAGCCAATTTTAAAGTTTGGTTAACGATTTGGTTCATATTAGAGTAGTTAGTATTTTAGGTACATCAGTGGCTCAATCCAGCTAGGTTATTTTTAGCGAATTTCCCTATAGGGAAGTAGCTATTACCGTAGGTGGCACGGTAAGACCTAGACCCGGGACCGATTTACTTTTTCATTTTGATGTCCCCAGAGGCCAAAAACACTATTCGTTCAAATTTTTATATATGTATATATATATATATATATATAGACTTGTATATATATATATATATATATATATACGTCCGTGAACGCGATAACTTGAGTAATTTTTGTCCGATTTTGATGAAATTTGGTTTAAAGGTGTAAAGCGGGATAAACTTGAATGAGTTCGCGAACCAGCACGATCGGACCATGGGAACGGGGCTTTACGGGGGGTTTTATGGGGTAAAAATTGGTTTTTCTCACTTTTGACTCTCAAAACACAAAATTTCCCAATTTCTCTTTAGACCTTTTTAAAGAGCTTAAAAAAACAAATAATTTAGTATATAAAAGTATTTTTGTTCGATTATTAGTAACGGAGAAAATTAAAAAAAATTTTAAATTTAAAATTCCCATGTTATTCTTATGGAGAATATTGTCAAATGTTGTAGTTTGCTTGTTTATGAATATATTTTGATCAAACTTGGCAAATTTATTTATTTTGTACTAAGCTATCAATATTTTACTCAAAAACACACTTTATTAGTTTCCTTGTAGCAGCAAACCTAGGTACTCGTTAAACCTAATGTTATTAAAATATATTTAACTGAAAATCAATTCAGACGAATGGAAATTCGCTTAGTCGGCAGGTTTGCTGCGGCGGGGGTATTTTTTTTCTAAAAGTAGCTACAAATTTAGCATGGAATTGGAATGGTTAAAACTAGTAGCACACTGGGCAACTCTTGTGGAAGTGAAGAATGTGGTGCAGTAGAAGAATATCCACTACTCCAGCAAAACAATTATTGCATATTATATTATGGGAGTAAGCACTCCTGGAAACTCTCAAAGATTGAAAACTAGCCGTCAAATCAGCGGAAGTTTTTTTTTGTCGCCCCTTGCTTCTCTGGAGGTACTGAAATTGGCCATGATGGTCGGACGACGGTGCTCTTTTTGGGACATTGTCTTATCGGGTCTTCTTTTGTGATCTCATCCCAGTTCCAATCGGATCAAACTTCTGCAAGAGTTGCTAAATGTGTTAGAATGAATGAACGAATGAATATGAATGAATGAATAAAGTGCTTTATTTTAAAATAAACATTCCTCTCATAAACATAATCAAACACTTAATAAACAATGGTTTACGACCGTAAATGTGTTAAAGTCACTCTGGATACGGTCACTGGAGGCGGGAGGAAAAGCTCACTTTCCTTCTGCGTGAGTTGCCAGGTTTGCTACAACCTTGCATCTTTGCAGATGCCTACTGGTCAAGTATCTAGATTACATCTTACAACCCAAAGCTCTTTCACGTTGTATTAGATGGGTATAGGGCCGACATTTATCATTATAACTCTGCTCCTTTATTTTTGTGCTGAATAAATCTAATTAGAATAATTCCAGATGTTCTACCGCAACTCTAGCAGTGAGGACCCGTACTTGCTGACTCTGCCTGGATGTTCGGCTGCTTGTCCTCTAGATCAGTTCATCAAACTATTGGAGCCTGTCTCTCTAACAGTCACAGACTGGGAGAAAGAGTGTAAAGTGTCCATCTTCAGTTCCTACAGCATGCTGACCATTGTTGGTAAGTGTTTACACTGATTCACCACCAGTAAAAGTTGAAGTTTCCACTTAAACTAAGTTTAAATGTGAGTACACTGTATTTGGCAAGAGTTTGAGGGAGATATGCTCTAAATGGTTCGTAGTTTAGTTATAAATTTGATAGGATACTCTATTAACAAATAAGAAAAAGAGTAAAGGAACACAACATTAAACTGCATATTTCACCTCTTCAAATACCTAAACCTTTTCAGGTAAACAAATGCAGTAAAAATTATATTTCAAGACTTATTTACACCAATGCACGGAAATAACTTCTTAGTTGACTGCAAAACCTAACAGCTGATGATAGATAACCCATCTCAACCCTGAGATCAAATCAATCGATCATGATCCTCCCAGCAGACAAATGCTCAACTAGTCTTATCAACATACGTTGTATACCAGGAGGTGTTTTTATCATTGACCTTTATAACGTTTCAAGGGGATTTGAACTATCGATTGGAATGCACCCAATGCCCTGCTCAATAAATTGTCCTAACGACAGAATTTGTACGAAAAAGATTGAATAGACACCACCATGACAACAAAACCAACATTGACGGCATCTTTGGAACATTTAAATCTATCTTTAAATTCATCAAGTCATAAAAGGGTTTTAGTCATGATAACGAGCTGGTCCTATGCGAGGTAGTGGAGTGATGGTACATAATTGTTAACATAATACAGTATAGATATTTCATAGTCATATTCAACGGCGACCAGTAAGTAGCCTACAACACAAGACGGTGATATCACCGTGAACCGTACTCAACGACTGACGGTTTGCTTGATGTTTCCCATAATTATGTTAGATAACAATGGTTTAACTGTGGCTGATTAGTTATATTGATATTCTATGCATAATTTTGTCGTTAAAATTGTAATAACATGGGGTTTATCAGTAAAATATCTTTCTTATGACACTACTTTGTTACGTGCATAATTTATCTGTCGTTTTAAGTTGTTTGATGATTTTTTAATGTTTTATGACCCTTTTTACCATTTTTACATATTTGTTTAATATGGTGTTGTGGGTAATGAAATTGTTCGGAATTTAATGAGGAACCATATTTAAACATTAGTTTTTAACAAATAATAAAAATTAAGGAGCTAACTAGATAAAACCGACATCATGTCACCTTAAACCTGCCACCTACCAGGTCTGAGTTGGAGACCAAACACCATTGTTCTTTTGGGCCCGAACCATCTCATTTGGGCTCGGACTTGACTCGTGAACCCACCGGGACTAATGATCAGAAGCCGGGACTATCTGTAATTGGACTCGTGAACCCAACTTTTAAAACCGGGTTTTATCCCTGCACTAATTGTGTGCCCCCTATCAGTTTGGTCCGCGGCTTATATAGTCTCGAGCTCGTGAACCCGATTTTTTAAGTCGCGGCCCAAATACCGGTTATTTCCGGATTTTGGGCTCGGACTACGATAATCCCGAGCTCGTGAACAATTTCTAAGGGGTAAATACAGATAATAATCAAATGTGACTCATTGTAGGTCATGACTAAGTCATTAGTTAAGCTAGTTAACATTGGCATAAAGAAATTATCCCAAAGTAGGTTATTAGAAACATATATTGCTTTTTGAAAATTTATATTAATTTGAAGTAGGCCTACTTACTTAACTTCTCAAGGAAATGTTAATACCTTTAATACTTTACTTTAATAAGGACGATGATTTATTTGGGTAAACTTAAAGCGTGCGTGGCTTGCGCATGGATTAAATAGTATTCCAATTACAAGTGGGGTATTAATTTAATTAGTTTGTTGTCAACTCAACAAATTTTATCTGCTTTCCAAACTCATCAATTAATAATCCACCCATTCGAGTACTATGTTTGACGCAAACTTAATTTATTATCTTAACATGTGGATTTATACTATAAAGAATACTAGTGACTTGTAGAGACACAAGTCTCTAAAACGCTCAAATGTAAAACAAATTATTGTAATATTTAAACCAAGTCTGAATCAAATTATCTATGTGTCAGGATAGATATCCCAGTACAACCTATATTTTGTTGAAAAAACAATTTGTTGTTTGTCTTTTGTTGATGTTATTTACAATAAATAATTTGAATGAATAATTGCTGACAAATATTAATAATACAAATAAATACAAAATAAATTACTCCAGAGGCTCATTCAACTCTGCTAAAGGCAGCAAACATGTTTGTGAATAAATATTGCTTTACTTAGGTAGCTTTGGTCTTTTGGTTAATGACAATAAAAAAAAATCCCCGATTGAATTATTGGAAATTGTTTTCGCCAAATATGAAAAGGCAAATAAAGATGTGTTGAGATAAGTTTAGTTCATGGTCAAAACCGCTAAATTAGCACCCCGACCCAGTTATTATTTTTAAGTTTATGCTTCTTTTGTAAAGGTTTAACAAAATTAGTGTAAAGTAAAGGCATCCCATTGACCAAACCTAACCCTATATTTGTTTCTGATCAACATTAAAAAAAAACTACTATTAGTCTAGTGAAGTTTATGTGGTGGTATTTCTCCTAAAGGTGCGATTGACTTTACATATTCTATCAAAAATGGCCGAATCAACGCCTGATTACTAACTATTTTACGACTGGTTAGGGTTCCATTACCCAGGTATCGAAAACAATCACAAAATTACTTTTCATCAGCATCTTCGACAGATTTATGGTTAGCCTAGTTTTAAGAAACGGAAACACCTCTCATTTTACTGTTATTTATGGATGATCCCTTTACTACCGTGCATGCTAGGCTATATTATATTTGAACCCATTTTGCTTGGAGCAACAGGCAGTAAAAACCTGGTTAAATTGTCCTCCAATCCAAATTGTTTTTCCGCTCATTGGAACTTGTGATAGTACAGTAATGATGAACAAATACCTGTACGGACCTATTTCATCTTTATTCCCAGGTTGTTTTCTAAGAGTAGCCAGTAGCCATTGAGGTTATTCCACTTTATACAATTGCCTAAAAAACTAATAATTACATATTGAATAACACTACAGTAAATCTCAAATATAAATTTTAGTAAATTTACAAACAAAGAGTAGAATAAAACTTTAACATATGTTTTGAAATCAAAACAAAGCAGAAGTTTTCCATTTAATCTTGAATCGTTTATTATTTAGTTAATGTGGTTGCTATCTCCTATGATACTACTACTTATCATACGCTTAACTAATTTACTTAAAAACACACAAGTTTGCAAATGCACAGTAAAACAATTGATTTAACCCTTTGAGTGCCAACGTCCGGGGAACCGGACGTTTTTAAAACGAGCCAAAAGTGCCAACGTCCGGCCGACCGGACGTTTTTAGAACGAGCCAAAAGTGCCAACGTCCGGCTGACCGGACGTTTCGTAATGATCGAACAGCTGTCATAACAACCGAATAAATACTCGGATTCTTTTAACCCATATATTAACATTTGAGTCGAAAGTTGCTAGATGCGATACATCGATTTTCGTTGGTCGAAATATCGAAAATTCGATTTTTACGAAATTTTAACCTAAAAATCGCCAGATCGCGCTCGGCATTTTTAGCGCGACCTTCGGGAAAAATCATCGGCATTTTTTGAGCGTTACTTTTATTTCTCGCCTGGCACTCTAAGGGTTAAACTTTTGAAACAGTCTTAATTATTATAGGAAATGTTATGCCAAGTTTTATATAGTATACAGTACATTGCAGAATTGACTGGCAAATTAGTAATTCAAAATGTAATATTGCTTACTTGCTTGATGTTAAATCATGTCACGATCAGCTGTATTGAAGTAAACAAAAATCAGCAGTGAATGGCTTCTAAAGCTATTTGTATGTAGAAAAAATACAATATATCTAATTTTGTGTTAAAATGTCGGGAATTTCACTACCTTTCCCACTGTCACGGGATCGGGACCTTTAATTTGAGCCCTCTTCCGTCGTTCTACGACTTCCCAGTTGCCCACAATTTTGACGCCAAGAATTGACTTACGTAATTAATGTATAGACGATTGACCTAAAGTAGAATTTTTCAATCTTCGGGTGGTTTATACTAAGCTAAAAGTATTTCATCAAAAAACACGCTTTAATACCTTCCCTTTAGCATCAAACCTAAGTACTCCTTAAAAGTAATGCTATTTAAATATATATTATAATAAAGAAGATAGTATGTCATAAGTGTGTCATTAAGGAAATATTATAGTGAAAATCTAATCAGGCTAATAGAATTTTATTTAGTCTGCAGGTTTGATGTGACGGAAGGGTTTTAAAAATATTTTTGTATGGTAAGTTTGACCTGGAAATTTGTAATTTTGAAAAACCCAATTTTCCTTGAGATTTATATTTATGGCAATATTTGTTTATTTGTCAATTATACCTATTTTACACTAATTCTTTCTAAATGGAATATAAATTAAATACATAGATATTGTTTTGATATGGATATTACCAGAGAAAGACCTCTCCATTATGTATACCTTCACATTTCCTTTTCTCCACCATCTTTAATCTTACTCCTGTTTTATCCACATCCCTCTTCATCTCATAAATGCTATCTTCTGTAAAAGACGCTAAAAGTCTTATCTAGGTCACCCTCATTGTCTTCTACCAATAACCCAGAACTCTTTGTTCTCGCATTATTCGCACATGTCCTTTTCTACAATCACTTTAAACTGTCCTCAAGCACTGTACTTCTGATCCCTCCACTCTCCTCTTTACCTCTACTTTTACCTCTTGGTCCCAACTCTTCAGCTTGTATTACTTTCCATAACCATTTCTGTATATTCCTTGCTTCCACCCCATAGGCAACTAATCTGTTAACATGTTAGCCTCAGCGTCACGTTTTTTTACAAATCAAAAGGTTAAATACCTGCTGTATTGTTTGTGATCCGTTTTTTAATCTGTGACTAAGGTTTCGAACCTGAAGGTTCATTTTTTAGCTCATTAGCAACTTTGAATCACCGAAAGTACCTACAGCAGGTATTTACCATTTTTATGTATAACTAACATGTGTTTCATTTTACTATACCTCCCAAAGTAAAACTCTATATAATATCTACCTATCCTTAATCTTGCAGGATTGTCGATAGTGAAAGGATGCAAGATGCTGATTGGTTTTGTTGGTCGGCTGAGTCTGTTAAAGATTTTAGCTGGTGACGGAATTATATTTGGTAATACCTGCATGACAATATCAATTGTTCTATAGGTTGTATAACAATGGATTGCTATTGCTACTTGCTACTAACCACAACACTTCACCATTTGTCAGGATTTCAAATGATGCTCTAAAACAATCTTTTACTGTACCGTTTTATGACATTTTATTTACTGAAGCTAAATAACTTTTTGCTTTTTACATTAAAGATGTAAGAACTGTTATATTGTTACTATTATTATACTCTGAAGTTTAATACTCGTATGATGAAGTATTGCATTGATAATTAATATTTTTCAAAATCCTATTTAATTTAGAAAAAAAGATTATTTGTTTACTTTTTTGTTCGCACCGCTCGATTAGCAGACCTGACACCCCAAATCTCTTGTTGGGTAAATATTTTATCTGTTATGCCAATTCTTGTCACATTAAACTTTTTTGGTTTATACAGCTTTCTAATACTTAGTGTTACTCAATTAAATAATCAGTTGTAATGAATTTCCCATATAGGGAATAAGCTATTATTACCGTAGGTCTCATGGTAAGACCTAGACCCGGGACCGATTTACTTTTTCGAATAATAGGGGATAGTTTTCTTATAAATATTTACTTTTTCTTCATGGACTTCCTGTGGCTGATTTTCATTTGTCTCAAGTCTCAAGACGAACTGTTGGGTCTATAATGAGACCGAAATCTTTCCCCTTGTCTATAACAATGATGTCACTCCGCCTCACAGAGCCCTCTTCTTCTATAGCCGTGACTTCTTCATAGACCTCGTAACTTTTCTTTCTGAATTGATCAGCTATGATTTTTCTGATCGTATGGTGGCGGGTATTCAGTAGAAGACTACTAAATGGGCACTTTCCAAAGACGTGGGCAAGAGTTTCAAGAATAAATTTCTCAAATACAGGACAATGTATCCCGTCCCTGTATCTCCCATGAAGACTTCTAAGAGGAATAAGTATTGTTTGAACTCAGCTTCTGTGAGGCCACAACCTCTAGCCAAATTGTTATTGATCTTATTACATTCTTTGAAAAGAACCACCCCATTCCCTTTGTATGGAAGTTTACACCAATTTTGATACTCTAAGTCTTGTAAGGTTTCTCTCAGTATCTTGGGTTTTGATTCGATAAATTTAATACTTAAATTCAATTTTTCCAGGCAAAACCTAATTTCTTCATCAAATTGACGAATATTAAGTAAGTAGGGGTTTCCCGTTCGTTTTAATACGCGACATATGTTTATATGTTGGATTGATGATCCCCACATTGATTTACATAACCCAATCCCTTTTTTCATTTTTGATGTTAGCCTCCGGATTACGTTGAATATATAAATTGGTTTAAATACCTGCTTCTAGTAATCCAATTGTTGCAATTTCTGTCACGCAACTAGTTTCGACTTCATACAGAAGTCATCATCAGGCGTCCAGTTGGATGTCAAAATAATCACTTCATCTGAAGGTCGTCGATTCACACATAGTACATTCACACGCAAACACGCACACGAACACGAACATAGACATATAAAAAAGGTACATTTAGAACGATGATAATACTAATTGGTAACTTTAGGATGATGCGTCACGACCGGGTGAATGTAGCGTCTAGACTGCCGGTCAACGTGTTCGGTCGGCGCTGTGACGTCACTCCCTTTGTTCTCGTTATCAGTCAGCTGTCCCCATTCATTCCCGACTCTCTCTCAAGTACCTTGATTGCCGTGTCATAAATATAATTTGACTGGAAAGATAGTTTGTCATTTAAAATATTTTGTTTGTCGAATTTTACTGCTCTGTATATTTCAAATTCTTCCAGTGTATTTTTGTTGAAATGGTCGTTAGATAAATGCAATACGGTCATGTTGCTGTCAATATTTGTGTAATTATGATTATCAGAAACTAAGTGTTCGGCAAAAGTTGAGGTTTGAGCGGACGTTGTTTTTCTTGGAAGATGTTCTTTAAATCTCTTCTTAAAAGAACGAGCTGTCTGCCCGATATAATATTTAGGACAGTCGTCGCAACTGATCTTATAGACGCCAGTCTTGTCAAAAATCGGAGTCCTCGTTTGGGGTCGATCTTTCAGTAAAGTTCCGAGTTTGTTAGCTGTTTTAAATGACACAGTGACGTTATTTTTTGCCATGATGTTTTTAAATTTATTGCTAAGGGAAGAACCGTATTCCGTTGAGATGTACTTCTTCTTATCTTTTGTTTTGGAGGTTTTTAGTTTATGTATACGAATCAGTTTATCAATGAGAATGCTTTGATAACCATTAGCGACGGCAATGTGTTTAAGGATCCTTTAAGGATCCGCGTGTTTGCGTGTGAATGTACTATGTGTGAATCGACGACCTTCAGATGAAGTGATTATTTTGACATCCAACTGGACGCCTGATGATGACTTCTGTATGAAGTCGAAACTAGTTGCGTGACAGAAATTGCAACAATTGGATTACTAGAAGCAGGTATTTAAACCAATTTACCAATCCCTTTGTTTTTAGTACTTGTATAAAACATAGAATTTGGCATGTTAATTGCATTAACATATGGCTTAGACAGTTCCATTTAAACAATGTTAAATAATGTTTAGTTTCAGGCAAAATCGTCATTTGTTTATGTTTATGATCCATACCGGGTCTTTTTTAGTTTAGGTAAGGAAAATATTATTTTGCTGATATTGACTCAGTTTTTTTTTTTGTTTCAGTGTTGGTAGTTCTGGTTGTGCTAATCATCGTGCTGCTTGCCTTCGGAGCTATCTATTGGACGAGGAGGAAAAGGGCCACTTACTGGTATCGGAAACTTAAAACTGACAACCTCTAACCTCTATAAATACATCCAAAAAGTTTCCAAAACTATACCTTTAACTTTATCAAACATTTTACAGGCTAATTAAAAAAAAAACAATATTTCTGTAACTGGGTGGACTATAAATTAAGACAAAGTTATAATTGTGGTTGGCAAACAAAAACAAACTATCTGTTGAGTAATGAAGTTTTATTAGACTTTGGATCTCAAAAAGATTGTTTTTGTTTTTTGGAACAGTTTAACATACTTGTGGTTTCTTTGTAGGATAATAAATTTTATAGAGCTATGCCTTGTTTCATAGGAGCTGCTTTTATGCTGAAAATTATATAGTTACTGTAAGTATCTTGTTCTGTCTATCGGGGCCTCTTGCACATTGTCACCATTTTGTTGGCCCATGCTGGTGATGGCATTCAGATCGAGTTTCAGCTCAAAACCGATTTTGCACCTAATATATATATATGTGGAATTTATACTTTTGTCGCATCATCCAGACTTTTTATGTTCAATGAAATAGATATTTCACTGGAATTCGTATTTCTTAAACTTAATGGGGTTATTCGTGTTAACATTTCTGAGCCAAAAAGGTAAACAGCCTGAGTTAATAGACTTTTAGTTTGACGAGATTGTACATTCCTAGATTATTTTGTTTCTACCACATATAGCCAGCATAGGCCCACAAATGTTGTTCTAAAATGTCAGTAGTATGCACAGATACTTTTGTGTTTCTTTGACATAATTTGGTTACCTTATACAATCAATATCCGAGATTAAATAAGGTTTGTATTTCATTACTTAAAGAACTTAATTAAAATATAATATTTTATACACTTTATTTTACCATAAACCAACGAATCTCGCAAAAGACTGAAGACTATTTTTGTTGTTTTGAACATTTATTGTACAGTACAAAATGTGTTATTAATAGTCGTTAGTCTTTCTGTCTGAGGAAGATATAGATTTATATTAATTGAATAGCAAAGTGAGAAAAATATCAACATCTACTTTTTCTTCCATTCTTTAAACAGTACTAGCACATACCGTTACTTTTATCTCATTCCATGTTTGCTTATTTCAGTAAATTGGGATGAAATGTGCAATCGTTATTCGTATTTGTTCAATAGGAGGAAAGAGCAGACCTCTACTGTAAGTTTTGTATCATTGTTAATGTTACCATGATTGAAATGAGTTTGTAATAGGTGCATAGCCAGGATTGCAATTCAGAAGAGCTACTACCGTACCTAATAACTGAAGGGAAATCTTAACTTGATTGCTGAGGGAATGTAAAATTGGTTTATTTCTGTTGATTTATAAACTGCAAATAACTTCTTAAATATTTTGGGAGTTGCTGGAGCCCCCTAAGTGACCCTGGCTATGTGCTTTGTTTGTGATTTGTTCGTAAATGTATAAAATATTTGTCTTTTTGTACTAACGATCCAAGTGTTTGTGATTTGGTGTTTTATTTTCTGACAAAACGATTTCTTTGACAGGAGGCACTCTCTCCACCGACCCTGCATCAATTAACCAACGGTAGTTCGAATTAATTGCTTCTGTTTGGGCAAAGTTATAAATTTATTTTTCCTCCCTGAATTTTAAAATTGGTTGATTTAACAAACGTTTTCTAGGAACATAGAGACGTTCATTCCCATTATTGCAATAATAATATAGAATTATATCTATTCAGGTACTGTATTGCTCTTTACTATAAGGGAAAATTAAAATGACTTTACATGTTTACATAGTTGCCCGTTTTAACTGTCCTTTTTAGGTTATGTGATCTAGGTTCGCCCTTGTGAGGGTTGTTTATGAGATAGTGTTGTGAGGATTTTCAACCAATCACTGTCCAAATGTGGTACTGATTTTTAATATATTTAGCACAGTTGTATTACACGTTTAACACAGTAAAAATAATATTTGAGCTTAAAGATTAAGAAACTTAACACTTTGTTTTACATTTTTTGGTATTATATAAAACGATTCTATAGTATTAAAAAATTGTGCGTTTTTATGTTATTGTTGTTTTTGTACTTGTACACTGTGAAGTCTAATCTGTAATAATCGTACCACTAAGGTATAAAGTGACTTTTCTATCCGAGTTCAAGTTTCAGGCCTGGGTAAAGCCGAGGTCAGAAAATGTGTGTATTATGCAATTGATAAATCAAACTATTGACAAGAATGCAACAATAAGCTACAACCGATCAAAACAATTGATAACTTTCATCAAACATGATTAAATGGAGCTCTCATAGAGTGTGGTAATGTTTCAACTCTGCTGATAGAGATGCTGCATTACTCTTTTAGTTTGCATCATCAAAATGTTGGTGATTAATTATATTTTATTTTAATGCTTGATCTATCAATGGCTTAGGTGTGGATGTTTATTTTGTAAAAATTAATTAGACATGAGTTTGCTTTTAGAATGGCTGATGTTGATACCCTTCATTAGCTTCATCTTCTTGCCCTATAAAGTATATACCTTTCTACGCTTGCAAGATGAAGGGGTGAAAGTACTTGCGCCCCTTCATCTTGCAAGCGAAGATTTGTCTGTGAATAATGCTATTCAACTGGCTGAGAGATTCTATGCAGCTGACCTGCATGTAATATGTCTAGTTTTTAAATGTTGATTTGTGTCGGTTTTGTGGTTAACCCTTTGACTGCTAGGCCTATAATTCATATTTTGTAAGACTTTTTTTGTTTGCCTTTTAATTCCATTACCTGTTGCTGAATTTTAACTGTATTGTTTTCACTGTTTTATTAATCTGGCTAATTTGGAATAATAGGTTAACAAATATATAACAAAGAAGAGTCTAAGTATTTGCAGTTTAATTTTTTTTTAACTGTCTTTCCGTTATAAATTTCCAAGTTTTCTTATAAATTGTAATGTTCTGATAGCATTATTTGAAACCAAAATCTCATGAAATCCAAAGACATATAGTTTACAATGTAATATTGAATTGAATTTAACCTTGATTTAGTTTGATAAGGTTATTATAATATAGCCTTTTTAGAAAAAAATCTGTTTGTCAGTAAAGCCACATAAACACCATTTATACTCACTGTTGTGGTTCAGCTGAAAAATATAATCTAAATAGTCTTAGACTAACTATTGCTGCTACCTAGTAACGCATTGAAAAAAACTAAATTGTAGCGCTGTCGGGTGCGCTATCTGTTAGCAATGGTTGACGTCAGCTTTAATACCGGTTTTTACTCCATAATCTTCAAGCACAAATAGCTGAGAAGGCTAGTCACTTGGCCAGTGGCATTCGTTTGCTCGGGTTTGAATCCCGCCCTGTGTGGCAAATAATTGGTGACCTGTGTGTTTGTAGCGATATACTACAACTACTGGGGCATATTGAGGTGTTCATAATCCTTGGTTTAGACATACACCTTGAATCATCGGATTGGGCGGATCTTTTAGCGTTTTAGCTAAGTGGTTGTTAGTGTATCCTATGAACATGCAAGTCATCAATGGCCGTTTTGCTACTTTTTGTCAAAATAACCTTCCTTATACCTTAAATATTTTAGTAAACAACGATATATCGTTCCATAGCACTCAAAGGGTTAACAGATTTAGAAACTGATCTGCGTTCTTTTGTGGATTGCAACTAACATGTGTTTTACAGTAGACCCCCTCTTAACCGACCCTAGGTTGTATAAATCGAAAGGTCGGTTAAAACCGGCAATCCCTAAAAACTTAAAAATTTAAGTCCTATTCATTTTGAACTATATAATCACTATTCTGAAGTTGTGCATGTTAAATTTACAAAATAAACTACATGTATACCTTTTTTTCTTAAGTATTGACGATAAAAAAGGCACAAATAAACTCAATACGGGTAAAAACAAATAATACTTTCAGTTGAATAGATTATATCCGTAGGCAAGAGTCTATAAAAATCCTTATTTTAATGCCTTAAATTGATTCTTTCCAAATTTATCATAATACTGTACATGACATGTGTACAAATCAAAGAGACAAGCAACTACTTTGTTACGAGACAGGATGTTTATCTATAGCCTGAAACATCCTGTGTAGAGTCTAGCTTATTGTTCCCATCGCCAAGCATGGGAGCTGAAATTCTGATTCCTAGAAAGTAGCGGTTAAACCGAACTGTTCTACAAACAAGGTCGGTTGAAACAAACTGTAATATTTTACGAGCGAGGGCGGATAGTCCAATTATTAATGTGAGGTTGGTTAAGAGGGGTCCACTGTAATAATAGTTTGTATGGGCTTTCAAGGGTCTCAATTGTCCCGAGGGCTAAAATAACATTAAAACCCTTAAAATAGAATAATAATTATTGTAATTATAATTTTCCATAAGATTACTTTTTACTTTAAGAAAATTGTATTGCTTTTTATATTATTCAATACTTTTTGTATTTTTAGCGAATTTCCCATATAGGGAATAAGCTATTACCGTAGTACTCATGGTAAGACCTGGACCCGGGACCGATTTTTTTTTTCGTTTTGAGGTCCCTAGAGGCCAAAAACACCATCCGTTCAAATTCATATATATATATATATTTATATATATATATATATATATATAGATTTATATATATATATATATAGATTTATATATATATATATATATGTGTCCGTTAGCGCGATAACTCGAGCAAAAATGATCCGATTTTGATGAAATTTGGTACAAACGTGTAAACCTACGTTTATTCGAACGAGTTCGCGAACCAGCATGATCGGACCATGGGAACGGGGGTTTATGGGGGCTTTTATGGAGTAAAAATGGGTTTTTCCAATTTTTGACCCAAAAAACATAAAATTTTGCAATTTCTTTCCAAACTATTTTGTAGAGCTTAAAAAAACAAATAATTTAGTATATTGAAGCGTTATAATGCGCCTAATGGTTACGGAAAAAATTGTTAATTTAAAATTCCCATGTTATTCTTATGGAGAATAAGTAAACTGTTGTAGTTTGCTTGTTTGTGAACATATTTTGATCAAATTTGGAAAATGTTTTTATTTCTTACTAACTATTCACATTTTACAAAAAAAAAAAACAGTTTTACCCTCCCTGATGCAGCAAACCTAAGTACTTGTTAAACTAATTATATTTAAATCAAGAATAAATGTTATATTTTTAAGTAGACATTTCAGTGTAAATCCAATCAGTCGAATGGAAATTCGCTTAGTCTGCAGGTTTGCTGCGGCGGGGGTATTTTTATCCTACTTACATTTTTTTGACTGTTGCTTCTCTATGGCTATTTAATTTATGGACAAATTCTACACAAGACAGCTAAAATCAGTTGACCACTTGAATTTTGTCCTGTAGTATTTCGATAAAACCTAGTGCATTATCTTCCTAAAAACATTGGTTGCATTATTTGTTAAATGTTAGATTTAGAAAGTATCTGGGACTGTAGTGGCCAAATGTTATCTCTAATTGCTTGTTTGATTTTGGTTAGTGCTGTATATTTTTTCCAGATGTTTCCAAAAAACATCCAAACATGCTATCGTTCCTACTCGTAATACTTGTACTTTATTTTTCTCATTCTCTTGTGTATTCTTTTTTTCAGACAAGAGTTACTGCAGCATCCTCATTTGGAATTGATAATTTTGGGGTTGTATGGTCTGAATTGTTTTTACCGCCCATTACATTATTAACTTAAATATGTATTCTGTAGACCACAGAATGAAGTTAACTTATTGAAAGGGAAGGACCATTCCTATTATTTTAGCTTAATTTTTAAATGTAAAAAACTTGTTGATATCTCATTGTTTGTTTCCATAAGTACTTCAGTTTTAATTACAATTGGAATGTTTTATTGCAGAAATGGATAGGCCAGTTTAATTTTATAGTGTGAATGGTAGGTTATTTCTCAAGTTTAAGGTTATATGTGTGACAAAGGAAAAATCTCCTTAATTTATTAAAAATGCAACCATAATAATGTTGTTAAAGATTAAATTAATTGTTACATTCGCCTAAATAGCCAAATGAACATGATCCAAGGTGCTTATTCAGTGTCGGTAGTTTCTGATATGTTAGAAGCTTGCAAACTATATTACTACTAATTCAAACTGTAGGTTTTATCATTATAAATCAAATGTTTACGATGTGAAGTTTACTTGTAATAGGACAGGGTAGCATTATTTTGTGCCTCATAATTTTTCTTACAAACAAAACTAATTGTTTGGTTTTATAAATATTAACATGTTTCTTACAATTATTAATTTATACCATTGATTCAATTTTACACTCTTAATATTTGATATATATATATGTTATGTTATATTTAAATACTTTGTAGCTTATTTAGGTTTCTTTTATTCCTCAGGTTTTGCATGCAATACTACCTATATGTTTGAAAATCGCATTTAATTATATTTTGCTCAATCATTATTTTGCTATCGTGAATACAACTTGCTGATGTTGGTAAAACCACCAATATGTGATTTAGAGATCATGTGATATTTTCTTGTCCTTTTTTCATTATTTTAAATATGTAGAAAAATATAACAAATTGAATAAAAATTATTTTTATTAATTAATATACTAGTTCTAAATTATCCTCTCTTTACAATCTTACTTGTAGTTAACTGGATGTATTATGTACTTAAACTTATCTATTTATCTATACTATTATAACATTGATGTGGTGTCTGTCTGGGCAGCTGTCACGACTAAAATACTAAACCGATACTGCCAAAATTAAGCTCAAAGATGTCATAGGCCTGTTCACTTCCCTGAGTTCCTCTCGGGCTACGCCCCTTGGATGTTCAAAGTTTTGAGGAGGTTTAAAAAAAAAATAATTATTGGTCCCCATATTTAAAATTCGAAGCATGATAAAATTCACATTGTTTACCTTTGCGTTGACATTTAAACTTTATGATAGATTATTTATTTTAGATCAATTTCAATTATTATGAAACAGATTGTTCTTCCCCGTTATAAAGCACGGGTACAGCCGCTAAAAAGTGGGAGAGGTCTTAAATTAAAGGTCTTGACCCCAGGGACACGGGAAAAATAGCAGAATTCCCATAAAGTTACCAGAAAACGAGATATAACGTAAAATTCGTTCTTCATAAGAATAGCATTAGAAGCCATTAACAGCAGTAAATACTGCTGAATTTTGTTTACTTCCTTCAATACAGCTGATCATGATATATCATTAAGCCAGTGGGTAATATTACAATTCGATTACTCATTTTCCAGTCAATTCTGCAATGTAATGTATACTATATAAAACTAGGGATAACGTTACCTATAATAATCAAGACTTTTTAGTTACGTCTTAGAAAGTTAAAATCAATTGTTTTGTAGAGCAATTTGTAAACTTGTGTATAGGAGATTGCTCAAATCAAAGGAACTAAACTTAGAATGGCTGAAAAATAATTAAGGGTTTCTTCTGATTTGAATGTTATTGGTGTGTTGAAGGAATGTTTGACATGAAATAACCACATTGACTAAAAAATAAACGGTTAAAGATTAAATGGAAAACTTCTGTTTTGTTAGGATTTCAAAACATATGTTAATGAGATTTCAAAACATATATTAAAGATTTATTCTACACTTTTTTGTATATTTACTAACATTTATATTTGATAATTATTGTAGGGTTTAATCAATATTTTTTATGAAGTGGAATAACCTCAATGGCCACTCTTAGAAAACAACCTGGGAATAAAGATGAAATAGGTTCCTCTGTACAGGTATTTGATCATTAAGTAAGTACTATGACAAGTTCCAATGGGCGGAAAAAACAATATTGTTTGTAGGGAATTTTAACCAGGTACTGCCTGTTGCTCCAAGGAAAAAGTTTTCAAATAATGCCTAGCATGCACGGTAGTAAAGGGAGCATCCATTCATAACAGTTAACAGTAAAACTTAGAGGTAGTTTCTGTTTCTTAAAACTAATCAAAAATATGCATGTCGAAGATGTAAGTCTGAAGTATGTCTGAAAAGTAATTTTGTGATTGGTTTCGATTACTGGGTAATGGAACCCTAACCAGTCACAAAATAGTAAGTAATCAGTGGTTGATTAAGCCCTTTTTTGATAGAATATGTAAAGTAAATCGCAAGGAATACCACCACATAAACTTACACTAGGCTAATAGTAGTTTTTTTTAAATGTTGATCAGAAACAAATCTAGGGTTAAGTTTTGTCAAGTGGATGCCTTTACTTTACACTAATTTTATTAAACCATTACAAAAGGAGCATAAACTTAGAAATAATAACTGGGTCGGGTGCTAATTTAGCGGATTTGATCAAAAACTCAGGGTATCTCAACACCTCTTTATTTGCCTTTTCATATCTGACAAACACAATTTCCAATATTTCAATATCATCATTAACTAAAAGACCAAATCTACCTAAGTAAACCAATATTTATTCACAAACATGCTTACTGCCTTTAGCAGGGTCAAACCTATGGATTCATTCAAATTATTTATTGAAAATAACATCAACAAAACCAAACAAAGACAAACAACAAACTGTTTTTCACACAAAAGATATGTTGTACAAAAGAAATCTATCCTGACAAATAGTTATTTGATTCTGAGTTTATATATTACTGTACGATAATTTGTTTTACATTTGAGCTTTTTAGGGACCTATGTCCCTACAAGCCACTAGTTTAATCATATTCACTCATTTTGGGAAAATCCGTTATGGCTTGCTGAATTACTGATGGTTTATTTCCTGATTTATTTTTGTGTTAACATTCAACATAAAAAAATGGACTAATTGATAAAACAGTTTTAGTTCCATATGATCTTTTAAAACTTTAAAAAAACTACTATGGTGTTGGTATTTTTATAAAATAGACCAACAGTATAGTTTAATTCCTGTGTGAAAAACTCTTATTGCTAGTAAATTAATTTTTCACAATAACAGTATATACTGCACTATACTACGATGATTATATCAAGACGAACCCCTTCTCCAATTTGTTTATATTTCATTACTTTAAAGTAAAACATCTTACATAACTTTACAGAAAAAGAATGTAGAGTATCGTAAATAGCATCAAATGATTGTGGCCTCCGAGTCATAGAGTCACACTTAATTTGTTTGTCACACGATCCAGTATTGATCCCATTAACATTCTGATGCAATCAAAGTCAAGTTTTCGACGCAGGTCATCTAATTGTTGACCTAGGGTCAGAAGCTAAATAGTTGTAAAAGTTTCTTTCAATTCACCAATTCCAAATTAGAACAATGCATTTATTGAATTTTGGAATAATCAGTACACATACTGATTATAAATGGTTCTACCATATTTTTTATAATAAAAAATGTGTTTGAATTAGGACATAACGAGGGATGGGTTAAATAATATTTAAAACATGGGAGTAATTTATTGACAGTAAACCACATGATCTGTGCTTTTTAATCTTTTTATTTACGTAGTTTTTTTTTTCAAAACATTTTAACATATTTACATGACACAAGTAATCTTATCAACAAACATAGTAAGGAAATCCCTTCATACCGTCAATAAGCAGGTTTTTTAGAGGGGTCTCAAACTGGGAATGGCTGTGTTATTAGAGGTGTAGGTATAAGGGAAATCATTCCATAAGTAACAAAAGCAGCATAGATAAAACATACTCCCTTAGTAGATTTGTCATCCTTATGGTAACAGGCTGATCCAATACACATTATGAATTGTACTGTACTGATGTACTGATACTGTGGTGATGACAAGTCCACAAATAGATCGAGTACCGTACACCTGTGAGAGCATTCCTCAGTCTACATTGAGGGTATTTACTGTTTCAAAGAATAGTTGTTGAATGTATGCTTACCTTTGAATATTTGCAAATTAAAAACTGTTCCTCTTGTAGTTAGCTAATTTGATGACCATTATCAAACCATTTGAGCTCCAGGGTAATAATTTATTTAATACCTATGTTACTTTCTCCCCCTAGGCCTACATAGTATCTGGAGAAAGTATTGTTTTCGTAAACATTTTCGAGTTTGAGTTTTGACAGGATATATCCGTTTTGGGCCCCCCCTGAACCCAAAATAGTGTTTTTCAGAGTGATGTCCGTGTGAGTTTATGTCGATGTTACAGAGCAACAGACCACACTTGTCCAATTTGATGAAATTTGGTACGTAGGTACTAATCTATTATATCTCCGGGCGTGTTTTCATTTTTTCCAAATTTTTATTTTTATTTTTAATGATGATTTTTCCATAAAAACCCATAAAATAACAAAATATTCTATTTTAGGAGAAAACCCTGTTTTGATTAAAATTTATGTGTTACGGACCTTATAATTCTAAACAAAAATAGTGCAACCCCTCATTGCTGTAACAATTACGGTTCAAAAGTGATTGCAACTTTTGTGATTTATCCCTACAGAATATCATAGTAACTCCCACTGCTTACCTATGATGAAGGCTGTTTACAAGCTTATGGGAGAAAGTATGTGTCAGTTTGCTGATACGGTCTATTAAATTTTATTATTCCCTGATACAAACACAAAAAATTAAAATTGTCACAAAAAAGTGGGTTACTGTAGTATTAAATACACGCTGTTAAGTTTCCATGTACCACGTTTTCATAGCTTACAGACGCAAATTCCTTCCATAGAATAATATAAATTCAAATTTATTTTAAAAATTGATATCTTACTACACATGGTGGTCTGCTGTAGAACAAAGAATAGTAGACATAACATTTTACAAGTTTGTTTAAACCTAGTTATGATTATTGGTATAAAGATTTTTTCTTATGATTTTAATAGCAAGTTTTATGGCTGTCAAAGATATTAAATATGGCACTTGGTTTTCCGAATAGAATTTCTTCCAAAATTGCTAAACTTGTTTAGGAATCGTGAGGACCTCTTGAACCAATTAGTATGCACTTAAAATTTTGATATTGTATATTTTTCCAAATAATAGGAGATAGTTTTCTTATATATTTTAACTTTTTCTTTATAGACTTCCTTTGGCTGATTTTCATTGTCTCGAGAAAAAATAAGCGTTTCAAATATTACAAGTAAAGTCTTTTTTTAAAAGAAAACTATTTGCACAGAAAACACTGATACAGTATAATCTCCTCGATAACAAGAGTTATGGGGATTATAAAATAAGACCTGTTATCAAGGTTGACATCTTACCGAGGTTTGCAATAACGTGTTATGAGGGGTAAATCAAATCAATTGGAGATTTGAAAATGCTACTTTTTAACAGGGGAAATTTGTTAACGAGGTTCTATATTAAAATAAACAGAAAATTTAAAATATAAATGTTATAAATTCACATTTGTAGCCTGTGTTAGATAAAAAAAATGTTGATGCCACATAAAACAAAAACAACCAACATTAAATCTAATTACTGATTTAAAAAAATATATGCCGTATCAGATAAATAGTAAAAAAATGTGGTTGGGAAAGTTTTATTTTTATAATATCAGTTAACATAAGAATGATTTTTTTAGAGACAATAATTGTCTCTGATACTGACTTTTGGTAAAAAAAAATTATTCTTATGTTAACTGATATTATAGAAATAAAACTTTTCCAACCAGATTTTTTTACTATTTATCTGATACGGCATATATTTTTTTAATTATTAAAATTATATTAACTATAAAATTATAAAAATATTAATTATTAATTAATAAAAAACATTGGTTGGTAAATTTCTAAGCTTGCATAAAAGAGCTGTAACCAACACCAAACAACCTAATAACCTTTAACTTTTAATGTAGCATCTAGCAAAGACATTACAATGACTAACTTATGGCCTTCTATCAAAAATCTTCAAATATGTAATCAAAATACAGTATATTGATTCCCACATTTCCAAAATTAGCATATTTTTGTTAAATTAATTGTAAACAGATAAAGTATTTTCTTGTTTGAACTTATGGTTCATTTGTATTTCAGTATACATAATGAGTTTTATTTATTTACTGGCCGTGAGCGCAGATATGCTTATCTTGAAGATCTACAGCGCAGTATTGTGGAAGGCCCGACCTGCCACTGCCATATATATATCACAGTGATCTTGTGATCACCTCAAAACTCTGTGATGGTTCCGTCACTCAACATTGTTGTGGTGCTTCTCGTCTCAGCTTCGGCGGAAACTTTCGACAACAACTTTGGTCAAGTTGTGTTCTCCCATGTGGTAGGTAAAATTTGAATTAAATAACCTTTTTTCTTTATTTTATTTGTGTTTTTACACTATGGCATTTTTAAATGATTTTTGTATGGGAAGGTTCCAAACCTTGGTCTGAGATAAATTTGTATAGAACAACTTTATTTCCTAATTTGATTTTAAAGTAAGATGTAAAGTAATTTATTTATTTTAATTTTACTTTTACTTATTTTATTTATGGGGGGATTTATGGGGTGAAAATTGATTTTTCCCATTTTTGACCCTATACAAACTCAAAATTTCATCATTTCTCTCCAAACCATTTTGTAGAGCTTAAAAAAAGAAATACTTGTGTATATTGAAGTGTTGTTCTATGCCCAACAATTACAGAGATAATAAAAACAAATGTAAATTAAAAATTCCCATGTTATTCTAACTGTTGTAGTTTGCTTGTTTATGGATCTATTTTAACCAAGTTTTTAAACTTTGATTATTTAATACTAAGCTATCAACATTGCAATATAAAAATACACCTCAATACGTTCCCTGTAGCAGCATACCTAACTACTCAACTAAATTAATGTTAAGTTACTTAAATAGGAAATAAGTCTGACAATTTTTAGGGGATATTTTAGTATAAATCCAACCAGGTAAATGGAAATTCACTAGGAATTTCAATCCTTCATTTTTTTCAGCAGGTTTGCTGTGGCAGGGTATTTTATACCTTTTTTTAAACGTTTATCTGTTAGAACATGTTATTTTGAAAAATTAGTGAAGCCCCTCTAAAGTTAGTAACTAAATAGTTGTATTCTATGAATGAGATTTTATTTCTAAAAGATCCTTTACTTTCAGCTATTTCGACATGGAAGTAGAATGCCACTGGAATTCTACCCAAATGATCCTTATAAAGACTCTTCAAACTGGCCTTTCAAAGTTGCTCAACTAACAGATGTGAGTAACTGTGGTGTTTTTGAATTTTAAGAACAATGTTTTAGGAAAATTATACACAAATTATGAGTTTACTATACGTCCATTGCCTAAAATAATGGTCTAAAGCATTCATCCAACATTGATCATATTGTACCTAGTTTGTGAGAGAAACAAAATTTGCAAAGTATGTACCGGTATGTTAAAAATAAAACCGTGTTGGTGTTTATACCTCTCAAAGAGATATATTCATTCACTTAAGGATACAATATCTTTCTTGAGATATGATGCGCATAAGATTACAAACAAATTGTTTTTGGCAAATCCAATGTTTTGATCAGCAAGAATAAAATCCATCTTAACTGTGTTATACCCTTTTGCCAGTACAACAGTAGGATCCATGTGAAACAAATCTCTCTAAACTGGAACGTTTGGTAACTTCAAATGCCTCATGATTGTTGTAGCGAACACCATTAACCTAGTTTCTGGAGTAAGTTTTTTTTGTTTTTTTTTTTTTTTGTCCTAAGACGCTAGGCACGAGCCTGGGATGGTTTTTCACATTACTTAAGTCTAGACCTAGGGGTTGCAGCATTATCACCAGATCAAATCCATTGGCGATTTGGCGGGATTTGAACCCGGGACCCCAGGGACTGAAGTCCCGTGCTCTAACCACTACACCAGCTCGCTCCCCAGTTTCTTGAGTAAAGTGAAGCAAGTAAATCTTAATTTCACAGACCCTCAATAGTTAGGAGGGAAGACTTCTTACAAGTGTCAGGGAGGTCCAAAAATTTAAGATTCGTATTGAATATTACATTTTTGGACCTCCCTAACCTTTTTCCCTTAACCCTTTTCCCTAACCCTTTTCCCTAACCCTTTTCCTCCAAACCTAACCTTTAAGTACCTACCGAAAGTTGCTTCTATAACACCAATTTGTAACAGATGGGCAAAAAGCAAGAGTTTGAGTTGGGACAGTGGCTGCGACGTAGATACGACTCGTTTATCAGTGACTTTTACAATCCAGAGGAGGTCTACGTTCAGAGCACGGACGTTGACCGTACATTGATGAGTGCAGAGTGTCTAATGGGAGGTCTATATCACTCCAACAAGACTGTACATAGTTGGGAACCAGTACCTATACATACGGTGCCTGGTCCCAGTGACTGTGTAAGTATATGAAAAAGTATGTGAAGGAAAAAGTATATACTTTATTTAAGCTGCTAACAGTATTTCGAACATATAACAGTTTTAAACATTTGAATCATCTTATAGTCAACCCATTGGTGACCTGGACTTAGTACCAAAGTCAAGTTAGATATATAAGGTTGGTAGAACCGTGGACTTTTAATAGCTCAAATGTGTTTTAAACATAAATAGAGAAAGAAATCTAAATAATATAGGTTTTATTGTATTTTAATTATGTATGGACAGTTTCATACACCTTATAAAACATATCTTTCCGATTTTATCGAAAAATTGTTTAGCTAAATTATGAGATAGTTTTTCACAGTACGGTGGGAAATTCTTAAAAAATTCAACAGAAGTGCATAAAATTCGTACTCTATTATAGAAAATTAAATAATTAAAATATAATAACAAACAAAACAACCTATATCCTTGGTCGAAACTGGCACAAATGCTACCTCCAGATAGTTCAACCTACCTCCACAGTATGTATTTGACAACATTCAAGTAAATGAAGTGAATGATCAGGTCTTAGTTTTTCAAGAATTTATGAATCCTTCAACCATAACTCACAGTTTTAAAGCTATATTTTGTTGATTTTCAAGCTTTAAAATACCATTTAATATCAAATTGTTTTGGACATTCAGAAAACATGCAACAAACGGTTTAATATTTGTAAATACAAAATTAATTTGTAATTTTCCTACTTTACATTCATGTAAACATTTACAAATTCAGAGAATAAATAAAAATGCATAAACATAATTAATAAACATTTCACAAGCACATATCCTATTTTCTTTTACAGTAAACCAATTAAACATAAGATATTGATGGGATCAAAAGAATAGTCCCAATAATAAATTGCAATAACTTGTGCAATGCCATTCATGTACACAAAAAATATGTTTCTTGAATAAAGTGAATTTGAATCTTGAATCTAGTGGGTAGAGTTAAACAAATGATTATGCTTATTATCCACTAAGACATGTTTATCACTTGTCCCTGCTAACAAGCATGAAATGCTGGTTTGGCATGTATTGTTTACTTACTAGATCATTAATATTAGGCGATTAGTTCCCCCAATTCAACTGTAACTTAGTTTTTCTGTTTAAAACCTGAAACAAGCTGTTTAATATAATATTTCCATCTACATAGATGGATTTCTATGGCTATTTAATAGTATCACTGTCCAGTTTTGACATTGTATGTCATGTGAATTAAATGTTTTCTCTAATGATTAAGATTTTCAATATGAATTGATTTTTTGTTGCTATACTATGTTTACATCCATAACCAGGGGTATTTTTTAAAACCACTGGGTTTAGTAAATAAAATACTCATTGACATAGTAATAGCCTCTCTGATCCAAGTGGTGATGATTAAATTAATTGAAAATTAGTTTAATTTCATAAAAAAGCACAAAAACAATAGTTTAAAAGATACAAATTGTTATAAAGTGTTAAGAGTATATAATATTAGCTATTATCACCCTCATGAAGTAATTTAGTAACATATAAAAACAGTTTGCAAACAAATATGGTGTTCCTTAAAAACTCAATTAATTAAACAAATTTGTTTTTGTGAAACATAATTGTTAGTGAATATCAAATTTTGTTGATCGTTGTTTTCAAATACTCCTCCTAATATCCAAATGTATATGTTATTTCTTTTAAATTTCAAAAAATAACATTAACTTATCCTATATTTTTTTTTAGTTACTTATATGTTTTCTTACAATTACTTCATGATCTAACAACGGATTTATTTCTATAATGTTAGATGCTGGCAGCCACTGCGACGTGCCCTTGTCCTGCTTACAACATGGAGGTCGACAGAGTGCGCAACCTTCCTGAGGTTCAAGCCCTGGAGAACAAGTTCCAAGATATGTATGACTACGTGTCCAACCACACCGGCAACCAAGTGAGGGACTTTGGAGGCGCGATCAAAATCTACGACGCACTCTCCATAGAGGTTGGGTTTTGCTACATTTGGTTGCTTAAAGCATTGACTATAACGCATAATAGAGCGGCATTTATACAAAACAATACAAAAACAAAATCAACGAGTTTGGCTATATTGGTGCACAATTTTTTTAAACTTTGAGGGCTACTTATTCTCTTTGATTGAAAATGTAACGTTTGAAGCAATTGACAATTCAACACAAGGACAATTTTTTGACACCTAAAACAATGAAGTTAACCTAATACTTAAAGACAAGTTAAAGATAAACTACATGTTTTGTGGCGACAGCCACATCCTCAGGTTTATCCTCTTCTCAGATTCGTCATAAACTAAAATAAAATACATAGAACACACGTAAAAGACATCACATTTAATTGATCGAACGTCGCGGTGCGTGCACGCATTTGGTCCGGCCGGCGGCGACTCTGAGAAGAGGATAAACCTGAGGATGTGGCTGTCGCCATGAAACATGTAGTTTATCTACCAACATCGAACAAGGATATTACAAGGTAACGAAACAATTGTACAGTATTAATATAAAACGATATCCAGAAGTAGGACGATGAATTCTGACAAGTTAAAGATTGAATAGTTTCCAAATGACAAGACAGTTAAGATTGTGTTGTTCAAGAGACTAGACAGAACTAAGCTTATATAGCGATGGCCTTTGTTGTTTTAATCTTAATTGCAAATCTTCATGAGAAGTTAACTATTTGCAATTGTGTTGGAACTGTAACTTAAGGTTAGATTGTTTTAGAAGAAGATGATATCAAATCAGTTCATCATTTTATATAAGTTCTTCAAATGTAAATTTAATTGAAGAGAATTTCCAAAGTTGGGTATTGATTTTAGTGTTTTTTTATATTTACTCCTAAGATAAAAAAATATTTGATCAAAAATATGTTTTCTAAAAGAAAACAGATAAATTACAAGGCTATTACAAGGCTAACTATTTCTTGAGCAATTAACTTATCCCCTGTACAACATTTATCGGTATAGTCCAGGATCTGAAGGGGGTTGAGCATGCATGAAAAGGGTGACGCAATTTTATTTCTGATTGTTGTTATAGGCACTATAGTGATCACGAAAACGCATGTCGTCGCCCCCCAGCGTGGTCGACAACCCGGGGGGGAGGGGGGCAATATGGCGGGGGGCGCCGTTTACTAAAACGCCTATAACTCGAGAACTATTCTAGGTAGAACATTGCAATAAACGTCAATTTACTCAAAAAATTATGATCTTTAAAAATGTTAATGTAGTGAAATTCGTATCTTTGATGGTTTTTTAGTTATTTTATATTGAAGCTAAAAATCAATATGGGGTTATGGGGTTAAAATAGGTTTTTCCCATTTTTGACCCTAATAACCAAACAAATTGCAATTTATTTCTTAACCCATTTTGTAGAGCTTAAAAAAAGAAATAATTTAGTATAGCAAAGGGCTGTTGTATGCCCAACGGTTGTGGATATAGTAAAAAAAAACTTAAATTCAAAATGTCCATGTTATTCTTACGGAGAATCAAAAAAAACTGTTGTAGTTTGCTTATATATGGATATATTATAATCAAATTTGGCAATTTTGTTTATTTCATACTAAGCTATCAACATTTCAATATAAAACTCACCTCAATACCTTCCCTGTAGCAGCAAACCTAGGTACTCATTATAATTCATTTTATTTAAATAGGAAATAAAGCTGACAGTTTTCAGGGAATTATTTGAGTATAATATAATATTGAGTCTGCAGGTTTACTGCGGCAGGGGTACTTTTTAAAGCAACCGAAATTACAAGTACCAAGAGACACCTTTTTAGGATAAACATAGCTTTTATGTTTGTAGATCTATGAATAAAAAAAATTGATGAAAAATCAGGAAAAAATTATAGGAAGAACTGTTCTTTACTTAAGGTCCGTGAAGTTGGCGTACCCATATTAGCGTATCCACTTTTGATCATACCAATCGTTAGTTCATCGTTAGTTCTAAAAAAATAAAAAAGTTATAGCCGATAATAAGTGGGTACGCTAACTTCACACTTCCGGGTTCTAGCACGCGCCGTTTTCTGATGAGAAATGTTTACATCTATATATCAATCGTTAGTTCTTCGTTAGTCCTCGACAGTTCCCAAATTTTTTCGTTAGTTCTCAAAAAATAAAAAAGTTACGAGGCATACAAAGTGGGTACGCTAACTTCACAATTGTACAATTTCCAGCGGGCACAGTTTTTTGACTATAAATGCCTATATCTATATACCAATCGTTAGTTCTTCGTTAGTTCTCGATAGTTCTCCAATATTTACGTTAGTTCTCAAAAAATAAAAAAAGTTACAAAGCATACAAAGTGGGTACGCCAACTTCACAATTATAGAATTTCCATCGGGAACAGTTTTTTTTTACTATAAATGCCTGTATCTATATACCAATCGTTAGTTCTTCGTTAGTTCTCGATAGTTCTCCAATATTTAAGTTAGTTCTCAAAAAATAAAAATGTTACGAAGCATACAAAGTGAGTACGCTGACTTCAAAATTATAAAATTTCCAGCGGGCACCGTTTTCTGACTAAAAACGCTTATATCTATATACCAATTTTTAGTTCTTCGTTATTTCTTGTTAGTTCCCCAATATTATAGCTTGTTCTTAAAAATTAAAAAGCCAATAAGGTCTTAAACATGGTTATGCCAACCTCACACCCAAATCATTCCTAGCGTGCACCCTTGTCTGACTAAAAGTGCCTATATCTTAATATTAATCGTAAGTACTTAATAGCTCACCGATTTATTTTGTTAGTTCTAAAAAAATTTAAAAATTGCACCTGATGAGTTGAAGCCGAATAAGGACGCTAATTTCACACCTACAGAAATTCTAGCGTGCAACTGCATCTGATGAAAAAAATCTTTTTATTATTATTTTTTATTAGCTATGCTGTTATTGTTATGTTTTCCACTCGTTTTGTTGCTTGCCGCTGTCATTTTTGCCATCTTTTTGCCGTTTCTCCTTTTTGTTTTCCTTATTAACTAATTCATTTACATTGTTTTCAGTAAACTATTGCATAACTAGGCTAGTGTAGTAAGCAAGTATTCTATGTTATTTCATGTATAATTGTACCAAATATTAAAATGGAGCTATCCGTTGGAATGCAAAATAAAATAAAATAAAATAAATATCAATCGTTACATCTAGATAGTTCTCCAGGATTTTCTTTAGTTCTAATAAATAAAACAAAGTTATGGCTGATAAAGTGGTTATATTAATGATACTTCCGATTTCTAGCGCGTCCTGTCATATGAAGAAAAACGCCTATATCTATTTACCAGTCGTTATCTCTGCTCGATAGTTATACAATTTTTTTTGTCACTAATAAATAAATAAATAAATAAATAGACGTATAGCCCATAATGAATAGATAAACTAATTTAACACTTCTGATTTCCAGCGCGCACCTTCATTCGACGAAAAATGCTTACAGTATACTACTATACAAAATAAATAGATTAGAGTCATTTTCAACTGTTAAGCCGTGTCAAGCGCCATTTCAAGTTCTTCCGTCAACAAAATAAGCTGTCTCCAGACATGCGCCACTCCCAAAACACGACATATTTGCCGTTCGACGATCTAACGAGTAAAACATCTACACACATGTGTTGTTTTCCCAAAAACTGTTCGTTTCGGGAATTGCAAAGATATTCGTTCACTTTGATGTGTGCAAAAATACCGGCAATGAACGGAAAACACGAGGACGAGCATTTGCTGCCATTTGCTACTTGCGAGCGTAGGTACAGTCTGGAGCCGGCTATAGGCATGGAACTTGAATAAAACCCCCTTTTTGCAAATCATTAAACTAAATTTTAATTAATTATTTTATTATAAAAAATTTATCATAAGATAAAAATATTTATTCTCCGTATATATTAATAATCTAACACATTTAATTTTAAACGTATTTCTAAACTGTTTAAGAACGATGCTATGAATGTTTGAAAGAATAGTTGAGTGTACATTTTTGAGAACTATCCAGAGCTAACGAAGAACTAAATATTGGTATATAGATATAGGCATTTATAGTAAGAAAACTGTGTCCACTGGAAATTCTATAGTTGTAAAGTTAGAGTGCCCACTTTGTATTCCTTATAACCTTTTTGTTTTTAGAGATCTAACATCAATATTAGAAAACTATCGAGAACTAACGAAGAACTAACGATTGATATATAGATATAGGCATTTATAGTCAAAAAACTGTGCCCGCTGGAAATTGTACAATTGTGAAGTTAGCGTACCCACTTTGTATGCCTCGTAACTTTTTTATTTTTTGAAAACTAACGAAAAAATGTAGGAACTGTCGAGGACTAACGAAGAACTAACGATTGATAAATAGATGTAAACATTTCTCATCAGAAAACGGCGCGCGCTAGAACCCGGAAGTGTGAAGTTAGCGTACCCACTTATTATCGGCTATAACTTTTTTATTTTTTGAGAACTAACGATGAACTAACGATTGGTATGATCAAAAGTGGATACGCTAATATGGGTACGCCAACTTCACGGACCTTAAGTAAAGAACAGTTCTTCCTATAATTTTTTCCTGATTTTTCATCAATTTTTTTTATTCATAGATCTACAAACATAAAAGCTATGTTTATCCTAAAAAGGTGTCTCTTGGTACTTGTAATTTCGGTTGCTTTAAAAAGTACCCCTGCCGCAGTAAACCTGCAGACTCAATATTATATTATACTCAAATAATTCCCTGAAAACTGTCAGCTTTATTTCCTATTTAAATAAAATGAATTATAATGAGTACCTAGGTTTGCTGCTACAGGGAAGGTATTGAGGTGAGTTTTATATTGAAATGTTGATAGCTTAGTATGAAATAAACAAAATTGCCAAATTTGATTATAATATATCCATATATAAGCAAACTACAACAGTTTTTTTTGATTCTCCGTAAGAATAACATGGACATTTTGAATTTAAGTTTTTTTTTACTATATCCACAACCGTTGGGCATACAACAGCCCTTTGCTATACTAAATTATTTCTTTTTTTAAGCTCTACAAAATGGGTTAAGAAATAAATTGCAATTTGTTTGGTTATTAGGGTCAAAAATGGGAAAAACCTATTTTAACCCCATAACCCCATATTGATTTTTAGCTTCAATATAAAATAACTAAAAAACCATCAAAGATACGAATTTCACTACATTAACATTTTTAAAGATCATAATTTTTTGAGTAAATTGACGTTTATTGCAATGTTCTACCTAGAATAGTTCTCGAGTTATAGGCGTTTTAGTAAACGGCGCCCCCCGCCATATTGCCCCCCTCCCCCCCGGGTTGTCGACCACGCTGGGGGGCGACGACATGCGTTTTCGTGATCACTATAGTGCCTATAACAACAATCAGAAATAAAATTGCGTCACCCTTTTCATGCATGCTCAACCCCCTTCAGGTCCTGGACTAGTACCTATCATAAACAAAAATAACCTAAAATCCTTTTAATTGGAAATTATAGTCAAAATCAATCAAATACCAACTATTCACTAGAGACTATTTGCAGAGTCAAGAAAGTGAATTCTAACCACTGAGCTACCCAAGGTGGTACATTTATTTGTTTTTCTGTTTTTAGGAGGAATACAACAAGACTATTCCAGAATGGGCCCGTTCTATTTATCCAGAACCCATCAGGACGGCTGGGTTGTACAGCTTTGTCCTGCCTACTTGGACCACAAAACTTCAGAAGTTTAAAATAGGTTGGTGCAAAATAATAATGGTAATTTAATAAATAATAATTTGCATACAGTTTTCTCAAAAAGGATACCGGTAACAGAGTAAGTTTTAAACCATTTACCTATTTCTCTTTATGGAAGAAAAGAAAATTTATATAAAAATGTATTTCTTAAATATAAATTTGTAAAACACAATGTACCGTGGTGTGTATCTTTAAAGAAAAATGATATTAGAAGCAAATTAAAGCACTCATAATATTTTTCTAAAAAATCAAATTTGTTGTATTATCTTAAAACATATATTTTTTACTACCACATTGTACATGTGTTAAGCAATCAAAAAATTCACAGCAGGACAAAGTGCTATAAAGCTTTTGCACTAGAATGATAAAAAATTGGCTTTTACGATCCGGAAGACTACCTATTTTAGATAGTCTTAACTAGTCGGCTGTCCAGCTGTACTGGCTGGGGTCTTGGATAAGCTTACATTGGTTGTCCTTGTTACAGTACCTCTGTATTGCTAAACATAAAAACACTCTATCACAGGGAAGGCCAGCAGCACTGGCCAAATCTTTATTTTCACACAATATGTTCACGTTTTGATGGGTAATGATAGTCGTTTATCCAGCCATTTATTATATAAATATGCTATGTCAATATCAGACTCACAAAGTAATAAGGTCCCAGAGAAAATAAAATAAAAATAACATTATTTGTATCTTTTTCTTAACCAATACAAACAGGGTAATGGGCCAAACTAGTTGTAGGCATAAAAACGTAGCTTATTTCTAAGAATCAAGACACTAAGCATTGGGGGAGTAAAAAATATTGTCTTGGAAAAATCTTTTAGAGTTCTCTTAAATAAGCTGAAATTTAAAGCTCTTAATGAGGCTGGGAGTTTATTGAAAACCTGAATCTGCTTGTAATGATGGCTATTAATTGATTTATTGCCTAAATTGATGTAATTTAGATTCCACTTATTTCTGGTATTGTATTTATGTATTGAAGATCTGTCCATAAAAATGAGAGTTGGTTTTCCTGTGTGCTGAGTAGAGATACTTTGAAACTAAAATAACTTCAAGCTGGTAGAATGAAACCACAACATGATTGCTGGAAAAACAGCCAGTGGTACAAGTGACATGAGCGGCAAGGAAAGTTGGTGTTAAGCCTTTTCCGCACTGTTAATGTAAAAAACACGTCTTTAGCAGCAACTAACCAACTGAGAGCAAAGAGGTTAAAATTCTTAAAATAAAAGCCTCTAATTTATCGTTACAGAAACTAACCAACTGAGAGCAAAGAGGTTAAAATTCTTAAAATAAAAGCCTCTAATTTATCGTTACAGAGTATTTAAAGTTGAATTTCAATTCAAACTCTGATACTAGCTACATTAGGATGTTTAGTACAGCGTGTTATGGTTTCCAGGACCCCTTCTCAAGGAGATGGTGGGACATTTCCAAGCAAAGCGCAGTGGATCCTTGTCACCAGATCGGAAGGTTTGGTTCTACTCCGCTCATGATGCAACCATTTCAGCTTTCCTCAACACTCTCAAAGTCTTTGATATTCACTTCCCTCCTTTCTCAGCCTGTGTTATTGTGGAACTGCGAAAAAAGAGTGAAGAATATTTTGTCACGGTAAGGAATAGTTTGATACATTTCAATTTCAAATTCATTAACTTATCAAACCACCAAAGCTTATTATTATTTATAATGTCCGTGTTTTGTAAGGGAAATTACACTGAAGAGAAAAATTTGATTTTTAAATCTGTTGTATAAAAAGCAACACATTATTGTATACTAAGCTATTAATATTTTACAAAAAAACCCTCATTAATAGTTTCCTTGTAGCAGCAAACTTAGGTACTCGTTAAATGTAATGTTAATAAACAGTTTACTCTTTCATAATCATCTATAATTAATATAGGACGTACAGCAATATATTTTTTTTAAGTTATTCAGCTTTTGGTATTTTATTTTCCCAGTTGGTCTACCGTAACAGCACAGTCAGTGAGCCCCAGCTGTTGCCTATCAAGACCTGCAGCACTCTGTGTCCTCTAGACCAGTTTATCGGGCTGGTACACCCTCTGCTGCCTGACGACTGGGTTCAGGAGTGCCAACTGGTTGAGGAATTGACAGTAACTTATCTCTGGCTTTTTGGTGAGTAACACAAACACTCAAACAGTTACAATATTCTAACTTAACACTTTTAAGTGTGTGCTCTATGTTTATTTGGAAGTCGGAGCTAAATAGAGGAGTCCCAGCTTCACTAATAATTAGGTAATGCTGGTGTAAATAATTAGGTAAATACCCCCACTGTAGCAAACCTGCAGACCTTTTCATTTATCCAATTGGATTTTTACTAAAATAAAAATAGTTCCTTAAATATGCCAGATGAATTACCTATTTAAATAATTAGGTTCAAACAGTACAGTAGAACTGCTTTAATCCGAATCCCCGTAATCCAAACGCCTCATTGCTGTACTCTATACACAGTACAGTAGTTCTTTATTGTTTACTATACCTATTTATTCATATACACACCGTAATTGTTTCTATTAATGTACAGTACTGTTTTTTACCTTAATTACGTCCTCTTACTCATGTACCTCCTCTAGGGTGGATTTCTTCAGATCCTCGTCAAGAATATCAACTAATTATCACTCATATCGAGGTTGTCAAAATATTTATTACGAACAAAGACTGTTTAAATAGAACATAAAATTTAAAAATTTAACTACGACTGTGGCCTCAGATGTGCACTACATGATTGACACGTACGGACTGCCCTGTTCAAACTGACATGTCCTGTTTAAACAATGTTCTTTTGTTTGTTCGTGATAAACGTTTTGACGACCTCAATATGAGTGATAACTACAGTAGTTAATATTCTTGAGAAGGGTCTGAAGAAGGCGACATTTTCGCCGTAAGGATCGTAATCCACCCTAGTGGAGGTAAAGGAGTCACAAGACGTAATTAAGGTGAATTAGCTTATTATTTAATAAATTTGCCGAATTTGATCGAAACAAGCTATATAAAAATAACATACAAGCAAACTTTTGTACAACAGTTTGGTTTCTCTCCATAACAATTGTATTAGAATTATAAATGTAGTTTTTTTTTTCCTCAGTCACCCTTTATTGTACAACCCTTCTTTACAATACTTAATAATGAATAACACTTCTGAGTAAAAAACAAGCTACTATCAAAATGATTGATGATATCTATACTATTATATAAAAATCTAATGGTGTCTGTATGTGTATTACTAATAGGTGCAAAAACTACTGAACCAACTGGGCTTAAATTTTACAAAAATATAGTTACCATACCAAGGACCATTATAGGACTATTCACATTTCGATACTGACCGTAGGCTTTGCCCCTTTGGCTTTACAAGTTCTGAGGTGAACATTTTAAAAGTAAATATTGATTGGTCTCCATGACTGCGATGAGAACACTAACAATGTTTGTTTACATTTGCTTTGACACTTAAATGTAAACAAGAAGAACTGCTAAACTGCATATTTCAAAATTTCAGACAGCTGACACAAAGAAATTAAATATAGTATTTTCCATAACTATGAGCCAGGTTTATTTTAATCTAACCTTTTATTATGGATTATTTTATTTTATTAACTATGTAAATGATTATAACGAAAATTCCATAACCGTTGCTGTATTAACTCCGGCTCTGCTTTGGATTTTTTTAAAGCGTCTAAGTTATGAAAATAATGTTATTAATAATTATGATATGATTGTTATAATTATGATATGTTTTCATGGAAACAGTATGGAAACAATGTATAGATGTTTTGTATGAATTTGGAGGCTACTTTGAATAAATTCTAACTGCTTATTAACATGTGTTAGATTAACTTAACATAACTTGCACATCACATTGTTTTTCCTATGCATATTTAGGTAAATTAAGTTATTGTGTTTTGCTAAACTTATGCTTAAATTAAACTAAAGAATATCATTAATAACTAAATTGTACGTCGTTGATATATGTTTTCTAAAATCTGTTGTATATGTGTAATTATATTTAATTATCAAATGGTAATACAAAATACTCTTATTTTATCTTAACATAGCTTTCAGTTCACATTTACTTTATTTGATACATTTATTTTGTGTGTTTTTCCACACCACTGACTAAATTAAACAAAGGAAAATATCATAAAACTAAGCAGTACACAGTGTTCTTATGTTTTTAAAATCAATGAAATATCTGTTACTATGTTTACTTAATGGTAAGTGTGAAAATGTAAAGGCAATGGACGATGGAACTGATTAAAAGAACTGGTTTTTATATCAAGTAGTTTGTTGATATTTTTTTAGAGTAGAATCAGAGATGCAATGAAACATATACTGTATTTGCTATTACATTTTTAGTCCTTGATGCTTTAATAATCATATTACTTTTGTCTGCTGTCGTTAATGCTAAATTATTTGTTAAAATTTTTTTATAGTAACTATAGATATTTTTTCTTTAATATTTCAAAAGACTGTATTGATAAGGCACAGCAATATTTCTTAATTTTTTAACAGCTGACTTAGTTTTTCTAATGATTTATTGTGAGTGAAGAAACTGAAGATGGAAGGATTTGTGATTTATTATAAGGAAGAGTGAAATTTAATAATTAGTATTTATTTTAGCAACTTCAAAATTGAAATTTAAAATGTCTATAATAAATTAAAAGATATGTAATTAAGGGAGATGAAGGTAAATCATGTATGTCAAAGTTTCATTCGAAGATTTGGTCAGTTTTTTCTAATATCAGCCTACACAAGATTTAAAATTAATCAAAACCAAAATGGTGGTATCCACTACTTACCAGATTTAAAAGTCATAACTTAAACATTTCTATTAAGGCTATAAAAGTTGAATTTTGTTTCTAAAAGTGTTGGCGGATGTGTAACTATTATATGCAACAGATGTAAAGATTAAAAGGTTTATATTTTGTGTCCTCTTCCCGTTGCAAAGCACGGGTACAACAGCTAGTTTACCATAAATCTTTACAAATTCTTACACTAACTGTAATATTTTAGTGTTTTCCAAGAATAATTCAATTTAAAAAGTAATACTTTATGCTATAATTTCATAAACTTATGAGTATTTGTAAAATTTATTGATACAACAAAAAGAATAATAACACACACCATACCACATAATTGTAAATGTTTGTTACAGCAATTGCAGCTGTGATTGTCTTTCTGATCTTGGTTACAACTCTTCTGATTGTTTACTGCAAAAAGAGGAAATGCTCCGGAACCTATCTGACAATGCCCTACCCTTACCAAGGCGGAGGTGTCAAAAACAACCCTTATCTTCATCAGGCTTTTACTTATAATTTGCCTAAGTAAAATCACACAGTCACAATATAATGTATTGTACGGATATGAATTAAGTTAAAATCCACTTCAAATCAATTTTTTTCTGATATTGAAAATGTTGTTGTAAAAATCATAATATCTTAACTTGACTAGTTAACTGTGATAAATTTCTTTACTTTTGAGGCCTGAACAAAAAGGTCTCTCTTTTCTAAAACTAAAATAATAACATAGGAAACTCCCTCTCATTTAGATGCATTTTTGTCTTTAAATGGTTCGGATGGCTACATTCGACATTAATTGGCATTTGACTTGAGGACTTGCATGTACACACATTGCTTTTGTCATTAACCACAGAAACAAAGAATCCGAACCCTGTTATCTGAATAAATCTGAAGTATCAAGTTGGGTACCTATTGTATATTTGATTTGATAAAATCAGTTTATTTACTTTTCGCACATTATGAGTGGTCTTGAAATTAAATGTATCCACATCCATTTTGGTTTAAGCTTTTGATGCTTTCAGATTTGTTTTCCTAAGGTGTCAAAGTGAGAGTGAGTTTTCTTGTTTTTAGTCATAGGTTACAGGGTCTAATTTAGTCTTAAGGAAAATACATTTTCACTCTGTTGTTAGTCATATTTTATTTATTTAACAATTCTTTTATAATAAAATGTCAAAAGTTGTTTTCTTTACTGTTTCGAACCACAAAACCCAGTTAACAAGTTGACTCTGGCTATTTTAATACCAGTATTATGGTATTATAATGATTAAGTAAGTATTAGTTTAATATCTCAGAGACCATTTGGAAAAAGAACAACACTATTTTGTAAAATAATTTAAACATTTAATTAATATAAATATACAAAATACAATTTAATTTACATGAATGGACGGAACACTTAAATTTTAGTACACTTGTTGTAATATAGGTAAGTGCACTTGGTTTAAAAAATAATCAAAGACAAAACATATTGATTAAAAATACATTTATCAAAATTTGAATAGTGGAATAATGAAAATATTTTTAGAAAACAATTTAATATAACATACAAAACACTGTTTTATTCACAAGAATGGACGGAATACTTAAATTTAAGACACAACAGGAAAACAACATTTACTAGAAAAAAAGACCAGCAATACCGTTTAGTAAAAAAAATAGATAAAATATTATTAATAATAACTTAAGAAAATATATAAAGAAAGCAAATATAAAAAAATACAAATTATTTCAGGGGCAATACTATTATACTATGCACTTTCTTTTCCCATGTATATACATTTGCACATGTATACTGTATGTAGGTCTGTGCATGTAACAAATATAACAAAACACTAATTTACAAATAAGATGTATTCACTAATTGGTACACAAAGGGACACTTACACATTTAATATTATGTGTATTTAATAATACTAATTTGAACCTACAGCATATTAAATAATTAATGTGCGACTTGATGATAAATAGTAGCATATTACAATAGTTAACAACAATATTTCAATGGTCTGGGAATTCTGATGAACATAAATTAGAATTTGCTATTTATTACATAAAATGATACGAGGCACATATTATACATTAGAAAATATGAGGATAAAAATACAAACCAGCTTAATTTACTTGCTCATTCAAATTGTACCAATCAACTTGAATTAAGACGAGTTAAGGTTATTCACAACTGGCCCGTTAGTTTTATTATTTTTTTCTTTCTTGACCAGAGTTGATCTTCATATAAAATCTAAGATAATCATTATATGTTTAAAATTATTAAATTACGCTGTCTTATAACTCCAACCTATCAGCTAATCATCAACACTTAATAAAACACTGCATTTTTTAAATATATTACTATTTTAAAACACTATGAAGAAATATAACTTATTGTTCTAAATACAAGATTTAAGGTAATATTTTTGTTTGAATTAAAAACAAATTGTACTCAGTTTGTACTACTAAAAATTAAATACAGATTCACAATTTTTTTACGCCAGTGGTATTTACAAGAGGTCATGAGAGAATAAATGTTTATAAAATCAATTCACAAAAATAACAAAACAATACAATATTTAGATAAACACTGCTAAAAAGCGAGTCAATTTTAAAACATAATGTAATCCAATACATTGTGAGGTTAAATAGATCTAATGATTAAAATTAACATGCCCATAATGCAGTTTAATGATAGTGTAAGAGCATAACCCATAATACTCTATGGAAAAATAATTACATAAATACAAGTTTTACAAATCACACATTTGAACATTTAGAGCCCTAGGAGCTTGCTGTGAATATGTAACAGACTGCAGCAGTACTGCAATATTTGCTTGATTCAGATATTATCTACAATATTTTGAGTGGTAACAGATCACTAACCGTTTCAGATCTAAATCCAAATTCTCAGAAGTGTAAACAAGAAATGAAATGCATTGTGTAAAATTATAAATACATTAGTTTCTCTTAGAGTTTCAATCATTCACTTTGTCTATGCCTATTTATAAGCAAATAAATCAAGAAGACACATACTAATAAAACAGAACTACTTTTGTAAATATACACACAATAAAACTAATGATCCTATTTTATTTTTGGGTAGCAGATACATTTGGCAAAAGTTAATCTGACTCATTAACATGTTTGACTCAAATATAGCCTACCTATTCAAAAAATTAAGACTTGCCTTAAAAGGTACGATGTTGAACTATATAAAAAACCTACAGTACATGAAGGCACTGAGTGCTGTCAGTGTGGCGATACTGGCTATGTTGCCAGAAACTGTGGTTGACCCGTTACAACCATCCTCCGCACAGTAACATTCTTCCCAATAGATTCCGTTCTCATAAACACCCCAGTTGCAGACACCTGTAACTCCAGTGTCAGCCACTGAAGCGCATCGTCGGATCACCTGTCTCCACCGACCATCCCCTGGAAAGAAACATTTAAGAATGATCATTCAAAACCGCATCAATTTCATTTTCAGTCCAGTACAGAACAATATTATGAATTATAGTTCACTTTCAGCCATTGTCATGAATGATGAACATTTATAGGAAACCAGAAACCTCAGAATTTCGTTGACTAGGGTCCACTTTAAGTCACCATTGCTGGTTCAATCTTCCAGAAGTTTTTGTCAAAAGCTCTTTCCATTATGTTTTTTAGAAATTCTTAGGACAAACCTGCATGAAGAAACCTAAGAACGGCCCCCCCAAGACTTGTACTGTAGGCAGATGTGGAAACGGTAGAAGGAGTCAGTACAACAGTGTAGTTATAAGCCAAGAGCACAAAAAACTAGCTGCTACATTGCACAAATTTTGGTCACTAATAAAATTAAAATAATAATTGTAATGAATACATAATAAAAAGTGACCATCGTTATGAATAAGAATTTGAAAGTTGTCTATGTGATGATACAAAAACACAGAATAGCCATTACAGTATAAGTAGTGTGGTACGTGGAATCAATGGCATTCTACTCTACTTGAAAAACTTCAAAGACGAGGAGTAGCAAAACGATCTCTTAATTGGTTTACATCGTACATCTCACTGAAAGATCTCAATACGTAGAAATAACTCACTTGACAAATTACAATAGAATTATTAAATCATGCTCAACTTATAAGCCAATAGTTTTCGGAGTGCTACAAGGCTCAATATTAGGGCCCTTGCTTTTTTTTGCTATCTATGTGGAATGAAAGATTCTTTAATATATAATACAAATTCAACACTATGTCTGTATGCTGATGACTCGAATTTGCTAATATCATCCAACTCAATAGAGCAAACAGAAATGTTCGCTTGTGTAGAATTGGAAAGTATCGGAAATTTTCTTAATAAACATAACTTGATGATGAATTTACAAAAAACTAAATTTATAAATTTTAAGACAAAACAAAATAGACAGAAGGAGCCAACAACAATAAGCTATAACTCACAAAATATTGATGAAGAAATTAGTACCAATTTTTTGGGTTTAACACTAGATCAGCACTTGAATTGGGATGAAATGAAATGAAATGAAATGAAAAATCATTTATTTATACAGGCAAAGTTAATGCCTGGGCATGGGATAAACATGTCCACAAAATTTTAAGTAAAATTAATTCCGGAATTCATGCTTTATCAAGTATGTCTTTTACTGTGTTTTAAAAACTTTAAAAAATATATATTTTGTACATGTGCATTCACATATCTCGTTTGGCATAGCACTCTACGGCTTAACAAAAATATGTAGGCTAATCTAGTATAGCATTTTAAAGGAGCAAAAAAGAGCGGTTAGAATCATGCTTAAGCTGCAGCGTGATGAGTCAGCTAAAGAACATTTTAAGGACCCAAAAATCGTTACTGTTTACAGGCAGTATATATATGAATCAATAATAATTGAAAAAAAAACAAGAAGTATATTCGGAACCAAAAGAAAAATCCCATTCTTATAATTTAAGAAATAAGAACGAAAATGTACAACCACACAGGACAAAATTTTTTGAAAAGAAACCATCTTATGCAGGTAATAGATTTTTTAAATTTATTTCAAAAAATATTAAAAAAGAAACAGATCCAAACAAATTAAAAAAAAATATTGAAAGAGTTTTTAATGTATTTAGCAATTTATTCTTTTGAAGGTTTTTTTAACCTCCCTCAGTCGCTATGATAGTTGAAATTATCTTACTAGATTTGTAAAATGTATTTGTTGTTTTTATAACCATTCCTCATGTTTTGCTGTTTTTATCCTGTTGAATTATTTTGACTGTATTTATTGTACAATGTAGGCTACATAAAAACGAATAAAGATATTTGAATTGAATTGGTTGTTTACTTCACAAGGTCACCAATTACCACCAATGAGTTCATTTAATTACTTTCCGTGGGTTTTAATTTTTGCCAAGCCTATCTATACATAGTCTCTCTAAATATATTTTTTTTAATAGGTGTGAATATGTGTGAAACAAAGGTAAAACCGTATGTACACTGCATTTAAAATATTTTATTATTACCTAAACCTGTACTAAAGCATGTCCATGTTAGTTATTTCATGGGCATTTTAGGTTAGGTTTCCATTATCCACCAACACTTTACCATCATCATGGATCAACTGTTGATTCTATCACAAGCACAGAAACCGAGATTAAATTCCATTCAAACGAATCAATGTTCCTGAGGGGAAACAATCAGGAAAAAAGTTGTAAAAACTAAAGTCAACAAAGAGTGGGAAGGGAGTGAATGTGCCTAACTTAGGAAGACAAAAGAAAAATAATACTTATAAAAAGTTGAGCTGTGAAAATATGCATGAACACCAGAAGAAACGGACTAATATGCTCAATAAAGGCCATAACAAATAACTTATATTTTAAATTGTTGGGAAATCTAGTATACATGCATTTTCTGAGTTTGAACAAGGCTAAGCATATTTAACAAATTTGATGGAGACAGTGTCTTATAGGCCTAGTTTAGGGGCTACTTGATAAAATCACATTGGTTAGGCATCAGTATACTTACAAATAAATCCTCGGGGGCCTTGTTGCGTAATCTTCATGCAAAAGGACCCTGGAGCAACAGTTTCGTCACTATTACAATCCACAGCTATGTGCCGGTCCTTCTGAAACTTCTCGTATGCGCCACAGTTGTCCTCTCCCTTGGGATCTTGATGAGAAGAACACTGATAACAGCGAACTGCATCGCCTGCAAAGAAATCACAACATGATATTTGAGCCTGTGTGGAATCAATTAATTGGTAAGTTTACAAAATTACAACCTACAGTAGAACAAAATTCAACTAAATATTTCTACACTAAGGCCTATATTAAAATTATGCAATGGGTGAGCTAAGGGCTGGCTGGGCAATGCTAAGTAAAGAGTAAGGTACAGTAGGTAGGCCCTTTGTATTGAGATACATAATTAGAAAGGGGGTGAGTAGCCTACTGAGTAACTATTAATGTGTTTTTTCGGTATCACTACCTACTTCAAAAGGCAAGCATTTATTAAATAGTATTTTGCAGTGTCTTACCCAGGGTTTTAATTAGACAAAAAAGTCTGGAGATAACATAAACTAACAACTCGGTTCATTATGACCTCCCATCCCAACATGTCTAAATAAGGACTAGGTGTAAGTGGTCATGCAGCCCATTTATATCCCCGTAGTGAGACAACATTCCCTTTAAAGAAAATATTATTGACTAATTGATTTTAATCAACAATAGGCTATTGTTAAATCTTTCCCTCATTCACAAGTTTGCGAATTCTGAAAATTCCCCTGGATTCTAAACTATCCATTCATAAATGTAGGTACCGCTTTAGATTGTTCTAAGCTTAAAACGGAAGTTCATAACAAATATTCAGAACTATTCGAGGAAAAGATTGGTGAGGCTCCATATGTCTGCAATTTAACTCCTAAAGATAATGCTCGTCCAGTATTTTTAAAGCCAAGGATAGTTCCTTGCACTTCTAGATGAGGTTGAAGCTGAATTAGATCGGTTGGAAAATCTAAAAATTATTGAAAAAATGGACAACACACAATGGGAAGTCCTCTAGACGTCGTTCCAAAGCCAGACGGGAAAGTGAGGCTATGCTTTGAATATAAGACTACCATTAATTCACAGCTTGAAGAGACAAGATATAGCTACTATACCAGTCATAGATGAAATCAAGGCCTATAAAATCCAATGTATGTTTGTTTGTTTGTTTGTCCTTTATGGACTCCGAAACTGCTCGACAGATTGTAATGAAACTTTCAGACATTATCTACTATCGAGGAACCTATCTAATGAAAATGTTATCTTTTGGCATTAAAATGGCCCCAAGCGAATTTTCCAAGTTCATTGACACAGTGCTACAAGGACTTGAATACACCCTTGCTTATTTCAATGACATTGTAATTTGGGGTTCCAAAAGGTTGCTTACTTTTTTGTTTGTCTCGTCTAGAAAAGTTCAGTTTGCATGTCAACAAAGACAAAAGTAGATTTTTTAAAGAGGATTTAACATATCTTGGTCACAAAATCAGCAAGCAAGGAATTCAAAAGAGCCTGGAGAGAGCGAAAGCTATTCTTAATACCCCTAGTCCTATGTTTCATATTATTCAAAGTTTATTCCTAATGTATCAACCACTATGTATCCAATTTACCAACGCCTCAAAAGGAAAAAAGGACGTTTCCAGTGGACAGAAGATTGTGAGAGAGCTGCTAATAAAATCAAGGCAGCGATTGCTAGTTTCTAGTGATATATAAATCTATATAGGTTCCCATGGTCACGTTCGTCGCAATAAATACCTACCATTTGTTTTTTTAAGCTCTTTAAAAAGGTGTGAAAAGAAAAATTGATAAATTTTGTGTTTTAAGGGTTAAAAATGAGAAAACCCAATTTTTACCCCATAATACCCCCCATTGAACCCCGTTCCCATGGTCCGATCATGCTGCTTCGCGATCTCATTCAAGTTTATCCCGCCTTACACCTTCAAACCATTTTGTCAAAATCGGACAAAAATTACTCAAGTTATCATCTGGATGGACACACACACACACACACATATATATATCTATACTTACCACTTACCATCTTTTTTGTACATTTAACTTACCGTCTTGTGAGTAACAGTAAGTTATAAGCGTAAATATATGTTTTAAGTGTTAAGAAGACCTTTCTTTTATTTACTTTCCATAAATATATAACTTATATATATATAAAGTTGAACGAATGGTGTTTTTGGCCTGTGGGGACATCAAAATGGAAAATTAAATCGGTCCTAGGGCCTAAGTAAGTCTTACCTAAGACCTACGGTAACAGCTACTTCCCTATAGGGAAATTCGCTAAAACCCCAGAAAATTGGACAAAACTTGTAATGCAAGGTAATCTTGCATAAAAACACCTAGGCCTATATTATCCTTGAAGAATTCAGCCATAAAAATCGACATAACATAGGCCTAACAGCAATTGAAATTGTTCATAATAACGATTCCATACTTACTAGTCGATATTAAAATGCATGATACCAGGCATACAGTGAACGCAGTATATCTAAAATTGTGTTTCATTTTTGTAAAGAAACAAAATAATATGTGTTTAATAATGTAACAAAACGTAAGTAGTAACTGGCACTATTGAAAGTAAACAGAAACAGAAACACCAAAAACAGTCCAACAGCCCAACCCACTTTTACAATGCAGACAACATCACGGGAATTAATCGAATCGTGTTTCAGGATCAGGATACTGTATAATATACATAAAAATACACGGCTAAGCTGAGAGAAAAATCTAATTTTATAACAACATTATATAGAGATATGCCGTATCTTATAAACATGTCATATAAGTGTGTTAAATATAAAGGTTCTATAAGCTTGTGCACGGCCACAATTGCTGATTGTATACATAATTGCTAGCAGCTATATCCGTGCCTTTAATCGGGGTGGGGTGCGGGGTCAGTATGCAAAAGAAACAATGTTGGGTCTTTGAAAATGCCTTAAAAATGGTTTCACTCCTACCATTTAATTATAAGTAACGAAATTGGACTGAATTAATTAACTTGATAATAGTACGTTTGTGTTTACTCGATTGTGAACACTTATTTAATTAGGCTACCTAGGCACTGAGCTATAATTCTAACAGGAGGTAGCCCTGAATGTCAAAGATGCGTGTCGCCAGCCGCCATGTTTGCGTGAGGCGGGTGTCATAAGAAGCCATGTTATTTTGCTATGACAAAAAAACTCACTGCTATACCAACCTAGTTATAAGAAGCCATGTTATTGCTATGATAAGAAAACCCACTGCTATACCAACCTAACAAAATCAGTGACACGCTTTTGACAGATTTCTGCCATGGCAGTGCTACCTCCGGTTATAATTTTAGCTCAGTGTACCTAGGATACAAAACCAACGATAGATTTTAAAGTACGTATTATAATAGTATAATTTTCTAACATATTTTAGTGAAATCATAATCAGGCAAATTGTGGCACAAGCTGTGCCAGGGTTCCTTCCATCATGGTTATTACTATTACTAGGTGTACGATGCGGTTGTCTGCTTGTATTATTGATCGGAGCTGGCATAATCCAATACTTTTCTAAAGTCAATGGTACATTTTATGTTCCTGGTAAATGAGATTAAATACTTGCAGATCCAATACTTAAATACTTTTTCAATGAAATGGTGACCATAAAGAGTAGGTATTTTAAGCCAAGTATGAATGGAGATGAGTGTAGGATGAGTGGTGCCATTTTGTAGTCTTTATGTTAGTGACTATAAGGTTATAACGTTATAAGGCTGACATATTCCTTAGACCAAGGCCCCACTAGAAAACTAGTGGGGCCTTGCTTAGACACAGCTGTTAATTAGTAGCTCATACAGCTAATGGCAACCAAGGGACCTTTATAGTGAAATCCGAACATCCCGAACCACATTTTTGCCTTGGTATACGAATTTGCAGGAACCAAAGTCTATGTTTCATCTGGTTATTATATTAAATGTCTACTTGCAGTAATGTCAATGATACATTTGGTTCGCATAATGGTTACGGAGAAAATTAAAAAAATATAAACTTTGAATTTCCATGTTATTCTTATAAACTGTTGTAGTTTTGCTTATTTTGATCAAATTTGGAAAACACACTCATTTCTTACAAAACTATTGACATTTTACAAAAAAATCACTTTTTTACCCTCCCTGCTGCAGCAAACTTAAGTACTCGTTAAATTAGTTCTTAAATAGGGAATAAATGTGATATTTTTAAGGAGGTATTTTAGTCTGCTAGCTAGTCTGCAGGATTGCTGTGGCGGGGGTATTTTCTTATTTAAGAAACAATTTTGGTTTCAAACTAAAGCTTATAATGTCCTCTTTGGAGGCAATACCAATTTTTGTCTTAACTCACGGCAGTTTTCATTTACCTAAGTGTTTTATCAAAGCTTGTCGTAAAAATCACATTTTTAGAAAAGGGAACTCTTGTCGGCCTATTTGTAAGATATTTTGTTCTCTGTAAACTGAACTTTGTTGTAGTTCTCTAAATTTCCATTAGAATGCATTAGAGTTCATTTTTCGGCCTAAAAGTCTGTTTATAAAGTGAACTAGCTGTACCCGCGGGCTTTGCCCCGCTTAACTTCATAAGTATTCGCATGGCTCAATCACGTCCTCGTTGAAGTTCGTTCGCTACGCTCACTCACCTTCAGGTTGGAAATCGTTCGCTGCGCTCACTTGTTTTCAGGTTAGCTCGTTCGCTACGCTTACTCGCCTCCAGGTTGATGTTCGTTCGCTACGCTCACTCACCTTTTGGTTGCAAATTAGCTGTTGTCATACATTTAAAAAAGTCATCCCTTTTATTGTTTATAATACAGTAATTTTATAAAGGTTTTTATTTTTTAATATTTAACATTGGAGAATTTAAACGTTGTTAAGTGCACAGGTGTGCTGCGATTGGGCTTTAATACATTTGGACTTATTCAAAAGTAAAATAGTTTTCTGTGCTGCAATCTGTAGAAACACTGTGGCACTATTTCAAATCATGACTAATGCTAATACAGAATGTTGTAGTTATTCAAACGTACAAAACAGTTGGTGAAAGTAAACATCTGCTTTTAAATTATATTTATTTGTAAACATTCTAGATCAAAAAGTCTGACATTGGCCCACTTAAAACCCTCTGGGGCAGAGTCCTTTTGACGGATCTGCACCAAACTTCACTCGAACCATCCTTGAAAGATGCTTAATAATGCCTGAAAGTTTCATTACAATCTGTCGAGCGGTTTCGGAGTCCATAACGTATATACACATATATATACGTACATACATAGTTCCTCTTTTATAGATACTAGAGGTCGTCCAGTGGTCGAAACTCGACCAAAAATATGTAATATACTCACTTATGTTAATGTTTCACCCCACACTGTAAATAAAACATGTGATTGGAGTTTCTTCCATTTGTTTTGATTTTATTTTTATATTTCGTTGTTATTTTGTCACCAGCATGGCAACGCATAAGATCCATGTTAATTTTTTCAAATTTTTAAACTCATTTTTTGCGCTTATCTTTGAGCCTATTTAAATTTATAAAGGGATTCTGCACACCTACAGGAAAATAGCTTTCTAACGGTATGCGTAGATTTTCCCTACGATGCACACGAGCTGAGAAAAAAGGTTTTAAAGAAACATGCTTGCCTATTAATATATAGATAGATATTAGAAATGGGACCATCTTGTCGTTATGGGGAAATAACTTTGAGCGACAAGAGATACCTTTTCTAAAAACCGTGCAGAGGCTAACAAAATGATTTATTTCAACCGTTTACATCTTCAGTTCGATATTTTAACCGATACCGTCGTTAAATGAGGTATGGTATAACCATAGAAAAAAACCCGAATTTCGATATTGTCGACCTTAATTACTTATATTGGCCGTACTGAAAATTTTGCATTGCTGACAAGAGGTCCCTTTTCGCTTTCCACATCACATAGATTGTCTGTACGAAATGTATGAATGGTAGTATTTTTCATAATGTCACTTATTTTTATGTGGTGCATAGGCGGCTGTGGGGTGCATAGAGTAATTTTTCAATTTAAAGGTGTTTGAGGTAGGCGTGGCATGGGAACGTGAGTGACCAAGCCTGGCGGTGGCGGATGTCAGTTACTTACTAAATTTAATCATTAATGTCAACTGTCAAACGAGTAAACGAAACGACCGATATAAGTGCTGTTATTGTTTACCAAACCTATTATTTGTGTTTCATCCGTAGCCTAGCCTGACCGAAAATTAACTAACAGTTATGGCTCTCTTCAGGACTTTATCTCTTATAACAGTTGTGTCTGCGGTTTACTTTTTTCACGAAGGTGAGTTTACTAAATAAAATAATGTGTTCCTATCCTAGGCCTACTCAAAACATAGGACGTTTTGGCTAGACGTAGTTTTCCCATGATCGAGTTTTATCTCTACCTTACTTCTCTGTGTGTTTAACCTAAGAAAATCTGCACATTTAAAAGAGTGGGAGGTCTGAACCTGGGTACAGTTTCTTAACTGGGCTATGCTAGTATCGATTGAAACTATTGAATTGAAAATATTGATTAATAATCGATATTTTTAAATATATCTATTACTAGCTGTAACCCGCGGGCTTTGTCCCGTTTAACTTCTTAATTTTCAAGATTATCTCGTTCGCATGGCTCAATCACGTCCTGGTTGAAGTTTGTTCGCTACGCTCACTCACCTTTAGGTTGGAGCTCGTTCGCTGCGCTCACTTGCCTTCAGGTTAGCTCGTTCGCTACGCTAACTCGCCTCCAGGTTGAAGTTCGTTCGCTACGCTCACTCACCTTTTGGTTGCAAATTACCTGTTGTCATAAATGTAAAAGAAATAAAAGTACTGCACCCTGTTGGTAATCCTTGTAACTTTAATGCTATTGAACATCATAGAACAGAACCAACTTGTTTAATTGAAACAGCTGTTAAGATTCAATAATTCCATTTCTCATAAGGTTAACACGGGAAACTCCAGAGCCACTGGGGCGGAACCCGATAAGGATTTTTGAAATAAGAAAATGCCTAGCCTATATGTTAATCGGGAATGTGAGCTATCATCATGCCAAATTTCAGCCCAATCCGACCAGTATTTTTCGCGTTCACTTGTCACAAACATACATCCATACATCCATCCATACATCCAAACTTTCTCATTTATAATATTAGTAGGACTAGGACTAGCTGTAACCCGCGGGCTTTGCCCCGTTTAACTTCTTAATTTTCAAGATTATCTCGTTCGCATGGCTCAATCACGTCCTGGTTGAAGTTTGTTCGCTACGCTCACTCACCTTTGGGTTGGAGCTCGTTCGCTACGCTCACTCACCTTTAGATTGGAGATTAGCATAGCCCAGTTAAGAAACTGTACCCCTGAACTCAATTCGAATCTAGACCAATAGCCAATAATTAGGCTAACTGAAAATAGCTTGTGTGAACCTGGCAATAACTTGGCAATAAGTAGGCCTAGCGCCCGCTAATATCTATTGCTGGCCGTTTTGTGGAAAAATACGTCCGCGAGCCATATTACCGATGATGCCAACAGATAGAGGACACTTTAACGGACACGGCACTATCAACATCATGTACCTGGGGGTTAAGTTAGGGGGGTAAAACCAGCAATAAGTAGTGCGCGCGCCCGATAAAATCTATTGCTGGCCGTATTGCGGAAAAATACATCCGCGAGCAATATTACCACAGACAGAGCGATGATGCCAACAGACAGAGGACACTTTAACGGACACGACAGTATCAATATCATGTACCTGGGGGATTTGTTATGGGGGGTAAAACCAGCAATAAGTTGTGCGCGCGCCCGATAAAATCTATTGCTGGCCGTATTGCGGAAAAATACGTCCGCGAGCAATATTACCGATGATGCCAACAGATAAAGGACACTTAAACGGACACGGCACTATCAACATCATGTACCTGGGGGTTAAGTTAGGGGGGTAAAACCAGCAATAAGTAGTGCGCGCGCCCGATAAAATCTATTGCTGGCCGTATTGCGGAAAAATACATCCGCGAGCAATATTACCACAGACAGAGCGATGATGCCAACAGACAGAGGACACTTTAACGGACACGACAGTATCAATATCATGTACCTGGGGGATTTGTTATGGGGGGTAAAACCAGCAATAAGTTGTGCGCGCGCCCGATAAAATCTATTGCTGGCCGTATTGCGGAAAAATACGTCCGCGAGCAATATTACCGATGATGCCAACAGATAGAGGACACTTTAACGGACACGACAGTATCAACATAATGTACCTGGGGGTTTTGTTATGGGGGGGAATACCAGTAATAAGTAGTGCGCGCGCCCGATAAAATCTATTGCTGGCCGTATTGCAGAAAAATACGTCCGCGAGCAATATTACCGATGATGCCAACAGATAGAGGACACTTTAACGGACATGACAATATCAACATAATGTACCTAATTTTTATGTGTAATTAATATTTAAGTATTATTAATAATAATACTAATGTGTAATTTTACTTAAGCCTAAGAGGATATTCCGCTGCAATCATCACGAGACGTTGGAATTGGCTAACTCAGGAACTCGCTAACTCGGTCGTTTGTCGGAACCGGCTAACCGTCTCAGTCAGGAATTGGCTAACTCCGGAACCCGCTAACTCAATTTTGTCTCGCGGCGGAAGTCGCTAACCCGGCCGCGCCCACTGCACGGAGCGTTGCCAACCTTGTACGACAAAATAATCGTACACTGCCGTATTTCAAAATGTCAGTGTCAATGAAGATACAGTAAATGTTATTGTTTTTTGTTATCAATTCCACTTTTAACAGATAACTAGACCAAAGTAATTCAAAGACAATTAAAAAATCATGAAACAGTGTTTTTTATTTTATTTAACTGTACAATGGCCAGTTAAATGCTTATGATTTCGATCTTAAATATAAATTCAATCAGTATAAAAGAAAATAATAAAATATGAAAAATATTGAAAATTCAGTTTAATTGGTACTAAATCATTAAACCTCTACGAAATTAAGCTAAAATACACGCAAGTTCTCAAACACGGAAAACAGATTTAATCGTAATGTCGTAATAAACCAAAACCATTAATTAATACAGTCATCAACCATCGTAACTTTCATAACTAATTCATAGATTTAAAATTAAATGTTCGTCGTTGAACCGTCCAACTTACGTGTACAAATAAAAATGATGACATAGACTAAGTAATAGTTTGAACCAAAGCATTGTAGGCCTACTAGTAAATAGTTGCCTAATTCTAAAATTTGTTGAATTTTTAAGCAATAATGTTACATGTTTTAAACCCGTTTTTAGATTGTACACCAAAGCACCACTAGTAAAAAATAGGAGAAGATATAATATTCATATAATAAAACGTGACAGGGTTATTTTAATTCACGATTCTTAATAAACGAATTGACGGATTTTCCTGATTTGAGTGTTGGGTTTCCTTTATATTGCTTTCACAATCGATATAAACTATACCAAGCCATTGCTCGGTTCACCGTTCCCCGGTACTGAGCTACTCAATAGACAATAGCTTTGTTTTTGGATAAGATCAAGTAATTTTAGCTATGGCCACCATTCATAAGAATTGTAACAAACAAGAACGCCTGGGTCCATTTAGAACCAGCCTGGAGAAAAACTCCAGACTTTTAAAAAATAGGCCTACTAAAAGACGTAAAATTAATATTAGCCTAATTCAACAAATATAAGAGGATGACCCGGGTTCTACACTAATAGCCTACGATAAAAGGTATTTACAAGTTGTATTTATGCATAGACTAATTTTTTATGCAATCCATGAATACATTAGGCCTACCACTTTATAATGTATTGATAAATTTTATTTAAATTCAATAGCTCTATTTAAAAATACATCACCACTACAATGTAATTCTGTAATGACGTTTAGCGTGTAATTTTTATTATGATTTATGATTCAAGGTTACAAGCCCAGTATATAAAATACGAAGTCAATAATTTTATTTGCAGAAGTTCACAAAATGGTATTTATTCGAATAAAAGAAACAAATGGCGGACTACGAAAATAGATATTTCATAACATGTAATAGATCCAAATTAAATGTGCATTTTTAAAACATTTTTTTTATCTTTTAGCGAATTTCCCTATAGGGAAGTAGCTATTACCGTAGGTCTCATGGTAAGACCTAAGCCCGGGACCGATTTACTTTTTCATTTTGATGTCCCCAGAGGCCAAAAACACCATTCGTTCAAATTTTTATATATCTATATATAGAGATATATATATATATATATATATATATATATATATATATGTGTCCATCCGCACGATAACTTGAGTAATTTTTGTACGATTTTGATAAAATTTGGTTTGAAGGTGTAAGGCGGGATAAACTTGAACGAGTTCGCGAACCAGCATGATCCGACTATGGGAACGGGGGTTTATGGGGGGTTTCATGGGGTAAAAAAAGGTTTTCCCCATTTTTGACCCTAAAAACACAAAATTTCACAATTTCTTTTTAAACCATTTTGTAGAGCTTAAAAAAACAAATAATTTAGTATATTGAAGCGTTATTATGCGCCTAATTGTTACGGAGAAAATTCAAAAAAATTGTAATTTTAAAATTCCCATGTTATTCTTATGGAGCATAAGTCAACTGTTTTAATTTGCTTGTTTATGAACATATTTTGATCAAATTTGGAGAATACATTAATTTCTTACTAAACCACAGTAACTTTTAACATTTTACATAAAAAAAAATTTTACCCTCCCTGTTGCAGCAAACCTAAGTACTCATTAAACTAATTCTGTTTAAATAGGGAATAAATGTGATATTTTTAAGGAGACATTTTAGTTTAAATCCAATCAGGCAAATGGAAATTCGCTAAGTCTGCAGGTTTGCTGCGGCGGGTGTATTTGCATACCAATAAGCTACTATTTAAGTAAGAAACCCACGTATAAAACATACTCCCTTATATTAGTACATTTCTCATCCTTATGGATCAGCTGAAGACAATTTTATTGTTAGTTCTGTCCGGTGCACTGTCTTTAGAGGTCGTGTTTTGTTTACAATCGTTTCTTGTTTTCAGTAATTTAAAATCTCGTTTAACCAAATAAAACGTTCTAATCATAACTAATAGCACGTCCCCTAGTTATATAACCAAACAGCAAAGAACAAATCATGAAGTTGACTATAAAATAACAAAAAAACACAATTTTGTCGACACTAGCGATCAGTGTCACCGGACATGAACTAGACACGAAAAACGAGCTTCAAAGTTTACAATGGGATGTAAAGTTTACTTGTGTTGGTTAGTCTATGGTAAGACTATAATGCATTTTCCACCCTAATAATCATAAGAATAATGTTAAACATACTTCTAAATATATTTATTTTATCGACTACGTTGCTCTTACTGCTAATTAATCGTAGGATACGACATTATGGTACCGATACGATATAGGTACTACACTTTAGGCAACACTGGCCAAAAATATTCGTGCTTGGCTCCCATTGGACGGCCCAGGAGGCTTCTGATTGGGAGTTAGCGACTTCCGTACGAGGACGGAATTCGCTAACCCGGCTCTAGAGCGGGTTAGCGGGTTCCGGAGTTAGCCAATTCCGAAACCGAACAAGTTAGCGAGTTCCTCTCATCGACCAAATTTGAAGATAGGGCGTTTAACATGGGGTTAGCGAGTTCCAGAGTTAGCCAATTCCGCGGACCCATCATCACAAAGTTAATACAGTAGAGGTTTCCTGCTAAAAATGGTAGCCCTTCGGCTAACATTCTCGTTCACCGTTTGTAGGAATCATCTTGTGGGCATTCTTTATTTTAGGCTAATAACCTTAAAAAGAACTGCCCATGTCTTTTAACTGGTGGCGTTCTATGACTTTTCTATGTTTCCATAGTTTGAAAATCCGTTCTTTCAAGAATTGCTCAAGAAATACAACAGCATTGTGTCAATTCATTTTTCTTATTTGGTGAAATGTATCAAATTGTGTAGCTTAGGCTTTCTCGATTTTTTTTCCCAATTTTAAATAGTAAATTTTCAATTTCCACCAAATCAGTAAATCTTTACATTGAATTGCAAAAATATATATTATCAGTAATTGAATTATCCAGCTGATCATAATGTAAACAAGGATGTTGACGTTTTGACAGAAGACGACAGTTATAACAACAACAATTTGACGAGTGCAGTTTGAATGTTCCGTGTTCCGTTCTGATACCAATTCTGCTGTCCCGGGCGTGGTGGTGGGGGGTCTGGGTCCTCCATGGACGGTCTCGTTTGCTCAATCACCGAATAATGTTTTAACCTCGGCATTTGAGTAAATCAGTTTACCCACAACGTCTGGGCATTTCGCTTCGGCCAATGTCCGAATAAAATGCTTACTCCACGACGTGGGTATTTCACACTGTCCAGATCGCGTAGTGGGTATTTGGACATTTTGCAAATTAGAAGTTTGAGTGTAACATATACCGTACAATATTTACCATTATTGTAAATTGCTTGGATCATCTTTAAAAATATGACAGACAAATGGTAGCCTGCTCTTTGCAACAAACATTGTGAGGGAATTCCTATCGCACAGGGTTAATTTACTTTACTTAACTATAACACTGTAATTAAAGCAATTATCACTGAGACCGAGAGTCACTTTCATGTTTGCATTATTTACTTTTTAATGTAATTTAATTTATGTTATCGTTATTATTAATTTACTTAAAAAAGCAAGCATTCAAGTTTTTCTCTGGAACTGAACTTTTTGGTACTCTTTTCAATATGGATAGCCTTTGGATTACCAATAGGCTTTAGCCTACAATATATATAGGGTTTAGATATTTGTGTTTTTACCAATTATATTTTTTGTAGCTAATATTTTTAAAATTTCATTACCGGTACCGCTTAAATTATTTGACGGCTAAATAAAGGCGGAATCGGGGATAAAGGACCCCAATATCTATAACAATCTGTTTAAATTAAGTAAGGATTAGGTTTAGCTTTATCTAGGACAAATATTAGGCTATTTACAATAACACAAACACATTCAACGACATAATAATTGATTTCTCACTGAGATTGTTTACCAGGCCCTATGAGCTCAAAATATTTTGCTTTCTTTCAGGATTTGGTATTAAATGCTGGGTTTGTCGATCAGACTCCGATCCTAAGTGTGGGGATCCATTTGATAACTCTTCAGTACCCATCATAGATTGTAAACAAGAGAAAGATCTTGAGCATATTCCAGGAGTTCGCCCTACTATGTGCAGGAAAATTCGACAAAAAGGTATGTTGGCTCAATGTTTATACAGGGTGAAACAACATGATTCTAACTCCATCTGATGGGGGTTGTGGGGTTATGGGAGTACTGGGAAATTACCTTAAGCACAAGTGGAAGTTTCAATAGACAAGGAGAGTTGGACCAGATAATTCTATAAAGTAGGTACGGTTAGGGGGGGATCAGTTAAATTTCTATTAACCAGGCTGTATGCTAGTCCAGTAGTCTTGAAGTCTGAGATATTGATTTTTAAGTATAGGCCTATTGAAATTGTCATGCCACTGTGTATCTAAACCGTCCAATCAGTTGTGTCGTTTTGCATCCGAGTAATTTTTGTAACCATTATGATTGAGAAAGGTTATGTAATGATAATCTAACCAAACCTCACTCCGCGATCGCTAAATATGTACTCTATTTTTATTTATTTCCAAACTTCTCTCTTAGTCATCCACTAGCAGGCAGTTTCATCTATCTGGCACTAGAGATTACAGCATTGAGCCGGATTTGATAAATTTTGAAATTTCATAAATAGTTGATACCTTGATTTAAGTTTTCAAATATGACAACTTATGAACTATGTCAATTAGTTGACCTATATTTCAGTGAATGGAGAGTGGCGATACTTCAGAAGTTGCGCTTATCTTGGAGAGCCTGGGATACAGGGGGACGAGCGCTTCTGTTTGATGCGCACAGGCACCTACAACATCTGGATGGAGTACTGCACCTGTAATACTAAAGACGGCTGCAACACAGGTTCATTGACAGCTCTCTCTTCTCTCGCAGCATTTGTTTTTGTACTCGTTACATTATTTAGGTAGGCCTAAGCAATAGAAAGTTACAATCTAATATAAGTCTGATTGTTGGCTTACGAGGTTGAACAAGTTAGGTTTCTTAAGTCTCAAAAGTAATAAGTAGTGATGGGCTGATTCCAGAATTGGTTGATTCCAAATCCGATTCTAGAACATTGGTTTTGATTCTCAATTTCGCACCTAATACTGATACCTTTATAAATACATTTAAAAAAACATATGTACTTCTCTATATCCCTACAAATAAAGGAGCATGTTATTGATATTTAAACTTTAAGAGTCCTTGTAGGCTAGCGGCCATCTTGGATAATTTCCAACAGCTGGTGAAGAGTTATCGTTTAAACATATTTTTCAAACACCAAATTCATTATTATTTAAATATCTAGTATACTGTAAGATTAGAAAAGTTTTGAATTGTTCTCCAAGGGAGTCCATGGAAGCTAACGGCCATCTTGGATTTGCCCGCCATAAGAGCAATATTAATTTAGTTAATTTCAAACAGCCGCTGTAGAGTTATTTATAAAACGATTACGAATGTGAGCTAATGAACATGGAATTATTTATATTAGCTGACTTCAGAGTATTCCAAATTAACTATGATGTACCACTCTTTACAACCGTCAATGCCAGTTGAGTTTTGCATCATAATTAACCTTCTTTTTTAGAATTGGTATCAAGTACAATAAAGCAAAGTTCGAGTACCAGCGATTCTTTGATACTGCTGGTATAGGAGGTATCGAGAACTGGGATCGGCCCATCCCTAGTAATAAGGTTATATCTGATTTCAATAGATTTTTATTTCAATTTTGATTCCAATTTTTTTGTATATACGGCGGCTAGTTTAAAATCAGGACACTTAAAATGTGGTTGATTGATTGTCCCTTAGTTGTCATTAGCTGTATGGGCTATTAATTAACAGCTGTGTCTAAGGAATGTCGGCCTTAGTCACTAACAAGACTACAGGATCGCGCCACTCATCATACACTCATCTCCATTCATACTTGGCTTAAAATACCTACTATGTATGGTCGCCATTTCATAAAAAAGTATTTAAAGTACTTATTGGTTTTACATTTGCTTTCATCTTTCAGGTCAAAGTTTTGACCAATTTTAGAATAAAAATGAACGTAGTTGAGTCACCGGCAGAGTGCTCTGGATGTAAATTACTTATTTCCATCATATACGCAATACCAATAATTAAATCAAGCCGAACTGCAAGGGTAACTGATGGTAAACGAATGCATCTTATGCTTGTGTAAATTACATCTACTATCACAGTAACAACTAAGGGGGATAAAGAAAATCTAACTCAGAACTTAGACTGCAGCCCAACTTGTGAGTGACTGATTCAACTAGATGTTCTTGATAATAAACTAGCTACAGGTGGTCTACATAGATCTGATGTCTCCATCTACCTGTATCCAAAATTTAATGATAGTAACTACCTAACTCATCAAAAATTAGTAAGTATATGTGGTTAATTTGAAGTATATTTTATTCATGAATCTCTCTTGAAAAAGCAGCTATCCCTTGATATTTTTGCTATTATTAATTATTTTGCAAAGAACAAAGTGTGTTCATGTTTAATATCATAGGTGTTAGTATTTATTGATAGATATTTAGTGGATTTCAGATCAACTTAGCTTTGGATGTTTAGTCAGTCCAATATAGCAAATCATTGTATTAATATGCTTATGTCGATAATAAGCAGCAATCAATTAGCTGCTATATTATTAAATATTCCGCCCAATCTGTATTTAATCTGTGAGATACTTAAAGATATTATAAATGTTATTTAACTTTATTTTACTAAGCTTTTATGAATGCACAAGTACAAACAGTTTGCCTTATCAGCCAAAAATAATGTCTGAGTTTTGTCACAGAAAACAGACTACTATAACCCAGAATGCCAACCGCATGGTAAAAAGCATTAAGTGTTTTGAGAGAGCTTTGCCTGTCAATTCGTAGGCAGCGCCACCAGCGTTGCTTTGCTGAGTGCGGTTGGCATTCTTGGTTATAGTAGTATGTTTTCTGTGGTTTTGTACAGTTACTTTTATTCCATAGTTAACTGAAGCCATGTTATATGTTGTGCTTATTGCTGTAAAATGTAGTTTATAGCCAATTTATTGTTAGGATTAATTATATAAAATCATGTTTATGGCAACAAGTTTTGATCGTGTTAAGTAATTAGACTTTAAACAATATAATTTATACTGATTAACTGTTTTCCACTTTAACACGTTAAGTGCAGTCGCGGGATGGCCGGGCCGTGGAAACTGTAAATGTGCTGTGTGGTTGAGTCCACAAAAACGTTTAAATTTATTAGTTTCATCCAAATGAGAGGTATATTATAGCATGTACTGTCAGTTGTTGTGGACGTAGTTTTACAAGAAGGCAATAGATAGCAGTACTAAACAAAACTGCTAGCAGGCTCTCAGTATTGCCAAATGGAGGGAAAAAACAGGGGCAAAAAACCCAGATACACCATAAACAAATATTGCAAAAGAGGCGTTAAGTACATTTTTGAGGTTAGGTTCCTTCCACGATGCTTAACTACAGTAATTCAATTTCAGCAATTCAATTTTTTTTAGGATTTGTTTATTATCCTATTCCACTTCTCTAAATCCAAGCCAAAACCACATACTACATTAAATTTTGAACGGTCTCCTTCACTGATAAAATAGTCGGATCTGGAAACGAATCATACTGATTAAAGTATAAAGTTGGCACAATAATCGGCAATCGGACACAACATTCCCCAGGCGAGGCTGAGCTCAGACTGAAGCAAGGTTGTTGGCATTTGAGGAGTATGACACTTCCTGCCCTGTCTCAATAGTGCCGGTACCGCGAACTGGTGAGAATTCCCACACTGCATGCTTAACGTGTTAAACATTATTTCCTGTTAATGTTAAAGGTTGAATTTACCTTACATATGCTTCTACATTTTTGCATTGAAAGAAAAACTCACTCTCTGAAATTCGCTTGTAATTAACAATATTAACATCCATCTAAGTCATTAATAACACTTCTAAAGTACTGATAAATCCAAACAAACTACTGTACAAACCTAAACTGTTCAAAGAAGCAATGAATACTTTCTTATAAACAATGAATAATGAGGGACAGAAGGTTGAACGTCATTAATGAGCCAAGCAGTTGTTTTGAATTTGTTTTGGGTGAACGAGAATTGAAAATAACTGTAACTTATAATACCTGAGATTTGTTTAAATCAACCTTTAAACACGATTGGTAAACTAGAGAAGCATATGCAAGCTAAGGAATACCTATTTAACAATGCTGTAAATGTTACCAGAAGTATAATGGTTGGTACCTAAGACTCTTATCTCATGGAATGTCATAATTTTTTTCTAAAACAGTTCTACTATTTATACACAGATTTGTGTTTAGAGCTACAAATATTTCTCACAGTGCCTTTATTACCTAAATTGTTCTGAACTAAGAATTTCAATTTAGAGTGAGATTTTTCAACAGAATGTACATTTTTTCCCATTTGTGATAGAACTAGCTTTTATTCTGGAGTTTTAAGAAATCCAATCCACATTATTGTAAAACACATTGATGACAATCTAGCAAATTTATACCTTTTCATCTTTGTAATTAATTATATAGATACAGAATTTAAGCTTTAGAAATACTTACAAAATGAAGTATACTAGGCTCTGTATTTATGCACAAGTTTTTCCACAAAACTATAATTAATCAATTGTTCATTCTTATTTATTAGTGTTATGTGATCCAGCTGTAGTGTAAATTTGATTGTTAAAACTTCATCACCAGCAAGGTAATAAGTGTATCAGGTAGGCTAGTAACAAGGTTGTGTCAACTATGCACAATTTTGAATACTGAAATAGTTGTAGCCTATAGTAGAGACAGTGAAATCAATATTTGGGGCCATATATGCAAATAATCCGTCCACATCACACACAAGTCAGTATTTATATTGACTGTTTTATTTTATGAGAGTTATATAAATAGTTAATCAAAATATCTTACATTATATTAGATAAGCCTACCTTGAAATAGGTATTGCATTAATATTTTTAATCCATCTTGAATAGTTACAATAGATCAGCAAAGTGTTCAAATTTACTGTAATTGAATTTGTAAGGAACTAGATTTCTCTGTGAAGTGACTTTTCAAAAAAGTTAAAGTTAAGTTTTTGTCAATTTATAACTAAATTTATAAGGATCGTAGTGGTACACTACTATTATAGCATTGAGATACTCACTACTTACTTAAAATGTAATAGAAAACTTAACATGAGTACTACTCTTCAACATTATCCATTTAAATGGTGGAAAGCCATGCTTAAAATTGTTGAAAAATTAAGACAGCATTCCGTTAGTTATTTTCATTCCAAATGTCGTTGTATAAACAATAAAGTTTGTGTTAACTGTCCATGTGAATAAATGTATGTTCTTTTTTACTTATTTTTAAAGAGTAGTGTCATTGACTATACACAGAATAGTGTATAGTCAATGGTAGTGTTTAATCTGTCATGTTATTATATTAGTATGTGTAATTTTTAGTCGTTTATTAGTAACATTTATTGTAAGACTTTGCCTTTTTGCAAGTTAATTCTGTGCCTTTTGATAAAATTATATAACATTTTTAGACTGCATTTGATAAGTTATGTTGTATATTGATAGTTGTGATTATATTGTAAAATATGTGTACAGAATGTCAAATTTGTGTTTGTAATTTTAAAATAAAGTAAAACATTTTCACTGCACAATTTGTTTGTCTTGGAGTTCTAGCACTTAATAATTGATAAATTTGAATTAAAAAAATATTTGTTTGGGATTGAAAAGCATTGTTTAGCTTTGAGTACAGTAAATTTTCCAGTCAGTTTTGCAAAAGGCCAAAACACTGCTATAAGCTGTCATCAAAGCTACGTCTCCCTCAGATTCACCCACCGCAACATTGCTAATATTTCATTAATTTAGTTTAAACAGAATCACTGATTGACTACTCTTTAACTTGACCGTGTAGGTTATTTACAAATTATTTTAGTATACAATAATCTAAACACAGGTCCTTCCCAGGCTGAGGCTCTCGGCAACTGCCGTGTCCACCGTTAGGGGAATAAGGCCCTGATTTGTGGGTCTATGTTGGTATGGGGCCTGGGGTGGACGCCCCCCCCCCCCTTGGTATGCCACTGACCAAAACCAAGCTATAGGCTACTTGCCAACTTGCACAAAAGGTAAATGTGACTAGACAAAATACCAAGACTGAAAAAGGCTAATGAAAAAAAAACAAAGCTTACATTAAAGTACTCCTGGCATGAGCAGAATCGTTCTAAAACTCATTCTAAAATAAGTGAAGGATTTGTGGCGAAATGCGGTGGGACGGATGTTTATTAGGATACGTGGGCCCAATCTGGCTGCCCGTCCACTGCTAAATCACACACATTTCAAGTTGCTACTCGAACCTTATTTAAGCAAACGTAATAACATTGTCAAAGTGCACAATAATACCTTAGCTGCCTATCACAGCTAGCTTTTATGTTTAATTACATTTTACTTAATAAATAGCGAACAGAGATTTAACTATATATTTGGACAAATAGTATTACATAATTATATCTACAAGTATCTAGAATTTGAATATGAAACATTGTGAATTGGACCACGACCAACTTGGCAACCTAATGATTTTAAATAATTAATTAAATTCTCATTGCCCTAGTCTACACCCTTCCCCAACCCCTATAACTTTATCTACTCATAATCGATAGGATCTTTAATCATACTCATCGATACAGAGACGCCGACCCCAGGGCTTCTTCCACTAGACTGCTGACTACTCGTGGTGCGTTCCTCCGGCGAATTTTGGTGTGCGCGTATATAACTAACTCTGACTGTCTCGAGTCGTCTCTGTGATTTCACACCTGTACGAGTGCTCTGCTTGTTGTAGTGGTGACACTACAGATTTGTTTTGTTAGCTTCGAGATCACGCTTAAATGATGAAATTCACCATTTTTCTGTTGATTTGATTTACCCACTTGTCTCTTCATGTCAAACAATACAATAATACCACCTGATATCACTACTGCTGCTGCTGGAATCATCAAACCAAGATAACCGCACGAAAATCCAGATTCACACCACGGGACAGTCGAGGCTGATATCTTTCAATATATTGACGGTAATAACAATAAATGTGGCCGCTATAGCATCCGCGGCTGTGTGAATTGGCGCATTGCTAAGGCTTGCATGGCTTTTATCCAGTCATGCACACCTCGTGGAGTTGGGAAAGGCCTTAAGCCATGTAGTTTTGTGAAATGTCAATAGATTGTTCCACTGGGACTAAGATGTTATTTGATCTGAATCCGTCTGCTGGACAGAGAGACAACACTTGTCCTTTGATCAGACTTAACGATCTACTGCAGGAATTAATTGTAAACCTGTAATCTTAGAAATGTGAACCTTATCTCCTAGGTTACAGCATGTGTCAGGTTGGCACAGGTACAGTATTCAGCTGCTTTTATAGTCGAGTAATGCTCCCAAAAAACAATTGTAGGTAAAGGTTTTGGATTTCAGAATCTAAGGTAAATGAAGTGTTTAAATTGAAATGGATTTGTTTATAAGTACATTGATTCATGCCCTTCCAGCTTGCCTAATCCTTCAAATGTTAGGATAGTTCCAGTTTTAACAATAAGCAAATCTGAAGACGTACTTGTACTTTTAATCCTTATATATTTTTCAGAACAGTACCAATTAAATAGGTACATACATTGGTTTTCAGTTTGTTGTAAATTTCACAACAGGTTTCTCCGCTTCTTCAACCACCTTAAGACTATTATTTTAATTGCGTTCTATTGTGTTGCCTTTTTTGTACAAATAAATTTATATATTTATAAAAAAAAGCATGCCTAGCTTAAAATTATTGTCAGTAGTTTTATGACGAGACAAATATACATTTTTAAATCTCTTATAATCTTTCATAAAACTTTTAACCATGAAATTTCTTATGATCTATGTATCATTTAGCATTTAGTTTGTCCCGTCTGACCCCGTGTGCATTGCCAAATCTTTCAACTCATCTAGTAAAATTGGGAAACTGATGTCAAGAAGGTTTCTATCTTCTTCCTGTTTCAATATAGACACAAGAATCTGTGCTTCATTCTTTTAAAGCTTACATGTTAAACTCATAAGAATTATTTCATTGATTGGTTTGATTGGATGCTATAAAAACAGTAAGATAATTAATTACAAGATTTAAATTTTCTTTTATGATATTGTAAATGATTTGAATTTTACTCAGCCACTAACCTTATCAAAAGAAATTAAATAGATTATATTTTAGCGGAGTAGGCACTCTTGCCTTATAGTTTTTTATAAAATCAAGTATGGACTTGCACATTAAAGTATCAATTCTATTTAGTGGAACTATAGTACATTTAATGTAGATGAATATTATTAGCACAAAAGAAAAGACAACTTTATTACAAATTTACAAACCATAATTTCATTTTGCATAAGTTTATCCTTCAAAGATAATATAAAGAAATAAATAATACCAAAATGCATTTATACTTATCACTAACATATATACAAAGGACGGAATACTGATACAAGGTTTTGTCAAAATTACAATTTTAATGTTATGCAAGCTTAATTAATTTACAAAGCTCAAAACTCATATTTGGTAAACAAATATTTTATCATTGAAATAAATATTATAAATCATCTTTGAGTTGAATCAAGTTGATGATAAATACATTATTTCAACTTATATTCTTCTATTTAACTGTAAATGTGTTTTATTGATGATAAAACATATGTATTGTATGGTAAAATTCTAAATCAACTAACTTAAGCTATCTTACACATTGTTTGAAATTAAAAATTACCATAATCACTTATTTCATATAAAACTTTATAAAAATGTATTACAAGTAAATTCTTTTTTTTGCTATTAAAATGTATTTGGTTGTTAAAGCAGATGTTTCAGTGTCAATTTTCATACAAAATGTACATTTTATTTACATGTGTAACAAAAATATACAGATAAAATATAACTTAATATTTAACCGGATACCTGTCCCTTAAATGTATACTATTATGCAAACTAAAAATCTTAAACTCAAACTTGAGGAATGTCACCATTAAAATCTTTCCGTTACCTGAGGGGGAATGGATACAACATTTTTACTAAAGAAACTCTTGTCAATTTAATATTTAACATCTACTGCAGGTCGTAAAATATCATCACAATAAATAATGTTATGTAAAGTAAACAATAATAAAAGAAGCATGAATTAAACCATTGACTATTTATTGGATACAGAAGTCGTTGTATTAATAGTCAAAGATTAAACCCAAACACGCTTGAAACAAATCTTTGGTACCTACATTCTTTTATCAATTGAAGTAAATTAAAGTGTATTTTTCAATTATATTTTTATACAGTATACACTTTCTTTATATAGGTTCATTGCAAACGCTGGGCCATCTATTAAAAACATGAAACAAAAGGGTTCTATACTAAATATATTAAATTTAACGCCAAAATTATACAATCTCTGTGATGTATTGCAGTTATTTTTTGGTGGTTTGTTCCATTAAAGTTTTATTGTAACTGGATTGCTCCCAAAACGTTATTTATCAAATAAAAATATTGAAACCATCAACTGGTTGGTCCGGTGTTAAAAGACAGTAAAACAGTAAAAATGTACACCTACATTGGTGGAACATTGAATAAAAAAAAATCAATAAAACATTGAAAATGGAAATGTTGGAAACATAAATATGATCTATGATTGGAATATTAAAAAATCAATAATCAAAATTTGTTTTGACAGTCCCTTGAAGTTTTACGTTATTAATAAAATTATTTTTGAATAGAAAAGGGTGCAAAACCTCACATTTGGAACTTTATTTCACAGATACTCCCAGTTGAAAGCAATCCAGTTCTTATACAGTATCTACAGAAGGTAACAATGATCTATTCAGTTGTCCGCAGTCAGATATCTGCTGACGGAGATTGCTGCGAAGAGAGGAAGAAGACCGTGCATTGCTGCCGAGATTGATAGAGACTCTGCGGAGTTACAAGAGTCTGTGTTACAGGTGCTGCAGTATTCCACCTTGACAAAACAAATTACAATTTTACCTATTGCTGTTACATATATTTTTTAAAGTTGGATTTTAGTTAGCTGATTGACAAAAGTGAAGCAACATAAATATATATTTATTTCACATCTATATTGTACTTGTAAGGGTTTTCACGGATTATACACATAAAATAAAATAGGCAAATCACATGAAAGAATTATATGTGTTACTGATGGTCCTATTGTGAAGTTTAAAAAGCCAGTTATATTATGTGTGTTGTGTGTTCCAGAGGCGTCACACAAAACATATTGGTGGGGGAGACACTTGGTATTTCCCAATTATTGTACACGGATTTCCCGACTATATTTCACGAATTTCCCAACTCTTTATTATAAGGATTACCCAACTTGATTTGGTACCGTTCTCAAATTTCTCAACTATATTACAAGGATTTCCAACTAATTAATATAAAGTTTTAACAGTAAGAAGGCTATTTTACCTTCTTACTGTGTATCTTTATAGCTAACAAACACCAATATAACAAGAAATGAAGGTTTCCCTCACATTATTGAGTTGACTGTCAATCTTCATTTTTGATTGTGTCTGAAGTGTCTCAACAAATGTTAACAATGCAGGTCTACTGATCAATAATACGTTGAGTTTATAAAATAAATAATCCTCTTAATTTTTTAAAATAAAAACTCAGGGGATACAGTACGGCTCTCCACGTGCAGCTCAGGAAGAAACTTCCCTTAAAACCTTGAATAATTAATGTGGCATATACTACAGATACGGTACATAGTTACTCAACATATGAAAATTCCAACAATTTTACTTTAATTTTTAGTCTACCTAAGGATTAAGGGTAGATCTCTGCTTGGTTAGAGAATAAATCTTTGTAAAACCTAGAGCGTAAATGAGCTATGCACTGAATACAGGTATGACAATGTGATCATTTGCATGCAGTGGTAGGAAAATATATGTTTTGCCATGGTGCCGTAAAAACAGCTGTTTTAATACATACATGGTGAGTCTAAGTGGCCCTTTTACTCCCTAGGGAGTAATGAGCCTTTTTAGTCCCTAGGGAGTAAAATCATATAGATTATACAGTAGACCTGTTGAGTTCCACAGACTATCTACGGTTGACAATGTTGAATCAGCTTCGTTCTGACTATTTGGCTAGCAACTATGACCTCCCATCCCATCTATATTTTACCTTAGCGTATGAGCTGACAGAATTCTCTGAGCAAGGTCCACTGCCATAGTCGTCCGTCTCCCAGGTACATGAGCGAACAGTGATCAGTTCATTGTTTACTGAAACATGTTAGTTGGTTTAAAACATTTTGGATATAAGGTTGTGTAAATTAATTATTATTTTTTGTACTTAATTACGTAACAATATTGATTTTCGAATCTCCTTTGCTCCATATTGATTTTGATTTTAGCACAACTACATCTTTCTATCGCATAGTGAAAATACCCTTCATGTAATTTTGTTATTCAAATAAATATGTTGATAGGCTTAAATCTTATTTTAACCAACATTATTTTAACAGCCTCAAAGCAGTGACCCATACAGGTTGGTGTGGAAGTCTAAGGAAGGTCGAAACACTGTAAGAATAGTCTAATTACCACTCCCTCGTCACACATAATTGGTTTTGGAAGTATCTGATCTTCCAAAAGTTTTCTTCCTTTAAGTATTGGTAAATTATTAGTATTCGAAAGACAGTTTAATTTTCTATATTTTCAGTGATGATAGAATATATTATCATTACCTAAAAATAAGGCCAGTTCTTAAAAATAGGTTGCCTATTTAAAGTGCTAGATTGTTGTTTAATTCTCTGCAAGAATAACTATCTGGTCATTGTATAAAGTTTTTTTTTTTTTTTTTTTTTTTTTGTTGAATAAGTTTATATTTAAGAGAATTTTTGATTCTCTGTACTAGGTACAAATAATTAATATCGTTTATACATTGTTTCCTTCTTTAAAAGTTTAAAAATTATTATCAATGTGGTACAAGTGTTGGCAAATAAGAAACAAAGTAAAACAAAAATGTTAATGTAAAGTTTGTTTTCAATCCTAACGAATATGCCTATAATATATTCTTTAGAGTGAAATGCAAATTTGTCAAAGTGTTACTTGTAAGGTTGAAAGCAAAGTAAATTAACATTGTAAAATGTGTTTTTGTTCTTGTAGTGGGACGGCATTGGAAAATGAAAAATGGTAATATTCTGTGGTTCATGACATGTCAAATGGTTACTGAGCCAAGAAGAGGCACCCAAGGTTACGTTAAGGTTAACACAACCTTCAAGGTATAAGTTGTTTCAACAAGTTGAGTTGTGGTTGAAACTTTTCTTCCAACTCTCTTAAATAAAATTAATAATAGGTACCCACACTTTAACTGTACTATTTACTCAGCCATTGGATATATTGATATCTATTAAATATATTGGTGTTGAATTTAGTAAATTTGATTGAAATTTTTGTATTACAGTAGTATGTCATCTTGTATTTTTTTGGTAACCTAGTACCAAAAAGACTTTGAAACCTGATTTAAAAGTAAAGCCACAAATACTGTACATTTTAAAAGAAATACTTTAATATTTTAGTTATTTTTATTTTATGAGGCCTTTTGCCATTTGTGTTAGCATTGCCAGACACATAACAAAAACTGCGGAAGGTTTTGTGCCGTGTTTGACGATGGGGAAAGGCCTCATAAAATACAAATTACTAAAATATTAGTGTAGTATTTTTTTTTATGTATTGCAAATATTACCAGTTTTCAATTTAAGACAAATTGTATATTAAATCATTATATACTTTGGCAGCCCAAACTTGAATGAGAATCCTACCTTGAATTAAGTTGTTATGAATCTTCGAAATCTTGCTGAGTTAAGGGTTTTTATCCTTTCAACAAAACGAGAATTAAATTTACGGTACCGGTATTACAAAAAAGTTAGGTATTCTTTTCTCAGACCCAAATGATCAGCTGACCAGAGCACATCCAAATTTTACTTGATTCTTATGTTACCCACGCCTACTTCTGAAAACCCCTAATTTTCCCATTATTCAAACTTAAATCTGTTAAACATTCTTTAATCCTCACCTCTCTGTTTTGTCTTCTTGCACATGGCGATGGACTGCAGGTAGGGGCTCTGCGCTCTCTCCCTGTCACAGTCTATCACTGCCAGATGGGTCATGTTGAAGGGGTCTCCACATCGACGGTCCACGTCTGAAGAACACACCCAGCATCTGATGCTCTCTCCTGGGAAAAGTTAAGATTGGTATGAAGTTACAACTAATTTTAATGTATCAAAGAGCCAGTGTGCATTTGAACCCCCAACATCAAGTCACCATACACCTACTGTGGATGTGTGGTGTTTTAAACACTTCATATAGGAATTAGATACATTTTATGCAAGTAAGTCAGTGGGACTGCAGTGATTAAATAGTGCCGGTGGTCACTAATCACTCCATTGAGCTAAAATGGTTTGAAACTGCTTCTGCTTGTCTAGTTATTTGGATCCTGGGGGAAGGGGTTGTACTAAAGATGGAGGATGGTTATGTTTGCTATTGAACACATTTTCCCGAGGATCTTGTTGTTTCTCCGTGGGTATTGCCTACAAATCTTAATCCCTTACACACACTTTTCAATCAGAAATAGAAGACATGTTACTCCTAGGGTTTTCTGTTTTAGTTGTTTAGTTTTTCTGTTTTATAAAACAAAGCCTTTTAGATTTTTTTTCCAAATATCAGACTAGAGAAAAGTTTTCCAGGTACAGTTGAATAATTTATTTCTGAACCATTTAGGATTATTTTACATATATTCCAAACAAAAACAAAATTATAATTGATATATTATACCTGCCATTCATCTACCAACTTGTAATTGACAGTTAATATATAATTTTTGTTAGGGGAGAAACCCCTCGGCCCTCACAATATGAAAACCTGTTTCTAACAGAGGGTAGGAATTTATTTTTACTTGACTTTGTCTTGTATAATAACAAATACCGGTACAGTAAAGTATGTGGAGAATGTATAAAAAATTAATCATATTCAGACACAGTACTTCTAAAACAAACAACAAACATTGTAGGGATGTAAAAAAAAAACAAAAAGTTTAGTCGTGAAATAGTTATTTGTGTAATTAGTGGGTGAAGTGGCACTTTGCTGCACATTAGAGAAATGTTTAGCACGAGTTGTAGGCGAGTGTGGAAAGTTTCTCGAGTGCAGCAAAGGCAGTTTGCACTCGTGTTAGTTACACATTATATTTTTCCTACAGTTGCTATAAATCATATAAATAATTAGTCTTTCTTGCCTTGTAAACACTGTACAACACGTTTTTAAGTTAGGTTAAATCCAACAGCTGGTGCAGCGTTTCCCATCGTTCAATGTTTGGAATCCAAACCACAGAAAACATACTACTATAACCTTAGTAATTATAGTAATATGTTATAGTATATGTATAGTTATAGTAATATGTTAATATAGTAATAGTTATAGTAATATGTTATAGTAATAGGTTATAGTAATATGTTTTCTGTGATCCAAACATTGAACGATGGGAAACGCTGCACCAGCTGATCGTAGTCGTACAAGCGTACACGGATTAAGTGTATAAAAGCACGCTGTTGTGTTGTTTGGTTGGAATACTGGTGTTCGCCAAAGTAAGGCTTTCTGTTCTGTTCATACTATAATCTGTGCAAGGAAGCCCACTTTATTTATTTTATAGTGCCACTAGACACTAGACATTTAAATAGTGAAAAATAAATTCTCGCAATAGAAAAAATCCCAGGCAAGGAAGAGGCAATCAGTGGTATTACTATTATCTGTCGAGATAATAAACTAAGGGTTGCAGGCCAAAGGTTAATTGGTTAATATTGGCTCTTAGTAGCCCAGTGTTCCATTATTGGCTACTTAATGACTCATTGCAAGAAATGGTTGGGTGAATGGGCTGATAAGTTTTTAGTGAACCAATGACCCTGTTCTACTTCTCCAGTAATCAATCACATTTGCATTTTTCTATTCAAACTATGATCTATAGGAATATATATTAGATAATACAAATGCAGGAGAATGTCAAGCTATGGAGGTTGGAATAAATATCAAATAAAAATATAGTTCTTTTTAAGCTTGTACACCCAAAAAGTATAATATTTTCCCAGAAACTTAACAATGTTGTAATGGTTCATAAATTAAATTTTGGAAAACTATCATTTTTTTCTTTATTTGTGGAGAAAATCTTGGTTAGAACAAGAAAAGTGAAAGAATAGATCAGAGAATAACATGAGAATCAGTCAAGGTTACCAAGTGTTTACTGCAGTAGCTGTGTGCGTGTGTTTACCTGTGTGTGTGTGTCCGGATTCAAAGTCCTTGTGTTTCTGTGATTATGTGACGTCCATTGTTGTGGTGGCGAGTATCGTGTCAAAGTTGGCACACCTGTTTCCGGTAAGGTGTCATCACTGTAACCTGTTCCGGTTTTTGCGCGACACTCTAATGCTACTGGAATATGTGAGGTAAATAAGATGCGTAGTAGGAGTTTTGTACACGCATATTTAAAACATTAACCTGTAAAATGGTGGTAAATAAACGGTAAGTAAAAAAGCATGCACAAAAAATAGCAGTGTTGGTAAATAAACAGGAAAACAATACACTGCTTCTATTCTGACGACTGAATAAATTCAAATAAACTCAAATTTAGTCCGAATAATTAAGCTAGGGCATATCATGAGCTTCGCGTTAATAGGAATAGCTCACAACCAGCTAGATTTTGCGTAGGTAAATATATTTGTTTGCATTGGATTTAATTTCAACAAATTTATACCAGTGTCAGTAGGCTACATTTTACTGAAAGTAAAAATAATGAATTGTTTTTACTCTCCTTTTCTTCGAAGAAGCGTTAAACGTAATGATTACTACAATCAATTTCAAGCCCCTCATAAAGTTGGGTAAACCAAATTTCTGTGAAGTGATGATGTACGGCGTGGCATTGCAATTTGGGCAAAATGCAAGAAATCAGTCTTGACACGGTTATGAAACTCTTCAGCCAGTGGACCTGCAAGTGACTCAGCCCTTGGACATTGGATACGCTCTCTCCTGGAACATTGGAACGGAACTGTGGACTTGGACGTGAGGGAGGACTGCGCAAGTCTGAGGCAACGAATTGGCGGGAACCAGGCAACATATTGGCGGGAACGTAAAAAACCCCAAGTAATTTACTTGTCACTCAAGAATGTTGTAACTTTGTGGAATTGGAATGACGAAAATTTCCAAAAGGTTTGGCGGCATTGTCTCACCAAACATAGATACTGCAAGTGTTTTCATTCTATTCGAAAATCCGAATCATATATAATGTGTCCGTTAGCCCGATAACTCGAGCAAAAATCATCCGATTTCGATGAAATTTGGTATAAACGTGTAAACCTACATTTATTCGAACGAGTTCGCGAATCAGCATGATCTGACCATGGTAACGGGGGTTCATGGGGGGTAAAAATGGGTTTTTTTCAATTTTTTCCCCTAAAAAAATTGCAATTTCTTTCTAAACTATTATGTTGAGCTTAAAAAAAGAAATAATTTAGTATAGTGAAGCGCTGTTGTATGCCTTTACGGAGAAAATTAAAAAAAAATATAATTTCAAATTCCCATGTCATTCTTATGGAGAAAATGAATGTGGCCTACTGTTGTAGTTTACTTGTTTATGGATAAGTGTTGATAAAATTTGGCAAATTTATTTATTTCATCATATACTATTGACGTATGGTAATGAAAAAAAAACACTTTTTACCTTCCCCGTAGCAGCAAACCTAAGCACTCGTTAAATCTAATGTTATTTAAATTGGGAATAAAATTGTAACAAATTGAGCTCTGTTTGAAAGATAACTCTTGAACCATTCCAAAGCACTGCCGCAAACTCCAATTGTTTTTAACTTGTTGAGCAGTTTTAAACTATCTACGGAATCAAATGCTTTTTTGATGTCAAGAAATATTAATATAGAACGTTTTTTGCTGGAAATGGTATCGTACAACTCTTTGTTTACATCAAAAAGAATATCTGAAATATTTTTGTCGTGACGGAATCCGTACTGACGCTCACTGAGAATGTTATTTAAATGAAGGTAAGCAACCAATTGATCTTTGACAGCCTTTTCAATTATCTTAGTAAAAATACTCAACAATGAGATTGGGCGAACATTGTTTTTATTGGTGATTTCGTTGGATTTATTAACAATCAGGAAAAGTTCCTGAAGTTATGCTTAAATTAACAATGTGTAAAAGTGGAAAGCAGAGGATATGAAAAGTTTTTTTAAGACATCGGCCGAAATACCATCGTAACCAGGCGCGGAACCACCCCGCAGGCCGCAGACGTAGCGTTGTAAGTCATGTGCAGTGATCGGTTGAACGGTTGAACGTCGTGTCGAGTTGGTAGTCACAGTCATCAACCAATAGGGCCCCACTTGGGTCTAGTTTACTGGCCAGTGAGCTACCGACGTTAGAGAAAAAAATGTTGAAATCATCTGCGACTTGTTTATACAATGTTGTAGATAACTGAGTGTTTGATGTAAGTTTATCTATTGGAAACGAAATCTTTTCTATTTATTCTGCCGGCCAGTTCATTGACCAATCTCCAAAACAGCTTAGGGTTATCAGAGGCTTCGTTTAATTTTTGCCGGTAATAATTTTGTTTAGTTTGCTTCAGTTCTTCACTAAGGTTTTGTTTAAATTCTTTATAAAAATTGATAAGCTCAACATTAAAGGGTTGTTTTTTAACTCTTTTACTTAATTTATCCCTCACTCTTATTTGTTTAATCAGTTCTATGGAAATCCATGGTTTGAGTTTTTTAGCTCTAGTTGATCAATAATGGTTTTAGTAGTAACTCTTTTACTTAATTTATCCCTTACTTTTATTTGTTTAATCAGTTCTATGGAAATCCATGGTTTGAGTTTTTACAGCTCTAGTTGATCTATTAATAATGGTTTTAGTAGCAGATTTCACTGAATTAATAACAATTCTATTAAAATAATTAGAACAAAAATTTATGTCATCATCACATTGAACAATGGGGTCCCAGTTGGAGTTAGTGAGGTTATGTGACAGTAGCGTATGGTCCAGGTACGTGTGAGTGTCAGTGAGAGAAGTGTTAGTGTGTGGTGTGTTTGAGGAAATAGTGAGACCAGTGCTGTAGTGATCTGTCACAGCCGTCTGGATCACAGCTGATTTGACCTGAGAAATGTTTTTGTGTTTAATGAAAATGTGATCCAGACAGCTTGCTGTGTTATTAGTTACTCGCGTCGGCTTATCAACACACTGCAGGAAACCCATCCCCAAAAATACATCTAAATATAGTTCTGAAGTTTCATTTATTCGAAGAAGGAAGGTCTATATTAATATCACCAAGGAATATACACGTTTGATTTCTATTTAATGCTTTCATGTATCTCTCCAGTTCACCAATGAGATTAATTGGATCACTGTCGAAGGTTCGGTAAATAACTAGCAAATGGAAAGGCTTTCCGCAGTGCGTGAAATCCAACGCAAGTCCAAGTTTAAGCAGTCTTGAAAGGGTCTCTTTACGTTTTTAAAACTGGTTTTAAGAGGTTTGTGGTTCCTTCGCCTTACTGGGAAAGTATCAAGCAAAGCAAGGTACAATACGAGAATGGACTTTGCTGATGCATTTCAAGTGCGACAATCTCAAGACATCGCTGCCTTCACAGTCGGTCGCGCTACCGAGCCACTGAATCAGCAAACTCAACTTTTGTTTGTTATGTTATTAACTATTTATCGTCAGTCATATGGTAATGCGAAAAGTAATGGTTCTCAGGGTTTTCTTCGCATTTCTAATTGACAATGAAAAGCTTTCACTGTTTCTATTATGTCGAGCAACCAATGGAAAATTTGTCTCCGATTTCTCTGTTGCAATGCCAATTTACTGAAGCGAAAACATCAAGATTCAAATTACATCTAAGTGATAGTTTGTTGAAAGTAAGTGAATGGGTTTTTCTGCAATACAGAAGGTAGAAGTCAACGTTAGTTTTTACAAATATTTTAATTTGTTTTTGTGTTTAGTTTGAAAACCAATAAACAGAAGAATTTGATTGTATTGTAATTTGATTAGATATATTGTCTAATAATACAAACTCAACATTTCAAGTTAAAATAATATTTAACTAAAATTTATCTTTATATTTTTATCTAACCAAATAGAGGATGTTAATGTAAGTGTTCGAGTAAAAGGCAGTAAATAAACGTTGTTCGCCACTGACGAGCACGAGAAAAACAAAATAGCTTTTTACAAAGCATTCAGTTTTAAGATCGCCCCCCTTATTAAAATTAAATTATTTATTATTTTGGCCTAATTAGTTTTTGTGTTACACAATAAATTATTTCTCATTTAAATTCTTAGTTTAAGCTGTATTTTTAACTTCTTATCGTTTAAAAATATGATAACTCTGGATTATATATTCCTTAAACTGTACATAGATTATTACAGAAGTACAAATTCTGAAAAATAAATTTGGTATTAAAGTAAAAAATTCTTTTTTCAAATGTATTTTTGGGAACATTGTATTTAAAATATGAAAAGTGTGTTTTACTAAATATTAAAGCTAGCCCCGTGGTCGAAAATTCTACAAAATGTATTTATTGTGCAAACATCTCTAGGCCTGTAAATAAAACATGTGATTGGAATTTCATTAATTTGTTTTGATTTGCTGTTTATCGTCTATTATTTCGTTGTTATATCGTCACCAGCATGGCAACCCATCATGCCCATGCAAATCTTTAGGATTTTAGGATTTATATATTAAATTGTATATTATATATTATATAGAGGTCATCCAGTGGTCAAAAACTCGACCAAAAATAACGTAATGTAGGCTACAGACTTCTCTATTTTCACCCCACGCTGTAAATGAAACATGTAATGATTGTGTAGCAGTCTTCTATTTGTTTTGATTTTCTGTTTAATTATCGTTGTTATTTCGTCACCAGCATGGTAGCCCATTAGGCCCAAGTAATTTTTAAAATTTGAAATTAATTTGTTGTGCTTATTTTTGAGCCTATTTTAATTTATAAATGTATTCTGCACTTATTTAGGCAAATATCTCTCTAACAGTATGCGTAGATTTTTATGGAGAATGTTGTAAAATGTTCTAGTTTGCTTGTTTATGATTATATTTTGATCAAACTTGGCAAATTTATTGATGTTATACTAAACTATAATTATTTTACTTAAAACACATTTTATTAGTTTCCCTGTAGCAGCAAACCTAGGTACTCGTTAATCCTAATGTTATTTGAATAGATTAATTGAAAATCATGCCAGGCAAATGGAAATTAGCTTAGACGGCAGGTTTGCTGCGGCGGGGGTATTTTAAAAGATAAGACATGTCTCTCACCTGATCTAACAAAGAGTACAAGCAGAGCGACAGAAGACAACAGGAAAGCTCGCAAGTAAGCCATGGTAAGTCACTGTCTCACTCAACTAACTGACTAACTCACTGGAGTCGAGAATGATAGTCAGTTCACCAGGGTTGGGTGGGTGGGGGGGGGGGTAAGTGAAGTACAACAATGGTTCCCCCTCCCTTCCCCACAACAGCTGCGTCACTCGCAAAACATTGTTGCGAAACTTGTTTATATCAGACCTGAAACATTGATTTTCACGACTTTTTGCTTGTTAATAACTGGTATCATGGAACGTCGCGTTTTTTTATTGTTCATAAGTAAAAAAAGATAATAGAGATATGGTACTATTTTGTATGGCTTTTTGTGGACTTTTATGGCGATTTTAATCATGCCTTTAACAGGTGACAAAGCTAATCTGTTTGCCTGGTTGCTTGTTAATTACTTATCAGGGAACTAATCCTAGTACTGTATCACAATACCTAAGTATTGAATATAGAATCCCAATTAATTGTATTGCAGTATTTAGCCCGGTTTTAATAGTATAGCGTTTTGTCTAAATTACTTATTGAATAGTCTTGTTTATTTGTTACTTGAAACCTGTTTTATAAACATTTTTTGAACCGGTGGTTTTAGAAATGAAATAAAAATAACACACTGTAAATGTCTAGGTACAATTATTATAACAATCTAAATTTATTTTTCCAAGTAGATGCTGCCCTCACAGAAGAATTATTTTGACGTAATGTAAAAATTAAATTAATACAACTAATACAGTAAAATGTTTTGATTTGCTAAATGATTTTGATTACAATTTGTGCAAATAAAATACTCCTGTTTTTAAACTCATTTCGTAAATATTATAAAAATAGCGCTTATTCATTAGGACTATATACGTAATTGCAAAATACTGTGTTAGAATTAATATCTTTCCTAAGTTACATAGAGGTTTAAAACACAACAAAGAGGAAAGAAGTAGTTTGATTGTTAAAACACGTACTGTAAGCCAATGTACTTTTCAGACATGGCTCTATCTTGAAATTCAGTGGCTCATTAGATCGTCTCATTCCTGAACTTTCAATGGATTTACAGACCAAAATTACATTTTCAACCATTATTGTTCTATAATCGTAAATACGTTTTAATTGTTTTTTCAATGGACTGTTATCCTACAAAACCTGTAATAACCACAATTCTCAGCTTTCAAAAGTAGTTTATTACTATCAGTAATAAATTATATATGGAGCAAGCTTTTGGAGGTTAACCTACAAAAAAACTTCTTAAAGCAAGTAAGCTATAAACAAAAACAGTTGATTATCTGTAACAACTGATCGAAAAGTTGTTAATATCGAATAACTCGATCGATTTTGCCTAACAGTTTTTGTTGTTATTAAATCCTGCTTGTACACACTCTGTGATGTTGTGTTTATAATTTAGATTTTTTAAATCAAAACTCAAGAATTGGACTCGAGCACTTCACACAAACTTCGCATTTCACAGTTGGAATATACTTGTCAAAATGACTATTTATACACACATCAGGTATACCAGGATTGCAAAAAAATAATGACAATGGTTCTCAAAACATGTATATTAGCACAAAGCTACAAGGTGACCAACGAAATTATATTTTGAATTCGGTGATAGATGTCCCACCACCAATATCTAACTTTCCAGGTCCCAGATTCTCCTGGGCTCGTGCACCTCCCAAACCACCTCTTCCGTAACGCACGTCACCATAATCGCCCATTGTCGACCGTTTTTGTGCAGGAGAAATTAGAACAGTTAAGTTGGTCACTCGAGTGACTTCATGCAGCTAGGGGCCCCAATAATGCTAGTTATTAAATGACATATCTCCCAATCACATAGGAATTAGGAATGTGCGTTTTTCTTGTAATGTAGTCCTCGACAATTTTTAAAACAAGTTAAAAAAATGAACATAATTGTTTAGTGAATTCATCTGGTTACTATCATAGCCTAAACTTGGTTATAGTTACTACTTGATAAATATTGAATTTTGTTGTTTTAAAATGCATACATTAATTTAATTGGACTAAATAAAATTTTGTAAATCAGTGACAACATTGGTCTTTATTCAACAAATCAAACTATTTTGAGAAGACTATTTTTAAATTTTACTGATTAATTGGCTCTTTACAGTCAAAAGTTTGAAGTCTACTTATTGTAACAAGTACTCATCCATTTTTTAAGTGGCCCTATGCGACGTAATTATCTATCACGTTGTACAACATCTTAAAATGTAAAGTGTTATTTTACATTTTAAGAATTGCATTGATTTCCCCTGAATATTTGAAAAGATTTTTCCAGAAGAAGGGAAATCACAAAAGAGGATAACTTATTCATAATACCAGATGGAAATGTATAAATGTATAATGGATAAGAAGAAATGAACAAGGCCCGTAACTTTTGATGTCCCTCAAGAATCACTACTTGGTACTATTTTCTTTGTTGCTATTGATTATGTAATCTATATATAAATAGGCAAGCATGTTTCTTTAAAACCTTTTTTCTCACTTCGTGTGCATCGCAGGTAAAATCTACGCATACTGTTAGAAAGATATTTACCTGTAGATGTGCAGAATCCTTTTATACATTAAAATAGGCTAAAAAAAGCACAACAAATAAATGAATTAAAATTTAAAAAAATACATGGGCCTAATGGGTTACCATGCTGGTGTCGAAATAACAACAATAATTAAACAGCAACTCAAAACAAATGGAAGACTGCTACACAATCATCACATGTTTGATTTACAGCTGGGGTGAAAATAGAGAAGTCTGTACATTACGTTATTTTTGGTCGAGTTTTCGACCACTGAATGACCTCTATATAATATATACTAATTTAAAATTAATTTCGACGAGTTGACACCTTTGCTAGTCCCAATAAATTAGAGATCTACTTAGCGACAAGTGACATGGTTTTTGTAATTAACAGCGATTATCTGAGGAAGGAGCGGAAAGTCCTTGGGTTTACCGTCCTGCGTACTGCGTCCTGGCGCGCTCCACTGGACCGACACAGACGTTCTTGTCTCTTTAGATCCGTCCTAAAAGGAAACTAATTACATTCTTGGTGAGTAAACACATTTTAATAACTATTCAATGGAACGAATATACAGTATTCAAACGAAAACTGTAAGTATATTGGTTCCTAAATACGCTGTGCAAAATGTGGCAGAGATTAAGCGAAGAAAAAACAACGGACAAACGAAAATGCCGAGAACTACATAATGAGACGACTACAATAGATAAATATAACCAAATGACGGAAATATCCTACCACTAATATTATAAATGAGAAAGTTTGGATGTATGGATGTATGTATGTTTGTGGCAAGTAAACGCGAAAAATACTGGTCGGATTGGGCTGAAATTTAATGTGATGATAGCTCACATTCCCAATTAACATATAGACGCACTCTTATCGCAAAAGTCCTTTCGGGCTCCGCCCCAGTGGCTCTAGAGTTTCCCATGTTAACCTTAAGAGTAATGACATTTAAAAGGAGTAAAATAGTTTCGTCAGCTGTTTCAAATACACAAGTTGGTTCTATGGTATTAAATAGCACAAGCAAGCAAGCATAGATACATACAAGCAAACATTGCTCGTATTAGAGTATAGATTAACAAGTTAATTATAAGGTTTACCAACAGGGTATAACTATTTTATACAACAAATGTAAAGACCAAAAATTTTCTATTTTGTGTCCTCTTCCCGTTGCAAAGCACGGGTACAACAGCTAGTACTTAATATGGCGAGTTTTCCACACTAACTTTCACCTCAATAGGGGTGTATTTCTATTTTACGCCATGACGAATTTACATTTTAAATGAATGATATTTATCATACTTTTCATAGCCCAAAGATTATAGTGCCCACCTTCACATAAGACCTTGAGGTGGGTTCAATTCTGTACATTGACAGCATATTGTCACTAATCTATAATTTATAAATGTTTCCCAGGCATTTTTGATTATATCTTGTCCTTTTAGGTTCCATTCCATCGGATGCAACTTCAGATCCAAAACTACGTGAAACTTGTGTTATGCTAATTAGTAATGGACAGTTTCTTCAGGAAACCTTATAAGAATAATATCCGGGCAGGAGGGTAAAACAGTTTTTTTTTTATATTAATAGTTAGTAAGAAATAAAAACATTTTCCAAATTTGATCAAAATATGTTCATAAACAAGCAAACTACAACAGTTTACTTATTCTCCATAATAATAACATGGAAATTTTTTATTTACAATTTTTTTAAATTTTCTCCGTAACCATTAGGCGCATAATAACGCTTCAATATACTAAATTATTTGTTTTTTAAGCTCTACAAAATGGTTTGGAAGGAAATTGCTAAATTTTATGTGTTTTGGGTCAAAAATGGGAAAACCTATTTTTACCCCATAAAACCCCCGTAAACCCCCGTTCACATAGTCCGATCATGCTGGTTCGCGAACTCGTTCGAGTAAATGTAGGTTTACACGTTTATACGAAATCTCATCCAAATCGGATCATGTTTGCTCGAGTTATCGTGCTAACGGACACACATATATATAAATATATATATGAATTTGAACGGATGGTTTTTTTGGCCTCTAGGGACCTCAAAACGAAAAAAAATCTGTCCCGCGTCCAGGTCTTACCATGAATTCTATGGTAATAGCTTATTCCCTATATGGGAAATTCGCTAAAAGAGATCGATGTTAACAATTTAAAAGATGAAAAATACAAAACATCGTGTCACCAATGGACATCTTTAATAGGTTTTAAAAATCAGGCTTACAATGCTAAAAAGTTCAAAGCCTCTGACGATTTGAATTTTAGGAACACTAGTAGAGGCGGGCGTTGCTCCGGCACTCCTGTCTTTGTAGAGATAATTATTACCATTGTCACTGCCATAGGTGGCATTGGCAAGCACGAATAGCAACATTAATATTGATGGCGAATTTTCCAACAAAGTTTGATGTGTAGATGAACCAAACAATACCTAGCTGTCACTCGTAGACTGTCTGACAGAAAGTGAGGGAGAAAAGTCTCACAATAAAAAAGTAGAAAGGTTTGTCATCCTTGCGAATAATTCGGACAGCTACCTGATATCACAGTGGTTCAATTAGTGCTAGTCTTTTATTTGGACAAATAAAAAGTGTGGGAAAAGGGTTTCTGTTGTTATAAACTACTGTTAATCCTCAAATGTGTTACTACATAACCATACATTAGTTGGTGGTATCGATTAGCTTATGCTGTGTAAAACAAATGTTAAACTAAATTAGCTGAGTCTGAAAAATTGCAATGATTTGTTTAAAGTTCATTTTTGGTGATGGAGGGTCTATTGCAGACATTTTCCCGGAACACATTTTTGTAGATGCGTTGTAAAAATTGTTGTTTTTTACCAATTGTGATTGAAAATATCCGCAATAATCCCTCGAGTTATTATTTATTATAATAATGAAGCTTAAAATATCATCTTGAAGTAAAACTCAACATGAGGACTGAAATTGAGAAAGAATACACCATTGCTCATGGATATTAAATGTAGACATACCAACTAACCCAGCTGTAGTAAAATGTTTCATTTAGTCCCATGGCACACACCACCTAAGTCGTTCTATCGCAGAATAAGAGCTGAGAGTGGCTTCCCTCTACTCTGTGGTGCTACGGCACGATTTTGTTTGCCGTAGAGGCTTACGACCAAATTCATATGGCCAACAGACTGCGGTCTTAAGGTTTACGTTTTTGTAACAAAACTCAATTGTTTTCAATCTGTGTGGATATTACACCATTTGACGAGGCATTTTTCTTTTTCCTTGTCAAAATGAGCCAGAGGCTTATTTTTACTGCAAAGAAACACTATGGGATGGGGTAACATTTGATGACTTGAAGATTAATAGGTAATAGGTTTCGTTTCTGTAAATTTACGATGAATAAAGATTACCTTGGCATCCTGCTGGAAAATGTAAGAGATGCAATTCTGGATGATCCCAGTGAATGGTTTATTAGCTATAATTTTGAATTTTCTAAGCTAATTTAGAATTACTGACAGCCAGTTAGTAGCTGTAGATATCTCCGATATGCAACCTAACAACAACAGCCAATTATTTATGTGATACGGGCCTATGGTTCAAAGATATCGGTCAGACTAAGGTCAGACGACGGGTTGTGTTGGTTTTCTGACACGGCCAGATTTTATTTTATTATGATTTCCTGTCCAAGGGGTTGACCCTCATTAGCGACGCGAGTGGGTTTGGAGCTCTGACACGACACGAGGCCGCAGCTTTTAACAGTCTAGTACAAAAGTATGTTCCTGTCAAAGCGAACTAATCCCAAGTACTATAATACACATTGGATAATCGTCTTTGACTCCGCTTTACTCAACGGAAAGGAGGCTATGTATTAATCACTACAATTATAGTTAACAGAGGTCAACTGTGAGGAAGAATCACGAGATCTTAAGTTCATTCAAATAAAAACAGAACTGTAATTTCCATCTCAATAAAACATACATTCTTTGTTTTGAACCAACTTGAACTTCTATACTACAATACTACAATGCTTGATCCAGATAAACATATTTTTATACTTTTACAATTACAAAAGGACATTATAGTTTTCTATTAGAGAAATAGGATATCGGTCAAGAACTATAGAAACGGAGGGAAACGAGGAAGAGGAAACTGAGCGAGGCGGCCTTCTGATGATGATCAAACGTTTCAAACGAGAACGGCTGATCAAAACAATCTGTCGTAGGCTACGAGAAACATCTGGACACGGCTGAGTAGAGCACGGACAGATCAACGCCCCTTTACTGTTTAGTTTAGTATGTTTGGAAATCACTTTAATACAAATCCGACACACAAATTAGGAAAATAAAAAAAGATTTACGTTTCTCGTAGATTATCTGTTAAATTAGCCAGAGTCGACATTTGCGTAAGAGCTAATCGAGGACAGCCCAGTCAAGTCAAGTTTCAAATATTCGAAAAGTATTTAAACCTTTCTTAGGAGTATGATTGAGCCGTCAACTTTTGGCCTGTAAACGAGAGCTCGAAATATTTAATTTATAAACTACATTTGTTGGTCCATTCAAATACAAGAACTTAACAAACCTGCATTCCACAGAATACACGATATTTTTATAAAAGTACTATAATAAAATGTTTGTTCATGATTTACTGTACACATGTAGTGATGCTATTAGTAAACAGTAGCATAGCATATTCTTCCTCTGTCATGATTATAAGCCTACCACAATATTCTTTGTTGCCCATACTGTTTTGATACTAAAATAAGTTGAATCTATACTTTTAACATCTCGCGCATATTACTCCTCAACTAGTTAAGACAATATCAAAAAGTGAATTCTATTATCTAACTTCTAGGTGCGAATTTTTATTTAACACACTCACTACCATGTGGAGAGATGCCAAACATACATACAGAGGAATGAGACGGCTAGAACTGAACCTGTTAAATCTTATGTTAATCATGAAATCTAGAACCGCAGAACTTATTAATATAAAATTAATTGTATCAAGACATCTGCTTAGTAAGTCTCTGATTTCACAGCATCTTTTAATCTAGTTCTTCATACAAGAACCTTTCCTTCAGACAGACAGTCGTATACTTTGAGTATCACGTTCAATTTATAATCCCTACCGACCCTACCACATAACAAAAGTGGTAAACAGTGCAAGTAAGCCTACTTTCACTCTGTCAGCCTACTACGCTGGACGCCCCCCACAGACCTGGCTATAAGAAATAAACACCAGTGGCTGAGGTAATTGTCCATGTCAAGTGAATTAACCCTAGTTACGCCCACCGTCTTTGTGACTCTGGTCTTCCGGCAGACCACCCCCCCCCCCTCCTCTAATGTCTCAGACCATTAATTAACCATCGTTTCAACAAAGGAAACTTAAAAATCCATTCTCCCGGCCCTTATTAATTTCTACAGATTCTATCACAAATTTTAAGTATGGATTTTGTATCTAGAAATGTTTAACAGTGTTTACGAATCGATGTCTTTGGATACAACTCACGAATCACGTAAATTAATCCACGGATGTTTGAACAGAAAGCGGTATGGATCATAAATATAAACAAATAACGTCACTGGCCTGAAAGTAAACATGTTTGTATTATTATTTAATAGAACTGTCAAAATACCTCCCTCGCAGCAAACCTGCAGACTAAGCAAATTTCCATTTACCTGATTAGATTTTCAATTAAATCTACGAGGCACGTTTTTAAATTTCTCCGTTCCAGCGCTGCGATTGGCATTTTCGACATTTGCGCTGTGTATGGACATCTATTGGTAAGCCCTAGCTGGAAATTCGAGAAAAATCGGCCATGTTTACATCCGGTTTCGAGCATTCAAAATGGTGCCGCTAATTGAGACTGCCGCCGACTGTAAAGTGCGCGCTGTAACTAGATTTTTAAGTGCTGAAGGTGTGAAAGACATTGAAAATCATCGACAGATTACTGACATGCATGGCAAGAACATTATCAGTGACGGAATGGTACGCGTGTAGGTAAGGGCATTTAAAGGCGGCCCCACCAACGTTCATGATGAGCAACGCACTGGGTACGGGGACAGTAATGACGCCACCCAGTGCATTACTCATCATGAACGTTGGTGGGGCCGCCTTTAAATGCCCTTACCTACTTGCGTACCATTCCGCACAGTCGGCGGCAGTCTCAATTGGCGGCACCATTTTGAATGCTCAAAACCGGATTTAAACATGGCCGATTTTTCTCGAATTTCCGGCTAGGGCTTACCAATAGATGCCCATATAAAGCGCAAACGTCGAAAATGCCAATCGCAGCGCTGAAACGGAGAAATTAAAAACGGTACTTATTAAAAAAAAACATGCCTCGTTTAATGAGTACCTAGGTTTGCTGCTACAGAAATTCACATCTAAAGGTTCCGACAGAAAATACATTTAGGTTTCTGATTTTACCGAATTTCCCATAAGACCGTAGGTCTCATGGTAAGACCTGGACCCGGGACCGATTTTCTTTATGGTTTTGGTGACCCCAGATGCCAAAAACACCATCCGTTCAAATTCATATACAGTATACATATACAGGGTGTTTCGAAACTCCGTGAGAGAAACATTATTCGTGTCCGAGGGAGTATGATTTGTTGGTTATTTGTGTTATGACCCTATACCCAGGTACATTTATGTAAAGGAAATTAAAGTTCTATCCTTTTTGTCATATGTAACTTTTTTATAAATCCTATTGGTTTTTAGTTATTTGGCTTTGCAAAAATTAAAACGGCCGTTATTTTGAAATTATACAAAGTAGAAACTTGATACTTTGAAAAAATAGTTCCTATTAGTCATCATACACGTACCAAGTTTTAAGTTGGCACCTTAAGTAGTTTCAGAGTTATGGGAAGTTATGTAAAAATACATACAAACTGACATACGTAAATCGAAGCGAGATGGGCATAGTTTAATATTTTTGTTTGGTTAAGACCTAAGGATTATGTCCACGGAGTTTCGGGAGAGAGTTTCGTAGCATTCTATATACTATGTGTGTGTGTCCGTTAGCATGATAATTTGAACAAAAAATGATTTGATTTCGATGGAATTTTGTTCAAACGTGTAAACCTACGTTTATTCGAACGAGTTCGCGAACCAGCGTGATCGGACCATGTTATGAAAAATATATTTAATGGAAAATCAAATGAGGCTAATGGAAATTCGCTTAGTCTGTAGGTTTGCTGTGGCTGGGGTTTTTTAAACTGTATAAGAATAAAGAAATGCACCCTCAAACAATAACAAATAAATACACTTTATTGCTTTGTCTCACGATTATGTATATAGCCTTCAACTTCTGCTTCTTAAGCCAGATTCACTTCTTCGACCTAGCACTTGCCCATCTGTCGATTCGCACTTGTAGATATTTATCATCGCTTTCTTCCACCTCTTCACATTTATCAAATGACGTTTTAGGAAGTGCTGATTTCTTAGCAACAGCCAACGGTTCATCAGTTTTTGTTGGCTTGCTCTTTAGGACTGTGGACTTTAATGGTTTTGAAGTCTTGGTATTGACGACCGGTTCTTTTGTTACTGGTGGTTTTTGTTTCAAGGCATGCGTTGGCTTGCTTTTTATGACACGGGTGGTTCTGGATGAAGTTGCTTTGGAATCATCTTCAGTTTTCACATCTGAACTGTCAGTGTTTATTTGAGTCTTCATGTTTTGAATTAGTGATTCAACATATGCTTGAAGTTTGGCATCTTCTAAAGAACTCCAAAAACCAGATTTCTTCGTTTGAAAATCGCCCATTTCAAACTGTTCTGAAAGCCCATCTGTGTGTTGAACGGACTTTGATTCAGTAGTTGAAAAGTTCGATACTTGCGTACATTTGCTTTTAGTTGCTACATGCGATGTCCGAGAAAGATCAACAGGTAATGAAAAGCTATCATCACCCTGGGAACGATTTTGGTCCAGGGACTGTTCTGATGGTGAATCAAACTGATCATAAATCTTCCTGTAATGTTTTTGTTTTGGCACAATAACTGGACCATCCTTCCGAATTATTCCTGCTACTGAGTTTTTGATTTTTATCGAAGACCTTTTCTCCACAAAACCAGGCCTATGCAAAATTGTTCTGCTTGGCTTTTCCTCTATGTCTATTTCTGTAAAATCTTCGTCATCAAGGTTTAGTCTGCTTCTCATACTGCTAATGATAGTTTCAATATTGGTTTCATCGATTTTTCCTTGCTGCACTACAGCTTGGCTTAACACTTTCTTGATAGTACCAAATACTTGCTGTTGCATACGAGATTCTGTCCGTGAACAATGTGATGTTTTAGGTCGTGGTTTCAGGCTGAAATGCGACGGAATAATCTCGTTTCGGCTGTTTTCATCATAAAGTGAATGTCTCTTGCTGATGACATTGCATTTTTCCTTTTCTATCAGAGTTCTAGGAGATGGTTTAGGTGCCTGTTTTCTCTCACTACCTCTCTCAGCTGTTTTCTGCGATTGTTGATCAGCTGTTCCACATTCCTTCATAGTGGTTGGAATAGTTTGGATCTTCACTTTAGGCGATCGTATTTGACTGAATGAAGTGTTGGTGTACCGCTCACTGATGGTGTTATCTTTGTGGGATTTTGTGGGCGACTTTTTTACTGGAACATTTTGGAAAATCATATTTTAAGGATAAATAAGTTAATATAGGGTGCCTAATTATTTTGTTGATCATTTTTACTTTTTGTTATTTCTAATATTTTGTGTATTTAAAAGTTAATGTACATAATAAATATTTTATCTTCCGATCCCTTTTTGGTTTTAATTTTTTCCCCATATGAACTAGGACTCGTCAGTGTATAACACTTTAAAAATTCATCAAGTAAGTTATTTGAGTCACCTACATATTTATTCTGCGTATTGCTAAACCATTTTTGTCGCTAACTTGGGTATCTTTTAAACGACATTACCTGTTTGTGAAGCTGCCTTGGGTCGCTCTAAAGGTCTCATTGGTCTCGGGATACTGGTACTCTGTCAACACAATAGTTTTGTTAAATTAATTATTTACCAATTATAACATGTTAACATGTTTAGTCAGCAGTTAAGGTTACTAGCAGAATGTAACATCTAAAATTTCTGACAGAAAATTCATATACGTTTATAATGTTAGTTAAAATGTTGGTAAATGATTAAAAGCTAAAAACCGGGTTCTAAAATAAGAAAACACAGATTATATAACCTTATTGTAAGTGTGTGTGTTGTGGTGGGGGAATCATAGCATAGTACCATTGACTTTATATCTCTATAGTACCAACAGTAGGTTATAGCGCTCGTCTTAATCAAAAGGTCGCTAGACCGATCCTGAGAGTCTGTGGCTTTTTGATGCTTTTAAAATAGATCTATAGATGTTATAATAGTGATCATTAGACTTTGATTAAATGCTACTGGCTAATGAAACCGCTGGTCTTAGTCACGGATCGTCACACACCATTCTAAACTCAACCTTTATTCATACTTGGGTTATAATACGCTCCTAGGGGCGTCCCTATGCCAATGATTGATAGGTGATTAACAATAATAGTACACTGATAGTGATATCAATCCAAATAAAAATGATGTTGTTTAAAAGACGAAGCCCAAATGTTTGTATTTCCTCCCGAACAAAGTTTTAAATTATTCTCCCTGCATGAATTTGAATTTGGCTGATTGGGTTTTAGCTAAAATATTTCCATGAACAAATCATACCTATTTATTTCCCTTTTACCCAAACATTATGTTTTAACGAGTACTTGGGTTTGCTGCTACGAGAAAGGTATGACGTTGTTGATAAATATTAATAATACATAATGAGATTATTAAATTTGCCAATTTTTTTTTCTCCATAAGAATAATATTGGAATTTTAAAAGTACAGTTTTGGGGATTTTCTCCGTTTCCTTTAATTGTACAATAATGATTCAACTAAAAAAAAGAAAAAAAAATGGTAATGGTCTTCACATGGCTGTAACGAAAATTGGGCAATTCCAAGTTTTAGGGGTAAGCATGTTGAAAAAATATTTGTTGAAGAAAAAAACATCAATACCTTATAACAACCCGATCCCATGATCTGATCTTGCTGGTTCGCGAACTAATTTAAGTTTATTCATTTTGCTACACCTTCATGCTAAATTCATCAAAACCCAACGAATATTACTAGAGTGGTTGTGGTCACGGACATATAAAACAATTCTAACTAAGTATTAAATTTAAAAATTTAAACGAATAGTGTTTTTGGCCCCTGAGAACATCGAAATGAAAAAAGTAAGTCGTTCCCGGGTCTATAGGTCTTTCCTTGCTGTCTACGGTAATAGCTTCTTCCCTAAATGGAAATGCGCTAAACACGGTATTTGTAGTGTATTGCACAAAATGATGAATGAGGAGGAAAAGAGTGTTCAGCTTAATAAGGTGTCTAGGGTTTTTTTTTGTTTTCCGGATCATTGAGTACAACGTTTCGTACGACCAACCAAAAATAAATATACTAGTTAACCTCCTTTTTGATATTTTGGTTTGTTCTCATGTGTGTATTACTTTTTGCCGCATCAGGTTGTAGGGCGTGGTTCTCCCTACTAATAATTAATACTTTAGATTACTTTTAATTAAAACAAAATGTTTACCCTTATCCGAGTTCTCGGAGCGGGTTGAGGTGTTATACACTCATCTTCTGGCTGCAGTAAAGTGTATTTAGACATTTTCACCTGAAATAACATTAATTTTGAATTGTAACAATAATTATAGACCTATAAGATGATAAAATAACAGATCTATCTAATATTTAAAAGTCATAAAAATAAAAAAAAATAAATGGTGGGTTTGTGGTTTGGACGGGTTTTACTCGTTTTACTCACAATAGGTTTGTATAGTTTCTACAAGAAGCATATTAACGTGATTTATAAAGCAATAATTTAAATCGGAACTATCTAAGCAAACCTTTTAAGTTTAATCCCAGCACAGATTAATATTGTAAGAATAATATATTTTTCTAATTATTCTTTTACTTCTTAAACTTTGTCTATCAAATAAATGTAACTAAATGTTCAAAGGCCTAAGAATATGGAAGATAAAGGAAGCTGAAAAATAGCAGTATTAATTTTTGTATATTTGTAATATGCTTATTTAAAATACGATAACCAAGGGAATCTAAATCATTGTTTTCAAAACTTCATAAATCCTTATTTGCTTGCGTTATTTTCAATATTTTTTTATTTGACTACAATCTTTATAATATTTGGGTTCATTTAGCTTCCACACTTTTTTTATTATTGTATCATTTTTTGTTTTATTGCCTGTGATTTTAGAAGGTATTTTGGGTCTTTTCCAGAAGAGAGTCACCACTATTTGGAATTTATAACTTTACTGACGTTTTTTTTTAATCTACTAAACAGAAATCATCACAACAATCAACAATAACAAAAACCATCGAGTCTTTTTTTAATTTTCAGGGGGCCAATACCAGACGTATCTCCAGATTGCTTCAAAGATATTATTGTCTATTTCTACGACGACTGAACCCGACTTTCAATAGGTACAATGCGTATAGTTATTCATCTATGACTCTCTCAATACCAGGTACTCATTGGAAAACAATTTAATCGTGTGGGGAAAATTTAAATAATGGCAGCCCTTTTCTGAAAAAGACAGGGTATTTATGTGAACAAACTGCCCAAACACCGTTACAATTATGCGTAATCGATGCAGGCTTTGTTGCAAGCAAAATAAATTAAACAGAATTGTAAAATGTGCTATAACTGATTACCATAAGTCTATGTTACCTGCTCGTATATGGTCAAATTGTACAAATAATTTTGAGAGTCTTGCCAATGGGTGACTTTGTGTTAGGTTTGTGTTTAAGCACTCAAATTTTGAATGGAATAATGTTACTATGCAACATAACACATTTTAACAGAAACAAACTTGTGGTTATTAAAGTGTGCACGTTCACTGAGTGACTGCCGACTGCCGAATGTGGTTGGAGGGACTACCGGGGGGCTTGGGGTGTGTGGGGCACCCCCCAATAAAGTAGGAGTGTCCGGGGCTATTCCCCCGGGAAAATTTGGAATTGTGTCATTAGCAAGTAGACATTAAAAAAATTAAAACTGTGACGACTGCATTAATGAATTTTAAAACACTGTAGACTACGGTCATATCCTCCTAAAAGCCGTTTGGTGACTTTCTAAAGCCATTTCTAACGTCTAAAACTGATTGCAAAACCCTCTCGTTTCCCCATTTATTTGTCATGAATAAGTAGACAATTTTAAAACTAACTATGAGATTGCATTCCGTGCTGGAAAGAGTAAATCTCAAAACATATTGTAGGCTACGGACATATCCTCCTAAAAGCTGTTATGACTGACTTTCTAAAGCAATTATTAATGCCTATATCTGTGTCTAACTGTCAAAAAACATCCCATTTCACCAGTTATTTGTCTCTATTAGCAAGTACCGTTAACATTAAAAAATTAAACTATGACGAATTTGCATTCGTGAATTTCAAAACATAAGCCTACTGTAGACTACGAAGCCATATCTCCTAAAATCAGTTTGGTGACTTTATAAAGCTATTTTAACGTCTAGAACTGTGTCCACACAAAATTAAATTTATCTATGTGGAACTTAATACTACTCTTGCCATCGCTTATTTACTACAATAAAAACTACATTTATGTCTGTTTTATAACATTGCGTGTTTTAAGCATGAAATATATGTTAAAATTTATTTTTCCAAGGTCCAAGGGGGGGCTTTAGCCCCTGTAGCCCCCCTCCTGGAACCGCCATTGGGTGTGTGGCAAGTTTTGGCCGATACGTTTCTCGTAGCAAACGAGGTAAAGACTGGCCGTAATTTGACGTCGGTCAAGTTTTTCTCGGAGAACTTGCCTCTGGTGTGTGGCAAGTTTTGTCTGATAAGCTTTTTGTTTCAAACGAAGTGGAAGGCTTGCCGTAAGTTTACGTGTTACCTGGACCATGGATAATGGTAAAGATTTATAATAATAATATTTTGTTCTAGAACGCTAGACTCTAGCATGAGATTGTTTATCACAGCTTCACAGGCCAGACCTAGGGGTTGTGCCATTATCACTTAAATACGATCCATTGGTGATTTGGTGGTATTTGAGCCCGGGATCTTTAGAGACTGATGAAGTCCCACAGTTATACCACCTAATAAAGCCCAGTAGTGCTGGACTCAGGCGAGCTCAATGTTCCCGGACTACTAAAAATCTCCTTCTTTGATCTCGGATGGCTAAAAATCCCTCATCTTCTACTCCTAGTTCTAGAGGGAACTAGCGCGGAACCTTTTAGCACATATTACTTCGGGCTAGGCTTTTTATAACAGGTTACGTACCTTGACGTCCACAATTCCTCTGTTGAACTTCTGTTGACTAGTTTCGACTACGGTACTAAGTAGTCATTTTCGAAACAGAACGTTAAAATATTTCATTCATTGAATGTCATCAAATCTTCTTAAATACATTGAACACAAACACAACACGAACACTGTAGACATTTAACATAGTTGGCCGGCCGGCGCACGTCACTGAACTGGTCGACGACGACTGTTTCTAGACCTGTTATAATTGATTACCAATTCCGGAAAGCTTCAACATGAATAAATAGGCTTTTTATATTCCATTTGTACTTTACTTCTCATTTTCTTCTGAAGGCTAAGTCCGATCGAGATCAACCTTCTTCGCCCCAAGAAAAGCCCAAGCCGAAGCCAGGTCCCTACTCCAACACTCCATAACCCTGACCTATTGGCTAACCACGACCACGGATTTTCTAAATCTAAAATCAATCAATTTAGCTAATTGGACTTGGTATAAAGTGGCTAGACTTATTAAACAGCCGATGTGATTTTAATTTAAAAAAATTTGAATTTAATTTATTAGACAATATTAATGTAGTAGGCCTACACTAGTACAGTAGAGTAATTAGTAGTCAGTCCTACTAATAATATTTCACTAAAAACTCGGCTTTTGTACAGTTATACTTTTTACAAATCCATTTCTTAACACGAATTTGTTAAAGGCACACTTGTATGCTGGTCCGCGTTAATGGAAAATAATCTATACAGGGTGAGTTTTAAATGAGTTCCCCCTCCTTTTTTTTCAACATTTCTTAAGATATCAACTCCGGACTACGTCAGATCACTGTGGAGTAGTAAGTACTTCATTTTGACTGGGTATAAATTTTTGACCACCATCTTGGATCCGCCATATTGGATACAAAGTTTTTTTTTATGTAAAGGTAGCGTTGTGACCCATCATTTCAAACTAGAATGCTACGCTGATTACAATGACTTTATTACTTAATTTTTAAACTTCCGCCATCTTGGATCCGCCATTTTGAAATGTGATGAATTATTTTAAATATGAAGGTGGTGTTGTGACCCATAATTTTGAATTACTGTTTTATGCTGAACTCAATGCCACAATCCTTTTTTCATTTTCACATTTTGTTTTTGAAATATTGACATTTGAAATGAAATAATTGTAATATTTCATCAAGAAAGCTTGATAACAAAAAACTGATTGCGGAAATAAGTTCAGCATAAAAAAGTAATTCAAAATGATGGGTCACAATACCACCTTCATATTTAAAATAATTTATCACATTTTCAAAATGGCGGATCCAAGATGGCAGAAAAAATACATCTGTCATAACCAAGTGAAAATGGACTATGGATGGTGTATACTTATCTTTATCTAGCACTATTTTGAGATTATGGATTAATTAATAAATTATTAATAGATTAATAAATGTCTTAACAGAACTTTGTAAATACACAATGTTAAAATGGGCTAAAAATAAAGTTATAAAAAGTTCTCATAACTTTAGAATGGATCAAGATTTTTAAAAGCAGATTGCAGCATCGTATTCAGACGAAAAATCTAGTTTGAAACGATGGGTCACAACTCACAACCCTACCTTTAAGTTTGAGAAAAACCTGTTCCGATATGGTGGATCCATATCCATATCAAAAACCTATTTAAGTTATTGCACGTTAAATCCTGTGTTTTTAAAGTTATTTTGAAACATTATAAATTGTGTTTGATAGTAAATAAATACTAACTTATTTACCTCTTTTTAAGCTATAATCATAGATAAAACACACTCCTCCATGTTTTATCTATGATGAAGTAATTACTTCTCTACAATGATCTGACGTGGTCCGGAGTTGATATCCTAAGAAATGTAGAAAAAATAGGGGGGGAAACTCATTTAAAACTACATTCAGACTAACTATGACGAGAGACAGTTTCCCGGCCATAGCTGCCAGGATGTACAATGCTCTGCCTGGTAAAATAACAGAACTTGACACAAAAGTGTTCACAAATAAAATCAAACAATTTTTACTGGAGAACCCTTTCTACTCAACTACGGAGTTCTTCAAGTATGCTGGCGCGATGAACTAGCTGTCCACCGCCACCACACAGTTTTAAATGTATATAAATGTGTATAGTTTTTATTTTTGTTTTTCGTTGACGCTATCTATCCAGCCTAGGCTGGTCATCGATGAAGAGGAGGTAATTCAGGTAATTCAGGTAACTCACCCTATATTGTAATAATAATTATTTATTAAATTGTATTGATTTTAAATGTTGTTTGCCTATCTATGGAAAAGTAATTTTATTATAGCTTTTTGATAATCAATGGTCTAAACGTGAATCGATGTTTTAATACTGGGCTTCAAACTACTTATAGTCTACTACCTGTATTAAAACTTTTTATAGCTTCTCTGTTATGGCAACACTGAAAAAAAGAACATATGTTTACTGTTGATGTTCGTGTTCGTGTACGTGTCCTCTCCTCACCTCACCCCAACAACTCGAACTTTTGCACGTAGTCTTTAGATTGTTAATAAATTTGCTGAGATTGGCTCAAGCTCAAACCTACTTAGACAATGGATATAATTAATTCCATTCCAACTCATATGGTAAGTAAATTAAATTATTTTTACCCGTTGCAATAAGTTAGATGTTTGTTGACGCTCGTCTTAGGTTAGGTTGTTCTGTATCGGGTATCTGAGAAGATTTTCAAATTACTGTAAGTACGGTAATACGTTTTTGTGAATAGAACACGATTAGGAATAGGATAGGAACGATAAATCAGTAATAAAATAAATGACAGGAACCAACCTTAAGTTAATCACAGGTTACTCTTTTAGACATTTTGCTCTGCTCAGGCCACTAAGTTAATAGGCCTATTGGGAGTGATATAGGACTTAAGTTTTAACTTACCTCTAGGCTAATACATGGACGCTAAGATGTTCATAATTTTTTATAACCTCTTAAGTTAATTTATGGTTATTTATTGATGGTAGGCCTAGATACTAAAAGGCGAAACTTTGGTAGGCCTAACCCACTCTAACAAATAAAAACAAACTAAGTTAACTTATCAGTAGACAGTGATTATCACACAGGGGCGGCTCCAGAATCTAACTTCAGGGGAGCAAATGGTGGTCTGAGGATTCCACCCGAGGAACATGCTTAGCTTTAAACATGTGTTAGGCTATAGACTCCGTTTTACTAGCAACTGTTACACTTTTTCCTTCAAAGAAATCATGCTTTATCACACTTTGTAACACCGCCAACCTTTTATTTATGTCACTTTTCATGAGATTGTATAGATAGATTTATCCCAATTTGCCAATTAATTTGGCCTACATTTATCAGAAACTCAATGGACTAGAGGTTGTAGACTACTTCAGGGACTGGCCATCTCTTGATCAAGCATTAATGTGATTATCAATTCTGCTAGTAAACATATTTTATGTTACATTATTCAAAATGAAAAGCAAAACGTATAAGTTAAATACAAAGCACAATTTTTCAGTGGGCCAATCAATTACGGTATTTGGTAGCCCCTTGGTATGCTTAGACTATAAAAACATGGTCGATGAGAAGAATAATATTGTTGGTTAGGGCCAATACATAATAACCTCACACAGAGACATTTAGTTGAGCTCAAATACTGTAAAGTATTGTTAATTTTACTTTGATGATTAAAAATATTAATTATTGTACCTTTTTAATGTGTATTTTATCAATTATCCTAGGTGTCCTGTCCGTAACGTCCCGTCCGTAACATGTACCTTGTGTTAATTTATATATTTTCCCTTATTATAAAGATGCCAAAGTTTAAACCTACAGTATTACTTTGTAGATAAAGGTAAAAGTGTATCATTCACATATTTTATCAAATTTAATTTCAGTAGGTTTCACAGGAAATTTAACGTGAAGTTCATGTACTTTATCCTATGTCTCTTTTTCGTCCCGTCCGTAACGGGCCTTTAATAGTTCTTCACAGGTTTAAAAAAATGTAAGTTATGTGGCATACAGGTTACTATCAGTATTTAGTAGACACTACCTATTAGCATACAAGCACAGTTAGAGTTAAAAATATATATATGGTTTCTTTATATTTAATAGTTAATTCTTCAGGATGTCCCGTCCGTAACAATGGAATGGCTGTCGTTGACTATAGAAACATTTCAAGTAATTCTGTAGTTAATAATGTTTTCTATATAAGGAGTTTCGTCATATTATGAAGTTATAGATGGTGGACTTATTACGTAGGCTAGTTCTTATATAGGCATGTCAGGGTGTTAGGTCGTGCTTTATGTGAATTTGTGACTGCATTAAGTGTTTTGAAGTTAGGTTAGATTAGGAAGGTATAGTTTAGGTTATAATGAATCGAGTTGTTAGTTTTTGTCACCTGCAGACTGTTTTTGTAAAATTAAATTCCTGAAAAAAAAACACTTCAAATGACTAAATTAAAAAAATGCAAGCATTTTTAAAATAGTAATTTGAAGTGTTTTTCTTAGGATTATAATTGGCGACAGGTGAAATCTACTCCTCGGGACCGAGGCCAGTCCGGATAACAGATTTTCCGGTTAAGCGGACGTCCCCAAAGACTCATTAAAATGGACCGTTTAAATGCATACTGTATACAGTAGTTGACTTAAATTTAGGAGAGCTTTGTGTTTAGAAGCAAGGTCACTGGTCTCAAATCTTTCCAACGAGAACAGTCGTTTCAGTATCGCCCACTTCCTGCCGATATAGTCCGGTTAAACCGATGTGCTGATAAAAATTGTCTGTTAAAGAGATGTAATTTCTGCTTGTAGTCTGATTTTCTGAGTGTAGTCTGGTTAAATTGATGTCCGGTTAAAAGGTGTCCGGGTAAGAGAGAGTCTACCGTACTTTATAGGATCTAGGCTTAGTATTTTTTCCCAAATGTTATAAAAACAGGTAGGAAGCTATGAAAGACACATCCTAAAAATTGTATAGCCTACATAACAATTTGAGAACACGGTGTTTTAACTTCTGAAGACTGAAACAAAATGTACTTAGCTAATCAGTCCCTAACCTAGGTCTTACCACTCATATTTAGCTAAAGCTATTCCCTATTGGGAATTTGATTTATGAAGAGGTTATTAAGATGGATTAGTTATGATATGTCTAATACCTTAGTTTTGTTTCAGGACTTTGATGGACAGAAAAGAGCAGAACGTCTTTCAAGAATTATCATAACCTTATTTGGTGTAAGTATCAAAAGCCATTATTAGTACTACAGGTGAACCTAAAAAATCTGACTACACGGTACTTGTTAGAAATTTATAATTAAGTTGAATTATAAGGGCTAGCAACTAGTTAAACTACTTTTTATTGTTAGGAATACATGATACAATTGAGAAATATTTACTCTGATATGAATCTTAACTGAAAATTATGAATGTTAAAACTAGGTCTCTGGTCTGGCTGCTTACCATACCATTTTACCATTTTAGCTGAAAATTCTATGTCAAACAATACAATGTTCAATATTATGTCCAAACCAAGGATTATCAACACCTCACTATGCCCCAGTGGTTGTAGTTCACGCTACAAACACACAGGTCACCAATTATTTGCCACACAGGACGGGAATAGAACCCGAGCAAACGAATGTCACTTGCCAAGTGACACGCCCTAGCCTTCTCGGCTATCTGTGCTTGTAGACTGAGGAGTCAAAAACTGGTATTTAAGCTGACACCAACCATTGCGAACACATAGCGCTACAGCAGGTTGTTCAATGCATTACAAGGTAGCAGCACGTTAGTCACGGACTATTTAGATGATATTTTTCATTTTTACCACAATAGTGATCATCAATTGTGTTACTGATGCTTTGCTCCAAAAAAGTATTTTTCCTACAGTCACCCGACAAAGTTGGCTTCCTTGTACTGTTTATAGTACAGAAAGCTGCTAATTGCTGCATATTTATACTTTGCCGTACGGTTTATACTTTGCCGTACGGTTTATACTTTGCCGCACATCAGGATTCCAACGAAACAACACAAAACAGCGTGGTTCCATTATGCCCGTAATCCGTGTACGCTTGGAAATAGGTTGGCAACACTTAAAGATAATTATACTATGAGCAGCTGATTGACTATTATAACTACGATTTAACCTGTCATTTCGTGTTTATAGTTTCGGTATTTCTGAACTTTCTTGACTTTTCTTTTAAACGTTTTTAAAACCTTCCTACGATCTTAATAAACAAGAAAATACCTTTTAAGCATTTTTTTTAGGCGCGGAAACCACTTCAAATTACAAAACATACGGAACTATATTCTCAAAACGCGGAGCACACTTCTTGCCGAGGAAAAATAGCGGAGTGATATGGACCGCGGGTACTACTTTCTCTAGGGCAGCATTTGTGTTGCCAGCTGAACCTAAAAACGTGTTGCATAGTGTTTGAAAGACTAATTATTTATATGCTTTATAGTGACTGTAGGAAAAATATAATGTGTAACACGAGTGAAAAAGGCCTTTGCTGCACTCGAGATCATTCCACACTCGCCTGCGGCTCGTGCGTAAACATTGCTCTCGTGTGCAGCAAAGTGCCACTTTCACCACTAGTTACACAAATAACTATTTCCTAAAATGGTCGTATTATAATAACATCAAACTAAATCAAGGTTAAATTCAATATTCAAAACTGTCTTTTGATTTTATGAGATTTTGGTTTCAAACAATGCTATCAGAACATAAAAATTGATAAGAAAACTTGGAAATTTACAAGAAAAACAACGTTTTATTTAATGTTTACTACAAATACCCGGACTTTTCTTTGTCATATATTTGTTATTGTCTTACTATTCCAAATTAGCCTAATTTATAAAATAGTGACAACAATACAGTAGTTACAATTCATCAGGAATGGAATTAAAACTCAAACAAAACAGTCTTACGAAATACGAATTATTGGCCTAGCACTGAAAGGGTATAAGTTAAATAGACTTTGTATATTGTCTATAAAGATTTGACAAAAGTTGGAATAAAAGATATAAAGTTAGAATTCTCAGACAGGTTTTATAAATTCCGCAGAGGAGAATAGTTTTCTCAAATTATGTATAATCTGACTAATGTTTATGATGCTGTAAAAAAGCCTATTTAACTGTCGGGTTGGCTGTATTGACACATAGGCCTAAGTAAAAAGTAAGAACGTGTAAATTCAACATGAACCATTTAGACCAATATGTTAAGAATACCATTTAACACGTTCACTGCTGACGACTCCGATCTGAGTCATGCCTTACTGGCACAGCGTGTGCGCGACTCTGTTCGGAGTCGTAGTGCAGTGCTACACAAGTTGTTCTACTGTGACCTCCGCATTTATCGGGGATCAACTAAACTAAACTATGTCAGCATATTGTGCTAGTCCTATACTTTAATTTGCTGTAAGTTGGGTTTAGGTTGGTATTAAAATTTCCCGTATAATCCCGCCTGGCAACGCTTTTTGTCCCGTTTTCGGTGATTTTCTCTCTCATTCTTGCCTTGGTATTAACGAATTGGTCTAATTATCTGGATGGTACTGCGGATAGTCGTAGTACTCACTAGTGCAGACGTTAATCCGCACCAGGGAGTATCGCATCCACAGTGCATCTGATCTCTATAAATATCCACAATTCGTGACCTCCTAGTAGCTTTATTACAGGACGACGCCAACATCCCAGTCTCCTGTAATTAATTTTACTTCTAAAACCATTTAAAAAACCATTCTAAAACCATGATGTAATCTTATACTGTTTTTACAGGCAGTTGGTCTGGTCTGGGGTTACATTATTCAGCAGTTTTCGCAGACTGTGTACATCGTAGGAGCAGGCTTCGCTCTAGCCGCCATTGTAAGTAATAGGTTAAATAAATTAAAAAAGACCATATCAAAAGGATTCAACATAACAATCGGTCCTGTCACTTGGTCTGGAACTGTTAAATGTGTTTGAGTACTTGCAGACATGATAGAAGGGGATGCAACATGATGGGCAGCGCAAGCAAAGAAGGTTTTTTTGACCTTGCTTGCCCTTGTCATGAGGCAATATTCTGTATCTTACTTAACAATTTAAACCTTCTAAGGTGTTTCATTGTTGTTTTGTGTCTTGTTAGAAGGTAGGCTAATACAATGCAGTTCCATTCAAACTCAAGCAAACTTCGCTGTGTCAGTTACATAGCACTGAAGTTATCTTGCATCTTCTTGTGTTGGGCCCTTTTTATGTGGTGTGCGCAATATCTATTTTTGTGTCTAGTATCACAATCTCTAACAACTTTTGATCATTGATTTTTTAGGCAGACACTTAAGTAACCATTTATAACACAAACATGCCACATCTTATTGATATAATGTAAAAAATATTTAATTAGCTTAAAGCCTTATTTAATGTTTAGGTTACAATTCCTCCATGGCCGATGTACCGCAGGAAACCTCTGCAGTGGCAGAAACCCAGGACTGAGGGCGAGGGAGAATCACATCAGAAAACAAAAAAGAAAAAGTAACTTTCTCCAACTTTGTCAAAACGATTTTTTGTTTGTTTTGGGGTTGTATTTTCTTATTTCTGACTTGATGAAAGGTAATCCTTTTTAACACAAAACATATTCTGCTATTGTCATATTTATGAATGTTAAACATTATTTCATGATTATTTAATAATGATTACAATATCTTTTATTGCGTTCTCCAGTGTCCGCACTTCACTTTGGGTTTGGTTACTTAGGATTACTTCATAACTGTCGTGGATTAAATTAATAATTTTCTCTACTTTTCAAAAGACTTATATTATCCTAGGTACTTTGTGTGATAATGGTACACTTGTTATTGAAATGTATAAAATGGTCATTGCACTTATAACGTTTTAAGTTATTAAGTACATTATTATGCTCTGTTGTTTTACTTCAGTATTAAACTCAAATTTGTAAAAAGTCTTTTGGTTTTTCTTAAGTAGCCAATTTGTTAAAATAATATGAAAAATACCATCAAATATCCTTAACCCTGGTGTAGGCTTACAGCCCTAACTCTGTTGTGCAGCTTTTTGAAAGAGGGGATTGAGCTCCCGAAGCTTATAATCCAGAGTTAGGTTGTTCATTGCACATCTATATAGTTGGTGTCCTTAGATACCATCTATGGCCAGGCGCCTGGTAAGTGCCTGCAGTCTACTATCCCTTTACCCAGGCCCGCTGTTAACATCTGATGCGATGTGGGCCCAAGAGGTAGTTGTGCTCCCCGTCCTCCATGCCGACATTGATTTGAATCATAAAATGAAAATGGGCAGTTTACAAGTTGCATGGGCATCTGCAATATAACAACCATAAGGCTCATTATATTGTGCTTTCTTTTGATTGTTAAAAAAATTACACGTAAAGTAAAAACGTAGCCTAATCCATCAATAAAATCTATATATTAATTTGAAACTGTTTTTCTTTGTCACAGCTAATTTGAGAGAACGGCTGGGCGTAGAAGCTCGGTAGAGGTGTCTAAAGAAAGGGCTTGGTCTGTAGATGAGCCATCAAAAGAGAAACGTGGTAAATTCCCTCGGGGCTCTGCCCCAGTGGCCTTTAAATTCCCATCCCATGTTATATATTCTTATGGAGGAAAATCGGGTTTTTGTCACAGCTAATTTGAGAGAACGGCTGAGTGTAGAAACATGGTAGGGGTGTCTAAAGAAAGGTAATTGGTCTGTAGGCGAGCCCTCAAAAGAGAAACGAGGTAAATTTACTTGGGGCTCTGCCCCAGAGGCCTTTAAAGTTCACTCAGCAGTTTTGTTTACATTACGACCATATGGATAATTTTTCACTACTTTTAATGAACCAGCTGTTAATATTAACATTGCATTCAAAGGTCTACTGAAACTGTCAAAATTAAATGTTTACACATTATTATTTATGATTTTAAATTGATTCTCCACTGCATGGCAAGTTTTTTTAGTTTCAACAAAATGATGAATTTATGATACATTTTAAATGTTTTGTTCAAAAATTTTAAATATGCTTTATTGTCCTTAAAAAATTTGAAATAACTATGAAATCAGTGCGACATATCAGTTTCAAAGGAACATATAATTATTCCTTATCGGGTTAGCTTATACATATTGTAAGGTTCAAGAATATTATTGAATTCAAGAAAGAAAACCAGAAATTCATTTATTGGTATAAAAGTTTTCGATAATCGGGTTGAAAATTGTGTCATAGATGAGTACGTTGAGAATGAGAGCTGTGTTCAAGTTTTGGAATAGACTAACTACTACAGAGGATGTTTCATGTATGGTTTTGGTGAAGTAGGTTGCATTAATGTCAATTCAGGTATTTAAAAAAAAAAATGTGTACAGGGTTTTCACTTTGATGTACCGGTACACATCTAGCTAGGTCGAACAACGCATCTAAACCTCACTACATACAAAAAATTCGGAAACACAACAGTGCCATCAATTATTGAATTTATTAATTATGGAAATACTCAGGTAAATATTTCATTTCAACCAAGTCAGTAAATTTTTGTAGCTAGCAAACTCCACGTTCCCATCACCACCCCTGTCTTAAGTCTGGGACTTATTTGCCAGGCCAATTCCCCGTGAAAATCTTCTTCCTTTTTAGGCTGCAGCCACTTTCAATCCTCGTCCAGACACATTATGTGTCCAAAAGCCTAACAGCACGACTCCCTTCCCCATACCGCCCTGAGCGACAATTTATAAATACGTGACTCAAGGTTTTTATTTCTTCACATCTACATAATTCCTCTTCCACCAGGTGAATTTTCCATAAATTTGCCTTTAAATTTTCCATGTCCTGTGACAAACTGTGTTTCATAATGGCCGATCTTGTTCCAGTCTCTTTCTGATGTTAGGTATATATCCGAACGTTTACCTTTAAAACGTTAACATAAAACTCTCTGCTCCCAACGCATTTGCAACTTATCTGATACCTCCCCTCTTCTGTTTCAAAATCAACAGCTTATGCAGCGATTAACCAACAGTCCTAAATTGAATGTGGAATCTTCAGGCGGCTGTTGGAGAGATTATAAACCCAACACGGAAGGGTGCTTGCTGTATTCGGCTATCAACGACAATAGTATTACAGTATTTGTATTTCGTTCGCGTCTACCAGTTAAAGTTCGTTGGGCCCCTCCTCTTGGACGTCCTGGTCGACGTCTTAAAAGTCTCCCTTATGTCAAACGTTTTTTGGTTATGTTTTGATTTTGTGCAAATAAAAAACGGGTTTAAAACAGTGAAACATCAATCTAAAAATGTCTCCAATTTTAGTATAACCAGCTGTTTCAAATATTAGTGTCAATTTCAAAGTATTCATTTGTTTAAATGTAAACAAAAATTTTCACCATAAGAATAGCATGGGAACTTTGAAGGCCACTGGGGCAGAGCCCTGATGGAATTCCTAAGTTTTTTTGTTTGATGGCAAAACTACATGCCAGGACCTTATTAACGACACCTTGGACATGGTGATCGGTAGCACCACCGCTCCTAAACAAGTATGACAAAAATATGCCTAGCGTATCTATATATATAAAAGGCAAAGCCCTCACTGACTCACTCACTCACTCACTCACTCACTCACTCATCACTAATTCTCCCACTTCCCATTTACCTAGGAGGCTGAAATTTGGTACACTGATTCTTTAGGCATTAAATAGGAAAACTAAGTTGTTTTTATTCTGATCGGACTCTCGGGCTCCGCCCCAGTGGCTCTGGAGTTTCCCATGTTAACCTTATGAGTACTCATATTTAAATGGAATTAATGAATCTTAACAGCTGTTTCAATTAAACAAGTTGGTTCTGTTCTATGATGTTCAATAGCATTAAAGTTACAAGGATTACCAACAGGGTGCAGCACTATTATTTTTTTTTATTTATGACAGCAGCTAATTTGCAACCAAAAGGTGAGTGAGCGTAGCGAACGAACTTCAACCTGGAGGCGAGTTAGCGTAGCGAACGAGCTAACCTGAAGGCAAGTGAGCTCAGCGAACGAGCTCCAACCTAAAGGTGAGTGAGCGTAGCGAACAAACTTCAACCAGGACGTGATTGAGCCATGCGTACGAGCTCACTTATGAAGTAAAACGGGGCAAAGCCCGCGGGTACAGCTAGTTAAATATATAGATTAGACTTTTCCTTCACCATCAGATTCCGTCTTAAGCCACCATGCAAGCACGTTGTATGTTAATGCTGATGCCACCGTGTTCCGCTCACCATATATGTCTGCATACCATGAGGGACGATTTGCTTCAGTCAATGACTCCATGGTGTCTACTTTTGGGGAAAACCGGAAACCCTTCAGGAATTTTATATTACCTTGAAATATCCTGGATAACTCCAGGAATTAACCCAAATATCCGGTAATCTGAATCTCGGTCATCGGAAACATTGGTATAACTAAAGACCCAATCTTGGAGATGCTGCTATCGCAAGACAAGAATAGCGGTGTAGCCAAGAGCAAGATATGCTCACAGATGTAGCCGTTTCGGGGAGATGATGACCAGTGTTGCCGATGCTCACGGATGTTGCAGTTATTGGGGGAGACGATTATTGATGTCACTGAGATTGCATGGAATGCTCATGGTTGTTGTCGGGATCGCAAGACAAGAACAGGGGTGTCGCTAAGACAGCAAAAAAAGCTCACGGTTGTTCCGCCTATCACGGAAAATGATTACTGGTGTCCCCGAACTGCAAGATTTAGTTACGGTTGTTGCCGCAATGGGGTAAAGAATTTTCTGTGTCGCTTTCCCTACCTACCAGTAAAATTATGTTTGAATATGCTGTATAAAATATTATTCCTTTGTAAAGTTTTGTTTCAAAGCTAAAGTACTTTTTTTAATACAGCAGTTAAATGTATTTTGTGATAAAAATTATGATTTCTAAAAAAAAGCGAGTGACTCCAGCACAAGCTCACGCATCTGATTTTTATGTTTTCAATCTCCATAATGACATACACTAGATATTTCCCACTCACATCTCTCTCCAGCAATCCCCTGGTTTTCTCATACAGTACTACTACTGCCGACCATATTCCCGCTTCCTCAGCCTCATAGAACCAGACTCCTCGTGTTTCCCAAATCACCCCTTTTAAGTGGTACGGCTCCTGCAGTACATCCACCTTCTGCTTCAATACTTCGTCGACCACCTGCCTCGTGGCTTCCATACACCTCCCCACATTCCATTGTCTAAAATTGATCATTTTGGCTTAATGACCCTAAGTAGCACTTTTCAGCCATCTGATACACTTCACATCTTGCATATAGTACTGTGTGATTTGCCACTCTTCCTTCCTTTGCGTAGTTGACACACTTTTTGTCCTCTTGTCCGGCCTTACACTCCTCCCACTTGTGATTTTGCACATAATCCGCAAGTTTGTTTTCCCATGCAGCTCTTGCCCACGTTGCACTTAAAACATCTAACCACGTCCATGTATTTCATTATATTTTCTAATTCAGACCCTCGTAGGCACTCTTCGACCTCAAGCTCTTCCTCATCACCCTCTATATTTGTATTTCTATTTTTCTTTAATTTGCCTTCCTTTTCTTTTTGTTACCTTACCTTGCTGGTTCCCTGTCCGTCTCACTACCTTCCGTAGTTGCTTCTTGACTTGTGCTTCTATCGTCTTTCTGCCTACTGGCGACTTCTCTAAATTCTGCCTCCTACTATGCTTCTCTAGCATTTCCCACTCTGACCTACACTTTTATCTCCGACTTTCATTTTTTGCGTTGTTGTCATTTTGCCACTCAAAATGGCCTCTAGGCATCCGATCAGGGACTTGGTGCTTGGGACCCACCAGGAATATTTTTTTTCTTGACTACACATGGCGCTTTTGCAGTTGGCTCTTCTGGTGGGGCTGCCACATTAGGGAAAACAGGCCACACCCCTTAGAATAGTAAGATTTAAGAAAGAAAAGGTACCCTTCCCCTCGGATCCCCTAATAGGTCGGACCCAGAAGATATAC